CAAGAGTTTTTACAAGATCCATTAATCAAATTTCCAACATGCACATAGAAACAGACATTATAGGAACTGACACTTGATATTATTACTACAGTTTAATTGACTAAAAGATGCGTGTTATAAAATCTTCCTTCTTACATTGAAGCGTGATTTCCTGCTGTTGGTATTAGATTATACTTTTAAAACCAATAGTTTTTTAAAAGCTATAATTACATAGATTCCGGTAACACTACTTAATTCCGTTACGATTTGATACGTTTTTTGCATTAAATCATGTAATTGTGATGCGAACATGCGATCCGCCAATTATACGGTTAATTTACTGCTAGTTGCTAGTAAATTTAAGATAAATAGATAATTGAGAGCATTTTTGATGGGGCTTGTATTTACTGACACTAATTTACAATTTTAAATTTTCAATGAATAATAATTATGTCAAATTAATTTTACACAAAAAATAAAGTAAGCGATTTGCGTATTATATTTGCACATACGTCTGAAAAATTGTGCATACGGGATTTTCGTAGAATTCTCTAGACTTATTAAGTATTATTTTTGATAAAATCGCTCTCACTGAAATTACCCTATATTTTGATATTTAGATAAGTTTATTCTCATGTAACGTAGTAAAATATAGTTCATTTTCGTTATTTATTTTGCTTCTTCATAGAGTATGACCGCAAGCATGGGCCCTGTTGCAAATAGCTGCGTTAAACGGGTTGCAGTAGACGGCACCGTGTCTATTGCGTAAGACCAGCTGAACTGTGAGAAAACATTGGTGTCTGCTGCCTAGTGACGCGCCTATTCCTTATAAGATAGCCATACGTTTGAATAAAATGATGAAAAAGACTTGAAATCAATCACACTTTAGATTAATATCTATAGTCAATACCAACAAATCATGAAAAACAATTATTTAAAAAAAACACTTTGTTGGAGCTCGAATACGTGATATACTAGATTCTTTAACTGCAGTCAATATAGTTTCTGTAATTTCATTATTATTACAGCATACTTTCAAATTATTTTAACAAGTGCGCAGTGAAAGTGCTGAGTGGGAAGTACCACATGCTCCACAAAACTTGACAGAACATTACGAAATATAAATGTATGTATTTTTACAATGAACAAGGTCATGCGTATCCACTTTGTTAATTTTGTGACTTTTCTTTGTTAGGCTCTCTTATTTTCTCTACTAGTTCTGAAACAAAAACTTGTCTGTTGCCAGCATTTATACCTATATCATTCGTAACACATAGTGCAAATAATAAAACCAGTTCTAATTTATAAGTGAAACTGTTATGACATATAAAGCCGATTGATATGAAAAATTTTATATTTCTCAGCAAAATTATGTCGCAAAGCATTCTTCAATGAACTTAATTATTTTATATGTTATAGAGCATTCTTAATTTTATTTACATTGTAGTAAGTTAATCGTAAAGTGGAACGGGTCCATTGCTACTTAATTGTTTAGATACCAATCAAATAAATGCAGTTCTAACAGCTGACAATGTTTAAACGTACTGTGAACCGAAATAAAAATTCCCACAGCATTTTTGTTTCACGTTGAGGCGCGCTATAAATCGGCACGTTTAAATAAAATACCGCTTCTATTTAACATCATATGACATCTGTTATGTTTACAGAAATATGTTCAGAATTTAACTCAACCAGTCTGGTTTATATATACGTATATATCGGTATTCGAGTTAAGTTTAGCAGCGTTTGAAAATCTCGAATTAACGTTGACTTGTTTGAAAATCTTGAATTAACTTTGAATGATTATAAAAATTATCAGATGAAAAAGTCGAAGAAGTTTTGGATTAAATCTAAATTACATGAGAACTAGTGGCATTTAAGACAAATTCTCGCAGTCCACTCGATTCATCTCACTTTGAAGCCAAACGTGTACGTGTTAATCGAACTTTTCCTCATAAATATAGAATTTTCTAATCACAGAATTCATTCACGTCTCGAGCGTTTACCGCAGTCGGATAATGAGGCAATAAGGAAATGGTAATCTCTAATCCAAGCGGCAGCGGTATTCCATATGGCGATTTGCGTACACGATGGTTATCCTCGACAAAAACAGTTATTATTAGACTCTGTTGTGCATGCCACGACATCTATTGATAGTGAAAGTAACCAAATTAACACCCGCATTAGTTTCAATCTTAAAGACCCTCTATTCGTATTTTATTTCAGTTGTTCACTCATTAAACTAATTACATAAATAATAACATACGGAAAGTCGTGATTACGCGAACATAATTGAATTCTTTTCACGTAACTGAACGTCATACGTTGGTGCTGAAGTAGAATAGTTCAAGCAATATCTTCCAAATTAACGGGCCACCTGATACGTGCCTCTTGATTACTGCATTGCGATTAACATTATCTTAAATACGTTAATAAACATCATTATAACAGTCGGAGCGTGGATTATGCAAAACAAGCGATGTTGATATACAATGGCCTATGTTCTCCAACAAGTTATTCTGCCCGTGCGAAGATAACACTTGAATTTATTAACTTACGCAACGAAGCGTCAGTGATCTCTCTTTAGATGTCGTGAAACGGTAGCAAATGCAAAGTTGGCAGTTGGCACGTGTGTTTGTAAAATGTGGAGAACGTAATAAATCACTTTGGTGACTTCATTGGTTGAATTAAATGTTTTCGCGATACCTACAGCTTGCATTTTTGTGTTGGTTATTTAAAAAAATATGACGAGAGCAGTTGAACGTTTGCCCATCCTGCCCTTGACTAGTTTCATTATTAATATGCAATTAGAAAATCGATGTTCATTTTAAAAGTTTTTCACAATAAAATAGAAAAATAAAAATGCTTAACTAGGTACCTACTTATAAAAGTAGCGTCAAAGTTTTTTTACGTTTGTTTTATTCATTGATACTTGACCAGTTTCTGTGTAGAAAATAAAAGCAGTGTGTGCTTTTCAAAAAAAAAAAACCTATACAAACACGAAAATTATTTTACTGCAAAAACTGCAAGTACTTATAAAAATTGTCATTATATTACATGTTGTATGATTATCACAAAATTTGTTGCTTATAAATCGTTTCATTGAGTTTACTCGCATGTCAAGCATGCTGTACGTACATGTTAAAAATGTATCGTAAAAGTATGAATTTAATCATTCTTTAAAGCCCATAATACTCAGATCTGCAAAGGAGGTCAAATAAACTTATATGCTCTAAACATGCCAACATTTACCTTGTATTAAGCTAAAGCGCACTGGCAACATTATTGTATTTTTTGCGGCGAATGATAAGTTACATTCAGGTTTGTTTTATAAAAATCATTGTTCACCCACTTAGAATAATGATGCATATTTCTTTAAACGCGATTATATTAAAAGGATAAAAAGATATCGTATCGCTTGTCATTGTATTTGCATATTATTTCAATAAGTTTAAATGAACTGCTCATGTCATTGGCTTGGTAACGATTAAAAAAGTAGTTTCATTGTTGATAATTATGCACATATATTATTATTGGCTCCTGGTAACTTGAAAAAATAAAATAGACTAATAAAAGTATCACAGCCCCAGAAGAATTAGCGTTTGGTTTCTGTACTTTAACCTAATGTATAATACTCGAGAAATCCGTGTGCAATCGCTTTTAGGACTGGCTTAAACTGTTACAGTTTTTAATTACTCGTATTTTCAACTATGAAGTGAAAAATCACAAAGATTTTGTGTACTTAGTAGTTTTTCGGGGGTCATGAGATAGGGTAGCGGTCTAGAATTTCAATAGCATGTCCCAAGAGTTAACACTATCATATCACTAACCTATTATCCCAAAAGTCTATGCCTAATGAATAGCATATATTAGACAAAGAATCAAGGTGTTTGAGGCTATCTTGAGGTTTACCACCTATAAGACAATCATATAGAATAGGTGAGAGAATTATATGGGTTTTATATATAAACATATTATAATTGATCTTCGTTATCACTCTTACACACGCGACAAAGGAAGAAAAAAGTAGGCGTCGTTGTATTATTCCACGACATACATATTAATGGACTCGCCGTAAAATCTAAAAAATAACATCTTATTTGGATATGAATAATATAGTATAATTCATTTTTTATAATATGAGTCGAGTTTTATTCGGTTTCAATGTGAACAGCAAAAGGACTCAATCAATTTGCTAACGCCTGTTTCTACTTCCAATTAAAATGCGAGTGTCTTCAAAGGACGAGTGGATATAGGTTTTAATCAGTATTGCATTTACCGCCTACTGTAATAAATTAGCACCTATGAAATATATTTAAACTCAATATTACTTTAATAAATGTTGAGTGCGATAAACAACTACAGACAAAAATACATTCAAAACATTATTTTCTTATTTCTTAGTTCTTTCATAATATGTCTGCTCATATCTCATAAAAAGCAGTAAATTAACTATTTCAATGGTCCTCTGGGATTTGAACGCACACTGTCCGGTTACATGAATTAAAGACGTAAGTCTCGACATTGTGCTACCATGACTCGATTTCGAAATATTTAGTTGCATGGTGAAGTCAAATATTTATTATTCTAGTTACACAAGTAAAACAAATTCTTATGTTCATTTTTGAAGACTATTTAATTTATCGGTAGGCGTTTTGAACTTAATGAGACAGAGCATGCATGTTAAAAATAAAAATTGGGTAAGATCTAATCGCGTAATGTTGCAGAAATTACTATGTTCGTGTAATGAAACGTAGCTTAGACTGAAGGAGAAAGTACTTGCTACATACGCTTAGTTCAACTTAAATGACCCTTTCGTTTATACTAAAAGTTTTAGCCAATGCTCGGAAAAAATCTGATTAATATAAAACAAAAACCAAGACTAATTTATCTTTTCGACCACGGTTTATGACAAATAACGGACTATTAAGTACGTAACGCATTTAGCTGTAACTTGATAAACGACGTTTAATCTCATTAAATTCGGACAGCGCAAAATTAAATTATGATTAAATATTTACCTCATTCTCATTTTGATTAATTCACTAATAGCAACACGGGAGAACTGTCAAAAAAGCGCGCGATTCGACCGGGACGCGGCACGGCCAAGCGGGACGAGACTGCGCGGACGGCGTGCTTTCTCCGCACTTTATAACTTGCCAGCTTGCCACTGCTCGGACACCGCGATGGGGGGCTGAAGAAATGCAACCATTTGGCAACATTACACGTACCGATCAAATCCGGGCAAGATCTGTTTGTAGATCGAACACCATCCGTTCAAAGTTTATTTCGCTTTGTTAATTTCGCAGTTTTAATACATGACGCCCAACATTAAACTTCAAATATCTGATAGAACACAGAAAAATGTCACTTTCATAGTTACACTAATGTTAAAAAATGCAACATACCCTACCTCATGAAATCGGCCGAGTCTTCACCGCCGTTCATTGGTGTTACCAATCAGGTGACTTGTTGTGGCCAATCATAATCCTTCGAGTCAGGCCAACGATGCAAATCTCATAATGTAATCAGGGTCTCCTGCTGTGTATTCGAGAGCTGTATTATTCCACTGTTAGATATCACCTGTATTGTTGCATTTAGGCAAAAAAAAATGTTGCAGGCGTAAGCTCATTATGCTGTTTTAATAATAGTTATGCTACGATTTACGTTACAACGGAAGCCTTACACGTAATGTGAGACGGCCGACAGCTCACAAATTATTTAGGATGCCACTGAAGTGTGAAGTGGCTTCCAATCGATTCATTCACGGATGCCGGCCAAGTGGAAAGTGGCGATAAGGCAATTTCGACGACGACAATGGATAGGAGATACTTTTATTATGTTTAAATGTAATCATTTGTGGCCAGTCATAAATAGAGCGAACGCAACGAGCATACGTTTTTTTCTTTCTAATTTACTTATGTAACGTTCATCTGGGTTGTTGAATACAACGAAAAATATAGCATTGCTAAGTTTGCGAGTGGATTAAAGGGTGCCTAAAAGGCTGCTACGGTTCGATTATCGAATATGCAAGCTTGTTCTAACGAATTTTTACACTATAGTAATTCATCATCAACATAAGTCCCAAACTATGTAAGACTATTATTTTTATACGTATGAATTTTGAAAAATTATAACCCATTGACGTACTCCGCTTCGCTTAATTGAAATCGCAACCTCAGTCGTCAAGTCGAAGACATTAACCACTTGACCATTTCTAGCATTTAGTAACGTACGTACCTATGATGTTATATTCTATTCGATTGATTGTTTTTACTATCGTAATTTCACAGCTCGTAAGTAGATTACTCACGTTTTTGTTATATATTTTTGAAATACAATTTATCTATTCTATATTGTTTTAGCGTATATTTATGTCTTCTAAAAACTGTTTCAAAATTCATGGCACTTTGGGTGAGAAAGTTTCCTTCTATAATAAATAAAGATATTTAACAATATGTGCGTGAGCGAGCTGTGATTTAAAAAATACTTTTTTACATTGCTATCAGTTGTCCAATGTCGATTTTTTATTTTTTAAAATGTAATCCTTTGAAGTTTTGTAGCCCTTTTTTGTTTGTGTTTAAAATACTGCATTTCATTTACCCGCCTGAACACAGCCCACTTGTGAAGGTCGCATTAAAGTCGAGCCAAGGTGATACAAGCGATTCCCTTTCCACTTTTTGCATATTGTCATTCCTAATTCGAATATTTCATCCGACGATAAATTAAGTTATCTTTTAAATTTGATCAGGGGTTCGGTGTGACATCGCACCCGCATATTGATTTTTTGTGGAGAATTGATAATTTACGATTCCGTTCGCCTACACATTCAGAGTTCTGCTTTGTTTGAAATCATCACTACATAGTATAAAACAAAGTCGTCCCGCTATCTGACTGTCCCTATGTATGCTTTTATCTTTAAAACTACACAACGGATCTTGATGCGTTTTTACTAGATTCAAGAGCAAGGTTTATATGTATAATACATTGCACCCGCGCGAAGCCGGGGCGGGTCGCTAGTTTCTTTATATATGTATACCGTAACGACTAACCATCCTAAAGGAAAGTACTAAAAGTTATTGCAAACATTTCACTTATCGCAATCAGTTATTATTTCTTAGCTCCATTAAATACATTGTAAATGTTATCTAATCGATGTTAGTACGTTTTTTGTTTATATATCAATTTATTTCCCAAACACATTTATCGCACCTAAACAGATACTTACCAACATATATTTTTCAATTAAGTTTACAAGCGATCCTAGTGAGAAAGTATTTTGTAATGTAAACCATAGTTAATATATATAATTAAAGCAAATCTATTAAATATACATGTAACTAATTTCCAGTAAAGTTGGCTTTCTATTACTTATTAGTTTCGATTTCTTATTAATTGCGGATAGTGGGTTCCTTTCCGGCAGATGATGGTTCTCCCGCCCTTATCATCCCACATAGGTGGGGTCAGCGCAACATGTGAATCATATTTTTTGTTTTTTTTTACGACCCTCCGCCGGCCTGACGTCAGCCCTCCTTTGGAAACACACCCAGATCCGGAACCATTATTATCTGTGGCTCACACAAATACTTTTCTCGTGTGGGAATCGAACCCACGACATCCGGCCAATAGCTTAGCAACTACCTCGAGTCATAAGATACTGTAACATGATATAATGCTATTGTCATTTTTTTAATTATTTTCATAGTTGTGCACTTAGATGAAACATTAAAATTTGTAGAAAGTAAAATGCGGGTAACGTGGGTTCAATCCCCGCAACGGCCAAAAACTGTTCTTCCTTTTCCTACAAATTGTAATAAATCACTATAAATTTTAAAAATTTGAATTTTATAACTCCGTGGCTCAGTCGCCAACGGGGTCGTGGGTTCGGACAACTGTTTGTGTGACCCACAGATAGTTATTTCACATGTGGGTGTTTGTCCTCGTGAAATTTATGTTTGTAAAACGTCCTTACAACACAGGATAATGTTAACCTAAAGTAAGGTCAATGTTTTTTATTAAATATAAAAAATTAGGCAGTGCAGTTCATTCGATAATGTAACAGAAATAGGAGTTGACATTAGAGTTGTGTTAATGCTTGTGGTCGAGGTTTGTTAGTCAGATTGTCTATACTTCATATAAAGTCAGAAAAGATGAAATAAAGAAGACCTATTTCAAAACTGTACAGCACACGTAGATTTATGGTCTTATGACTCATTTTAAATATGTTTATAAAATATTAATTTTCTTGTTATTCAATTAGACTAAAAGTTGAAACATAAACGTAAAGGTACCTTGAACTATTAAATCACAGTCCTCACGTAAATCTATTACGTTGAAAAAGTTAGTCATTTCCTTCTTTATAAAGTGTCGTATATTTGCAATTAAGCGCATGAAACTCGAACGGTTTACAATTAACGTTGTAGTAGAACTTGTGCTAATAGGCAATAAATTTGATGTTTATCACCAACGGAAGGTATAACAACTTATATTATTTATTATGATATTTCGGGGAAGCTTTAATATTCTACGGACTGATAACAAAATCATCAGTCAAGGTAAGATGTTTCGGCAGTTTTATTGTAAAACAATTTATACGAACAGGAACATTTTTATATGGCTTAAACGATTTTTGGTCAAGAAAAATAAAAAAATTAAGCAGTGAAATAACTCCCATTGTTTAGATAAATTAAATATGATTTCTGTTATTTGCAAAGTACGTCGACGGCTCTTGCGATATATTTTCCAATTTATAAAGGCACGTGCAACAAGGACAAAAATATAGACGTAAAAACCGAGCTACTTTTGATTTAATATTGGTCTCAGGATTTGATTCGTCTGGATCACTTAAATAAACGTTTTGAGGGCCGCGATCGCTCGACATAAATTCACAGGTGATTAAATTCTTATCGAAACATGTGGGATCGAAGTTAAGATGCGTTTTCATTTCTTTTGTATCTTTTCTGTCTAATTGCATGGTTTCCTTTCCCCAGGAACTTATAGGTAAAAGGTATTCCTCAAAATTTAAACTGTGCTTTGACGGTGAACGGGACTGTAGCATGAGTGTTGCTAGATTTGTCATCGAGGAACTGTCTGGTTGGTGCAGACCATCCCCCGGGATTTTATTCTCCACTTCTTCATTCAAACCTTGTGTTAAAAACAATTTCATTCTTAATACAGTTATATCCGAATCACTTGGCCAAGATACAACTTCTGACGAGGGGTTTTTACTCCTTTTTTTGGTTCGCTTTTTGTTTTTCTTCTTGTTTGTATTGGCCTTTAGTTTAGATAATCCAGATTCCAAGCTTTTTACTATGCTTGTAGAAATAGTGCTGTCGGTTTTTGAGGGTAAATTAAAAGCTACTTGCCGTGAATGAAAGTTTCCATTAGCTTTTTGTATGTCTATGATATCCTCAATTTGTCTTATTTTGGGTTCTGCGGATTGAACATTCATGTTGACTTGAGAAAACATGTACAAAAATTTACAACTCTGTCTTTTTTAATAATTTTGATTATAATATAACTATCTAGATGGTTATACGTGACGTTGTCATAGCGTTACATTTTTAAAATCATAATCCGTATAACAGTGTTGAAATAATTATATACCTTTATAAATAATTTTAGAGCGAAAATTTTTAAATTTTATTCATTACTATGTATATCAGTTCGGTCCAGGTTATCGTCTATACCCTGCAAGATTTTTTTTTTTTTATTTCTGACTTATTTTAATTTAATTGTATTACTTCTACTACAAGGAACTTCAAGTGCATTTATCTTTTTCTAATAGATACGTCATACATCCTCTTGCCCTGATCCCACCGATACAAATATAGATTCATATGCATCATTAAAATACAAATAAATTAAGTAATATAATAAATAAAGATTCTGTCATCCCGTCCCCGTCTCTCACCGTGGCTAAAATTTCAACTTTACTTGAAACTTTTAATGACAATGACTGAAACAAGTACTTTTTACTGACGAATCCTAGATTGGCCTTAAGGCGGATGACAGAAGAGTTAAAGATTGGAGATGATCCAGGTAAAGACACGTTCTTTGTTGGTAAAAACAGTGACGGATTTGTAGTCTTGGCCGCCCTAGGCCCCAGCCCATGTAGTAAGTTCCAGCCGACCCTTTCTCAGAGCCCATCATATATCTTATTATCATCAGTGATTTTTTGCCACGATTGGCCGCCCCTTATATGTGACCGGCCTAGGCCCGGGCCTATTGGGCCTTAGGGCAAATCCGCCACTGGGTATAAATAACAAAGTTAGAGATATAGATAAAGTAGATAACCATCCTTTAGGCAACTAAAATGAAATTTGAAGAGCCGTTTGTCAGCTGATTAGGTGACATCTACGAGGATCAGTGTTTCAGAAACCGGGCGTAAGAGTTTGAGTTTCACAGTCTGTCTTGTTTATTTTTAATTTAACAAGTTTCATAGTCTCTACTTGAATAATTGTTCAATATTTTATCAAACTAAGGTCGAAAGGGTCAATGAAACTGCGCCACCACGCTCATCGCGTTTACATTCACATCTAGATCTGGTCCTGGAGGCCCTAAATTTACAGACCACAGACGATATCCTTGAGTACCAGACTGTTTTTAATCGCTTATTTATGTACGCCGTGGTGTTATTGTCTTTTAACAGCGATTGTTCATATAATCGTAACAGTGGCGAACTTAGGTATATAGTCCAGTAAAATGACGAGTCAAATTACCATCTGAAAGCAAACCTGCATAGTTTACTGTAAGTTTATTAAGCTCTTTTGCGTATGGCAAAGACGGCAGCGCTCAATTTCTTAGCTAACTTATCTACGTGAAATCCCCATTGCAACTTGGAGTCAACGCTTATTCCAAGAAATGCTGTTGAATCCTCAAGGGGTAGGATTTTCTCATCAATAGAGATTCCTGATTGGTGACACAACTTTGAAAAAGTTAATCTAATACATTTTGTTTTATTGGAGTTCAAAAGTAAGTTATTGGTAGCTAACCAGCCAGACACAACATCTAGTATTTCATTTAGTTGTTCTAGTTCATCATCTTTCCTTTTAACTTTAAACAATAATGAAGTGTCATCCGCAAACAAAACAGTTTGAAACCTTTTTTCCACTATATACGGCAAATCATTAATATAAACTAAAAACAGAAAAGGGCCCAGGATCGATCCTTGAGGAACGCCCATTTTTACTTTTGACCCCGTTAGCTGTATACCATTTATGATTACTTTTTGTTCCCTGTCAGTAAGATACGAGGAAACAAAGTCAATGGCAAAATTAATTGATTGATATAGAATACCATAATAGTCCAATTTCCTGATTAGAATTGTATGATATACACAGTCAAATGCCTTGGAAAGGTCACAGAACACACCAATGGTGTCATGAAAGCTTTCCCAGGACTGCAGGATATGTGAAACTAATTCTATCCCTGCATCAGTTGTAGATCTACCTTTAGTAAATCCAAATTGGTGCTGGTTTAAAATTTTATATTTGTTAAACTGAACTATCATTTGATACAGCATTATTTTCTCAAACACTCTGCTTAAGGCCGGCAACATAGAGATAGGACGGTAATTAGAGGCATTATCTCTCGATCCCGATTTATATACTGGCACAACTTTACTATATTTCATTAACTTTGGGAATTTGCTACTGTCTAAACATGTATTAAATATTTGGCATTTGGCAAGCAATCAGTCTCCTTCAGAACACATTGGTGCCCCGTAGTAGATCACCGATGGGATTTCCGTGCCTACTTTGTCTCGCACCAAAAGTGGCAAAAGCAGCAGCAGCTCTCGATAGGTTGCTCCCGAATATTTGAGGAACCAACGATTCCTGCTGCAACCTGTACTCGAGAGGTGTGTTAGAAATGTTTGGAATTTAAATAAAAAATACAGTTTTATTTAATTTGTTTCTTATTTATGGATTCTTTTAATTACACACAATGTATACATTAGTTATTTCTTACTTGTACATTCCTAGCCTTTTTCATAAATGTTAAGTTTTTTTTAAACAATCTATTATAACATATTTTTAAAAGAACCTTTAGATTAAATTAAATGTTTTGGGAATAACATATTAACAAAAATCTCAATATATTTTTATTTCATTAAAATAATCTTTGCTTTTAACCACAACTGTTAAATTCTGATCGTGACACTTCGGTCAAAAATTGTGAATTGTGAAACGAAATGTCATTACCATTACGTTCTTTGAATTCGGAGTATGGCTATGGTGTAATGTTTTCACTCGAATAACTTTTTACTTTTTACAATGGAAGTCAAAAATCCATCCGACTTAGATGTAGGCGAAAGTTGTAATATCAATGGCAATTGTACACCGCTATCTAAGAAACACTCCGTTGACTTGAATCACACCAAAAATATTGATGACATATCTACGCCTTCCGAGTTAAAATTCGACGAAGGTATTGTAAACAATCATTACTTCTTTATGATCATTTTCCTGTAACATTAATCTCTCCGTTCGTCTACCTTCTGAATTATTTATACATGTTTTCGAGACATACAATGAAATTCATGAAGTGAAAGTAAAAATTTCGTTACTTATGTTTAAGATTTTGAATTCGAGGATCCTGATGTGACGGCAAAGCGAAAAGAAATGGAAAAATGTCTTGACAATCCCGACCTGGTAAATGTAGAAGAGTGGCAGGGCTTTGCAAAAAGCAGGGGAGGTTTAATAGCTGGTTTGTTTACCTTGTTATATTAATTTGAACTTTGATAAAAGTATTGAACTAAGTGTGTATATATATATATATATATATATTTGGTATTATGTACTTGTAATCATAGTTATTTAAATTCGACCAGAGTAAAAATGAGTCCATTAGGTGTTATTGGCAATTACATTGTTTACATAAGTTTTCTTTTGTTAATTAAATTCTAAATTACTACACAGTCGTCACCAACAATTTTGTAATTGTCATATATTTACAATGGTTATTGAAAATATATTAGACCCATCATTATTGCTTAATTTGGTGTATAATTTCTATTGAACCCTAGATCATGTTATTTTGATTATCTACATTTCACAATTATTTTCCTGTAATGGTTGCATTTATGCAACAGATGAATACAGAAGAAGAATATGGCCATTGTTGGTTGGTGTGACAAGAGATGAGATGACTGACCCTCCCTCACTTGATGAACTGTCTACACACGTTGAATATAATCAAGTGAGTGTAATGAGTATACTGTTTACCATTTTAGCCATTATGTTTAAAAATGTGATATTTTTTTGTTTGGGGCTGTCCATTAATCAGCAAAAATCACGAAATATCACAATGGGAGTGGGGGGTGTAGTAAGATATCATGAGTTTGTTTTTTTTGAATACTAAACCAAAACCAACTTGTAAAAAGTCTTCGCGCGCCGCGACGACAGCCTGTCTTGTCTTGCTAATCGCCAGTTATTCTGTTATGTTGGCTAATAGATAATATTCTAAAAATTTTAAGATTCTTTGTAGGTACTAACATCACTTTATTAATGGATGGCCCCTTTCCACCACGCACCGTGATCTCAAATAAGCAATTTGAAATAATTTCGGTTGTTATTGAAACTATTATAAAAATATTTTGCACAAATAATAGATAATGGTTAATATCAACTGAAAAAATATTTACACAGTAGATTTGAAGATTCAGGACTTGTATAGTTATTAAATTTAATTAAATAAAATGTATAACAATTTCTTTATCTTATTTCAACCACCCTTTACAAGTGAATAACAAATTTTAGGTGGTGCTAGATGTGAACCGTTCCCTGAAACGGTTTCCACCAGGCATTCCATATGAACAGAGAGTAGCTTTGCAGGATCAATTGACGGTGCTTATACTTCGGGTTATCATAAAATACCCCCACTTGAAATATTATCAGGTAAGTGTTCTTCTTCTTTTTCATTTATAGAGGTTTTTTAGGTATTCAGTGTCCATGTAAATATAGGAAAATTACTAAGTGGATTGCTTATCAAACAGATTCGGCATAGCAGAGGCATAAGAGATCATATAAGGGAATTAAAAGAAAAGAAAAAATATTTTTAAAATAATTTAAGTAATTTTCTTTTGGGTTACCTAGAACAATTGAATCCGTCAAAGTTTAATTTTATTAGATCTAATAAATTCTCATAAAATATATACAAATGGTGAATTAGTGAAAGTTAAAAAGGAGGAAAAATTAATAGGACTAGGGATGTAGGGGGGAAGCGAATCATACAATGATTTTGATAGTTTAGGACATTCAAAAATATATGGTTGGTGGTTCCTTCAAAACCACACTCACATAGAACTATCCCTAATCCTATTCATTGCAAGATGATGAGATGAGAGATGAGTTTTTATTTAGGTAAGATATTTAAGTAAGTGAATACAGAACTATACACTTTATCTTTGAATTTGAATTATTTACTTTGTTATATAGTCTTATATAAAATTTACTGGTATTTTTCATTACTTATGGTGGCACATATTTCAATTGGAGCTTAACTTCCATTAAAATTGTTCTTATAAACTTCTCAACTAAAGAATTATTAAGGAGTCTTGAATAACTTTGTATAGTAATGAAATTAACCATAGTAAAATGCTAATTGACATTTCCATTGGGGTTGCTAGTATGTGTGTTGCTTGACTATCATAATATGTGATTAATAATAGCAATACAGAGAGAAAGGCCAAAATAATGTTAAATCTGGCTTTTGCCAATCTAGTTATTGGTCTTTGTGAATGAATATGAACACAAAGTATAATTTAATGTTGTCAATTGTATGATTGTTTTATTTTAATAAGTGAAAAAATTGATTAAAACTATGAATAATTTGATTGTCATTCAAATAACTGAAAGTAAACATGAAACATGAACAATACTAATTGCTTTTTAATTAAATAACAATGTTGATAGCTGTTTTCAAATATTAAAAGTAATTGTGACTGATATGAATCATATGTGATGTTCATTTTATGACTAGCAGTACTCAATACCAAGTTTGCTTCTGCCAATATTGGCATCATATCTCTTACCCACTAGAGCCCTTATATGATAAGGAAAATGAAGCCATAAAAATATATAACAATTATGTGGTTGCTGAGTTAAGTAAGGAAAAGCATGTAGCTCATTTTTGCTTTACAATTCCAATACTGTAATACTAGACTATGCAAAACATAATGGTCCATTAAACTAAAATTGGAATGGAATGGAAAACTTAATGGTGATTGTGAACTGAGTTGCGAGTGCATTCTTGTGCAGGTACAATAAAACAAAAAGAAAAGAAGCAATTGTGCTGCTGCCTTAACTCCTGACATTACAGGCACCACCCGTACAAACTATTATTGGAATGGCAACAGTTGAAAGTGTCCTTAAGTTATTGTAATTTATTTATAGTAGGTAACACGATAGCTCTGTATATGGGCGCTCGTATTTAATTCATATACTCAAGCAACCCGAGTACAAATCCCCGGTACCAGGCCCAATGAAATTGTTAATTTTGAATGCTGACTTATGACATGCTTAGCACTGAAGGAAAACATCGTTAAGCGAATTCCGCCGATTTGCATTAGGGCCTCGTGGTGGAATAAGCCCTAATATCCTCTTCGCCCAGCAGTGGGACATGTGTGGGCGGTTACCATATCTTTTTTTTAATCAACCTATAGGCGAACATTATTACTCTTCAAAGATATACAATAATACAACAAACACAGAAATATTAATTATTATAAGAGTGTAAAAATTATATCTACTACTATTGTTTTCAGGGCTACCATGACGTGGCAATCACTCTGCTGCTGGTTTGCGGGGATCGGGCATCGTTTCCTCTTCTATGCAGGTTGTCGTATGGCCCGAAGGCTCCCTTGGCCCCTTTCATGCAGACAACAATGCAACCGACGCAGCACCTGCTCAATTACATGCTACCAGTTCTACGGCGTGCCGACGACAAGCTAGCGGATTGCTTGGATAAGTGAGTAATTGAATATTCGGCACGTAAGTAACCTAGTGATTGTGACGTTGGACTTTCTGTTTAAAGTCCAGATTCACATCCTAGTAGCATTCACAATGACTACCGTTTTCTGGTTTCTCCGTATCAAAATACCTTAGAGCTTGGCTGTAGTGAATAAGTGTACAGTACAAACTAATCAACTGTGGTAGGACCACGCAACAGTCTTCGTTGTTACACAAATGGGTAGGTCCGTCCGGGTAAGTGCCACGAACTCACAGAAGACTGGCGTATTGGAAGTATATTATACTTATGCGTTTTGTCTGGTGAATGAGGTAGCCCATTTTATAAAATGTTGCCTTGCCCTCTACAATCAGAAAAATTTTTAGACTAATAAGTAAACAATTCGCGGCAACAATCCCACACCCTCTGTATCTGCCTTGGCCGCTACAATTGGAACAATTCATAGACTAATAATTGCTCAATTCGTGGCTACAATCCCACACCCTCTGTTTCTCTCTTGGCCACTGCAATCGGACCATCTCGTGGACCAGTAAGTGCTCAATTCGCGGCCACAGCCCTCGCAAATTCGAATTGAAAACATCTCTATTCACATAGAAGCTTCGCAGGGCTGGCGTGGGCACGATGTTCGCGCTGCCGTGGTACCTCACCTGGTTCGGGCACAGCCTGAACCGCTACTCGGACGTGGTGCGCCTCTACGACTACTTCCTCTGCGCCCCGCCCCTCTTCCCGGTGTACGTGACGGCCGCCCTGGTGCTGCACCGGGCGCCCGACGTCCACGCCTGCGACTGCGACATGGCGATGATGCACTGCCTCCTGTCCAGGGTGAGCGTTTCATTGTTTTTAAGAAACAAATCAGGCGAACGGACGTAAATAAATGATAATAATAATAAAGCACACCGCACGGCCGCCCATGCGCTCGCAAGAGTTGCCGGCCTTTCAGGAAAGTACGCCGTCTCTACTTGAAGGTTTCATGGTTTTCAAATTAAAATATCTTTATTCGATATAGAAGCTATACACTTACTTGTTGATTGTCAAAAAATACTACTACGTTCGGAGGAAAAAGCCACTGACCTGAGAACAACTGGCGAAAGGAACTCGGCGGGACAATTTGTTTTTAACATAGTTTGCATAAGCATCAAGCTGTTTATCCGTTATTGGTTTTTCTGTCTCAGTATGGAATGTACACTTAGTTAAACTTCCCCTAGGTCAAGCAACTTTGGATTATTCAACATGTCTCAAAGTATTTAGAGTATTAACTTAGATTATTTAATCTTAACATATCAATATTTAAGGAATGTATATTTTAGTAAATGTCTATGGACATCTTAATAAGGTTAAGACCAACATATTTCAGTTACCAGATGACTTGCCATTTGAAGACATTCTGGTGACAGCGGAAAAACTATACAACGAAAACGACCCAACTGATCTCGAAGATGAGGTCGCTGCTTTGGAGAGGAAAGAGTGAGTTTTAGCATTTTAATCTGTGATTAAACATATGCTTAGATTCCAAATGTTTGCTGTGAACAGCCATCAGTCCGTTTAGACCCTCATGGAATAAACACGTGTATTTGATTCCGCAATGATAATTATATGTGACGATCTCAGTAAAATTCGACAAAAAAATACTATAATAAATCAAAAAGTAATGTATGCCATTTTTAGATACTCGTCTAAAAATGGCATGTCTTGGTTAATTAAAAAAAACAATAGATATAATTTGCCTATATAGACATGTTAATGGATTTAATGTTAACAGTTCAAAAACGTAATAACCGTGACCGATAAGTGAAGTTACTAATAAATTGGTTCACAGGGAAGAGCAACGGCGATTGGACGAGGAGCGCCTCCGGCAGCGTCGCGTAGAGCGGGCAGGCCGCAATCGGGCGGCGGGTGGAGCCCTATCGCGCCTGCGGAGGCTCCTCCCGCGCGGGCCGCTCGCCCGGGGCGCCGCCCTCGCCGCGGCCGCAGCCCTCATCGCCGTCTACGCCTACTACCGGCCCGACCTCTTCTCCAGGTAGCGCCGCGCCTACGCCCTGCTACTGTTCGCCTTCTAGCCGCTCGTCACATACATCCACACAGCGTACAGGGGCTGGCAGCGAGCCCACGCTGCCATTAGATTGCCATTACATGTATCTAGATATACAGACTAGCGCTGACAGTAGGGCCACAGTCTGTTGGGTGAATTTTATCGCTTCACTGCCAACGATGTAGCATGTTCTGGTGGAACAGATATTGGCACTGAGACCTAATGTTTACATGTGTTCAAATGTATTCTTGAGATAGTGTGAATGGTATGTGTAAGCGCGCATATTAGGTAAAACCTAGCGAGGTTATTGGGTTAAAAAATTTATATGTGAAATGAAGGCTTGACATAGTTTGGGCATTTATTTATAAAAAAAATCATATTACAGGATAAATATATGCACCAATTTCGATATTTTAATTGATTTGTTTGATGGTCAGATAATGTTGTATGAATTTGGGGATTAATATTTAAAAAATGTACTTGGGCAAACAAATGGATATGTATTTTCCAGTCAGGAGTAACATAGTTTAAAAAAGCATTGATCTGTTGAGTATTCAGAAACATGTTGTTTTCTAGTATTGCATTACATTTCATCAATTATATAAGTTTAGATTTATGATCAGTACTATATAAAAATATATATGTGTATACTACATTAATATCTTTGCATATATTATTTTGTACATTATTTTGTATGTAAAATAATATATATGGTATTTTGAAAAATGCCATCAGTGTAAGATGCTAGTGATATAAGTTAAATTATTAATATAATTATTGATATTCAAAACAAAAATGCTAACTAAATAAGTGTTTTCCTTTGGCTAAAATCCTTCTAACATGAAAACGAAATAAACATGGGGACTATGAAGCTAATGTAAAGTAGATTTTGCACAAGTTTGAAACTGTTTACATTTTATGTTTACTATGTGTGTTCTAACGTTATAAATATTTAGTCTGTATGTGTTATTTAATGTAGATATTGTTATAGTTTCTCCTTTCTTTCAAATGTGATATTAGCAACTTATACTCTTTAATGATAAGGAAATTTTATTTTCCATTATTTATATATCATTCCCCTTTTTTATTATAAGTATTTCTTTTACTGGAAATAAAAATAATATTGTAAAAATTAAAAATTGGCTTAAATATTTAGGAAGTTTGGGATGATATGAGATATATTAGATATGCCATATTTGCGTATTCAAAAGTTCCTGCTATCATTACATCAAACTTTAGGAGCATTATAGCAATGTTCAAATAATGAGCATTCATTCTTATCGTGAACAGGCAACTACTTTTACATTGCGTTATCAACTTTTATAGAAAAAATATCACCAATTATTCATCAAATACAAGTTATTTGTAATTAATTAAAGTGGTTCTCTTTTGGACTGCAATTAAAAATACCATGCAAAGGTAAATTTACATTAAATCATACTAAAAAGTTTGTAGTGTAAGTTTGTGTGGCGAATTTCTTTTTAAATTAGTTGCGAAAAAACTTGCGTATTTACGTTTTAGATCCGCTAATTAAAGTAAATCAGTCTAATTGCAAAAATCGATTGTATTTGGTGGTATTTATAATATTACTCCAAAGAGTGTGGAAATATTGTAAGCCCATTTATCGAGATGCCCATAATTATAAAAATCTGATCATGCTTACTTAGACCAGTCTTTTGAATAATCCAGTGATGAATTACTTACCACTGATATTGTTGCACATTTATGTCAAGTTCATGTTAAATTATAAAAAAATAATTTAAATGTAGAAAAGCACATGAATTTTTTCTTACACAATATTCGAAAGTAAGTCATTATTTGTTAAGTGTTTGACTATTGAAAATTTGTTTTAAGCATTTATTATTTATAAATAGAGTATAGATGTTCTGGTTGTATCACAATTAATGTATTGAACTTAAGAATAATTTTATGTTAAGTTTTACATGCACAACTTATTTTCAGCTAAGAGATAACTAAAGTAGAATAAAAGAGGTTCAGCTGTTAACTGCTTGAAATATGACCCTGTACATAAGCCAATAGAGTGGAATGTTTTTTACTATAGATATTTAAACTATTTTTCAGTTCTTAACTATTTTACACTAATTTTTTTTTCATCAACATGTCGAGAAAGTAAATTTATAAAATAATATGAAAAAAGACAACCTTTGCAACATGTGGTAATGGTTTCAATTTAGGTTTTTTTTTAAAAGCTATCCCTATATGAAACAGTTTTAATTATAAAATAAGGCTAAATTAACAATTCCTTGTTTTTGTATTATTTCATGAACTTCCATGTTAATCAAATTAAATTAGACTTTTTGCTTGTACATAGAGAATGTATTTTAAAATATGTAAAAATGGTGTGCTTGAATTTATTTATTTGTAGTTAATTAAAATTAAAAAGCATTATGGAACTGAAAGATCTTCTAAAATTCTATGTCAGTATAGTATTATACAACAGAGAATGTTTCATTTTTGTATAAAATTCTTAGAAAAAGATGGATAAATCATTAAAGATTGTGCAATTATTCATTTTAACTTGGGTAATTCGCAATAAAAACAGATACCATAACTGTTTTTTCTTTAAATATAATTAGTATAATTTCCTTTACAGACTGGCTTTAAAGACAGAACTATTATAAACATGTTCAAAATAGAAAGCCAGTTGGAAATCAGAATATTATCTGTGTGGATTTATAACAATTTGGTGGTATTTATAATATTACTCCAAAGAGTGTGGAAATATTGTAAGCACTAATGTATTAAAGTTGATGTATATTGGACACTTAGCTAGTACGTTATTCAAGATTTTGTAATGAGCTACTGTATGCGTGGCGTCGGAAACATCGCGTTTAAAAGATTACATTGTTTATTACGAGATTGTCTTTTATTCGGCTCTCAGTTATTGTTTGTTATTGTATGTATCAAAATGTAGCTTGTGTGTTCCATGTGTATTTTGAGTCTTATCCTTGTTTTTTTTTTTTAGTTTGTAGATAATATGTTGCCACTCTTTTTTTGTTTACTAGCATTCATTACAGTTTTGAAAGAATCCTTACAATATCATCATGCGTTAATGACATTTATCAAATCAATCATTTATCAGAAAATTGGTGAAAACAATGAATTTACAAGGTCTAAGGTGTGTGGATGTATATATATGAGAATGTTAGTGTAATTATTACAACCCTCAAATTGCTACCAGCAAGTTTATTTCGCTTAAGTGTTTTACACAGAGACATTTAATCATTACATTAAGAAAATATTAACTTTCACGGACTTTTTTAACTACTCTGTTTTTTTTAAGAAATTTAAAGTTATTTATAGTGCTAATCTCTCTGCACTTAAGATTAAACATTAAAACTTGTAGAAAAAGTATGTAAGTAAAGTAAAATCATAAGAAAAGTAGGTAGTAAAGTAAAAAGCAAGTAAGTAAGAAATTGTTTTTATGCTGGAAAGGATATAACAATGGATGCGCCAAGCATTGCTTCAAATGTTAAACAACAATGTAAATAAAAGTTGTTAAGATTTTCGTCGGTCTAGCAATCAGCCGTTTAGCTTGGAGGCTAAAGCGTCAGGTCGCGAATGTCGAAGACGTGGGTTCGATTCCCACAGCGGCGACAATCTTCGTACTTTTTCTACAAGTTTTAATACTCCGTTTTTTCCTTTTTTCTATATTTGATGATGCCTTTTTTTGTATTGATACACTTTTTACCTATTATTTCTTATAGCTATATCCAAAATCGAATGCATGTCTTTGATGTTTTCAGAAAACGCGCGGAAGGTCCAGACTTTGATGGGTTCTAGGATGGAAATAAAACTTGTTTGTTACGAAAGTTTCGTTGGTTTTTTATTAAACATAAAACTTGGTTTACACACAGACGGTGCAATACAAATACAATGGAACATATTTGGATTCCTAATTAAAAAAAAATTCAAACAATGAGGTGTTTCAAAGTGTTTACAAATAAAACCACACTTCGAAACAAATAAATTTTAAAATGTAAATATTTTATGGTAAAACATTGGTGTTGTTTCAACACTAAAGTGTAGATTACTTCTAGTTTAATTTAGACAGTTGAGTATTGACCTATTAAAGCTAATTAAAAAAAATATTCAAGGAATATTTAATGGAAGACAATTAATAAGGTAATTTTTTACTTACATAATATTAAATATGAGACCATTATAAGTCATTAAAACAAAAAAATCGGACAATTATGAGTGATAAACTAAATTTTGAAAAATTTTAATAATTTGATTTTAGAATAAATCTATTTCAAATTTACTTCTAGAGAACATGAAAAATAAGAATTATTTGCATGCACTAATTATCTATTTTTTTTTAATAATTTTGTATGCGATTTTATTACTAGCAGTTTTTTTTACATTTTTTTCTGTTAGGCAACAAAAAAGATTGAAATAGGCAAGTTTTGTCATGGAATTAAGTTTGACACAGGACAAATTTAAGTTCTGAACTTTCTCCTAGATAGTTATTTTCTTAATTTATCACAGTCATGTAAGCTTTGCCAGATCTCTTAAATACGTATTAAATTACTCATAAACACAAGCTGTATCTACGAACCAAGCATACACCTAGTTATCTACAAATCTAATAATACAAATAGTTTAGAAAAAAAAAAAGAATAATAACCTTTCTTCACAAGTCTATTTGGCTATTTCATATTGATTTCATGATTGACATTCTTGACTTGTCGGTAGATATGGTCCTGCTAGTTCGAGTATGAGTTATTATAAGTATCTATAGAAGCAACAATTGTATTCATTATTTAATGGTTTTGTCTTTTTAGTCTAATTATAATCGATTAAGCAATGTATTAAATGTCGTTTTAAAATACTAAGAAATTTTTATACTCTTTATGAAGTATGGAACTATTGTATATGTATTCATTCTATGGAATTATTATCAAAATAGTTGCTTATAGGACATTTTATTTTTCATATAAGGATAAATTAAAAATAGAATTTTATTATTTTTACCAAAATTTGTCATTTCGCGGTTAATACTCTATTTGAGTATTCATATTATAATTATTCAAAAATTTTGGTAGGTATTATGAAATAATTAATTTCGAGTAGAGAGACGCCGACACAAAAATACGAATAAATTAGTCTATAGAGAGCTACAAAGAGAACATTTGACGACACTCTTTTAACCGTGAAACTTAAAATTAACTTAAAACCTAATCAAAGTCGGCGTCGACACCAATCGACGCGTGTTTGATTGACTCTAGCCTTGTTCGCATATTGCACATTCGTATCTACACCTGTCACTGCCGCAAAGGTATCCTTATATATATCTGGAAGTAGAAAAACAAAATGCATATATAATGAGTGCATTCAATGTAGAGAAAAAAGCAAGCGGTGCCATCCTTCAACTCTTGGGTAGAAAGATATGGAAAGGGCTTTCAAACATACAGCGGAGAGGTGGTTGAATAAGTAGTCAAACCAAAATGTCAGTAACTGAACTCAAAATTATCATATTAATTATACAAAGCGTATGATGATTACATAGATATTTATGTAATGTATCTTCAATTTATTTACTTATAAACTTGATGCAGTAGCTTTGTGGGGACGAGAAAATTTAGCCCAGCATATGGTTGTAGTAGTGATTCGGTGGCGCCGTTGCTAAACTACTGGCTTCGGCGTCGGTATTAGTGGGTTCGATTCCTACACGGGGCAAGTATTTAGGAGACGCACAGATTCCGGATCTATGTGTTTGATTCCCAAGGTCAGGTAGGCATGATTCATTTGTTGTGCCGATCCCACCTAGGTGGGATAAGGGCAGGAATGACGATGGTGATAGGCTAGTAACTAATAGTGGACAAAAACTATATATAGGCAATATAGGTTGGTAGGTGTTAAAAATGTGGGCTTACCGCGCTCGGGGTGGGCGTGGGCGTGGGCTCAAAGCGCGAGCACGTCCAGCACGTAGTCGATGACGCGCTGGTCGTGCAGGATCTTGAGGTGCTCGGCGCCCTTGAGCGGCAGCGACTTGACCGGCCGCCCAGCGTTGGGCAGCGGGCGGCCGCCCAGCCGCGCCCGCCTGCGCTGCTTGGCCCAATGCAGGCAGCCGGTGAGCGAGCGCAGGTTGACGGTGCCGTCGCCGTCGCCGCTCACCAGCGTCGGGTAGCCGTCCAGCCACGCGCCGGCGGCGTACACCAGCCTGGAAGGCGCTACTCTATGAGCCTGTGACGAGCCAACAACAAGTGTCGCGGTTCTCACACTACTTCTCAAATAATTTACTGTGTCACTGTTAGACGAATGGGCAGAAGACCGGCGAGAAGAGGAAGCATTAAAGATTCGCGAGTTTGGTGAGTGAGTTAGCCGGGGTCCGTATTTTCACCCCTCCTTTTCTCTTCGGTTCTCGCCTTGACGTGGCCTGCCTGTGGTGTACGGCCAGCCCGAGAGGCCCGCTCCGAGTGGGCTCATTGAGCCCACTCTGGAGGGTGCAGGGAACAGGTTGAGGGTTGTGGATGAGGAACCACTCTCACTGTCTTCTGCTACCGAGGAGGAGTCGCGGGGGAAGAGGAGTGCCGGTATTGCCTTTGGCCGCGCTCCCGTTCCTCCGTGACTCGACGGGGCTGCACCGTGATGCAGTGGTGGTGGGGCCGCGGGGGGCTGGGAGGCTTGCTGCTTATTAGCACTGGCTCTCCTGGCTCCCATGGCCCCGGTCAGCGAACTCGGGGAGTTCGTTGGCCGAAAATGGGACCGAGTAGGAATGCGCGCTGAATGTTCCAGCGCGCCTTTCTACTCGGAGGCGAGGGGGTTGGTCCCCGAGAGGGGGCTGTTGAGGCGGCCAGCGCTGGCAGGGTCGCGGAAGTGTGCGATAGCGTTCCCGTTACCCTGCCGATATGCGCCTATGTGGAACATCGTGGGAGTTTTAGTCGGTGCGAGTCCGACATAATCCGCTCTTGCCCCCGCGAGGGCGGGTATGCGTAGGCATTTCCCCCACGTCAACAAAAAAAAAGGTCCGTATTTTCAAAGGTTGCCAACGCATCAGCAAGCCCCCGGGTGTTGTAGATATCACCGCATACTATGACTATTTTCTCGAAAAGTTAAGTCTTTAATTTTCGACTTTTTTTACTTCCAACTTAAAAGTAACAAAACGTAAAGGTCAATCGGAAGTAACCAGGTTTTGGGTTGAAAACTTGTATGGTAGTTCCCATGGTAGTTGAAGGTCTTATAAAAAAAGTAAAGGGAAAATCCGGAAATCTAAAAAATTTTGAAAATTAAGGTAAATTTTGGTGGCAAGTTTTTTCGAAAATCTAAATCTGCCCATATCTTTTTATAATGTTGACTCAGGACCTTGATTTTTATACACCTATTAGGGACCGTAGACCTCAGTATCTGGTATAAATTTCAACTGGCTAGGTCCACAAGTTCCTGATAAAATCGGAGGTGACAGACGAACAAGAGAGTGATCTTATAAGGGTCCCTTCTTTTACCTTTTAAGGTGCGGAACATTAAAAACTATTTCACTGCTATAAAAACCTGTAGAAAAAATGGACAACAACCTTTCCGCCGTCGCGGGAATCGAACCCACGTCTTCCGGCTTCGCGGCCTTATGCCTTAACCGCTGAGCTAAATCGCCGATTGCCACGCCATAAATCTCAGTCATTATCTACATCGTTTCTTCGCATTTCAAGCGGTTCACCGCCGGCATGCCCTCACCGTTCCACGGTGGATATGTTGTACCCGTAGAGGCAGTGCACCTCCACGCCGGGCGCGCTGAAGTCGCGCGTGAACTCCTCGGTGTCCTTGCGCATCTCCCAAGCGTTCGGCACGTCCATGTCGCTAGAAACGTCAATGTCACAGCTTAAGATTAATGACTGAACGAATACCATATATCGCTAGAAACGTCAATGTGACAGCTTAAGATTAATGAATGAACGAATACCATATATCGCTAGAAACGTCAATGTGACAGCTTAAGATGAATGAATGAACGAATACCATATATCGCTTCGATACGTCAATGTGACAGCTTAAGATGAATGAATGAATAAATACCATATCGCTAGAAACGTCAATGTGACAGCTTAAGATGAGTGAATGAATGAATGCCATATCGCTAGAAACGTCAATGTCACAGCTTAAGATGAATGAATGAATAATTGAATTCATTATCGCTAGTAACGTCTATTGTCCACCGCAAATGAGAGCACCTATACATAAAAGTGACAATAGGACAACAAGTTTATGCAATTTACAATGTTATGCATGTGTTGGGCTTTAACAAGCCTATAATAAATGGCGCGTACGTCGTTTCTAAAACGATTTGTACGTATTTAGTTTTTGAGTACGTATTTAATGAAAGTTTGAGTCTGTCTTCAGGTGGATTCGAGAATGATCTAGGTTCACAATTCAGTCCATCACAATTTTTATTTTTTTGTATTTATAAGTTGTCAGATTTAAGTTGTGTATACAGACGTATGTCGAGTCCCCTAAGTATGTATATATATTTTCATGAAATTTAGTGTGAACTAAGTTTCAGGGGCGATAAATCGATCTAGCTACGTTTCATTTTTAGAAAACTTCGTTTTATACGTGTTTTCAGGCAATGAAAAACTGCTACAATATCATTAAAATACGAAGGTAAATTTCGCCACCATCTACAAGGTTATAATAGCTCAGATGGGAAATCGGGCGGGCCCGAAACCAGAAGACCCCGGTTCCAGTCCGGATGATTATTTCCCCCCACCCCCTTTTTTTTTCAAGTTGCTTCTTTAGCGAGAACAAAACCGAGCAAAGCTCAGTCATCTAGGCACTATTGTTTATGTACGAGGGTAAATTTACGTCCTTTCCGAACTGATGTTCGTCGTTATAGCTCCCACAGTTTTCGGATGACGACGATGTTATTTCAATAATGCTATTGTGATGGTAACTGCGTGTACCACCACACCTTAATGTCAATGTGGCATGGATGAGCTTATGTATGGCGGTTAAGAAATGTCAAAATAAACCGACCGATGCCGCTGAATGCTTTTACTGCACTAAAATATATTAAATTTATAATTACGAACCAAAGTATAAAATTAGGTCGCGCATACGAAAGCTTGCAAGTGCCAATATGTCGTGTGTGCAATTTTGCTATACAATAGAAAATGTACGGCTTTGCCTGTACAGCTGCTAAACAAAGAAGTGGCTTCTGCCACTGGTTTAGTGTATACTATATAGTCTTCTGCTATATACTAGACTGTATAGTCTTCAAGATACGGTTCGAAAGCCTCGAGCGAATGACGTACTGACAATAAAGTCGCCAAACAGCACAGTGCGTGCCGGAACCTTGAGCGACGCAGAACGTCGGAGGTTAAACTCAAAAACAAACAGCGGTACAATACTGAAAGTAGTTTCATTAAAATGTAGCGTTCGTGCAAATTTATGATGTCGTTATTGTAATGACATTCTATGTAATTACATCAAACCAGTAGATTAAGAAAATATTTAGGTTTATATTTCGGAGACATTTTTACACTAGGTTATCTAGAGCCAAACTAAATAAAGCTGTACTGTGAGTACTGGTCAACTAATAAAGATACTTTTCCTTCGTAAATAAATGCATTTTTTAGATTTATAAACACCCAGGTACTAGAAAAATATAATATTTTTCTATTATCCGACTAATAGAAAAACATAATATTTTTCTTCCGACTAATAGAAAAACATAATATTTTTCTATTAGTCGGGATCAAACACAATCCATCATCTGGCGCAAGAGAAGAGAGAGAGAAGGTACACAAGAAGAATATACATAAAGATAAAATAAGATATCACGGCGTACTCAGACGCGTCAATTAGCTAACTAGCGTTTAATTCTCAAAAGATTATTAGAACCCTATAGATGACAGATAAACTAGTTCCACTCTCGTTGAGCTAAATTGGGTTCCCTGAAAGAGCTGGTGAGTGCCAATGCTCATGTGATTAAGAATATACATAAATAAATTAATATTAGATATCACGGCGTACTCAGACGTGTCAATTAGCTAACTAGCGTTTAATTCTCAAAAGATTATTAGAACCCTATAGATGACAGATAAACTAGTTCCACTCTCGTTGAGCTAAATGGAGTTCGCTGAAAGAGCTGGTGTGTGCCAATGCTTATGTGATTAAGAATATACATAAATAAATTAATATTAGATATCACGGCGTACTCAGACGTGTCAATTAGCTAACTAGCGTTTAATTCTCAAAAGATTATTAGAACCCTATAGATGACAGATAAACTAGTTCCACTCTCGTTGAGCTAAATGGGGTTCCCTGAAAGAGGTGGTGTGTGCCAATGCTCACGTGAACAGCTGCTGGAAGTGCTCGATGGTGTAGTTGAACTTGTGCGTCTGCACCAGCACCTCGGTGGGCTTCCAGAAGAGCGGCGACGGCAGCAGCCACGCGAGGGAGGGGCACGTGATCTGCTCCGTGCGCATTATGCTCTCGCGCAGCACCAAGGAGCCCAGGTCGTCACCTGCCGGGGCAGATTCCCATAATCGTCATCAGATGTAAATCTTAGTTCCTAAGTCTGTTGTCAGATTTTATTACAAAAACAACATGTAATTCCGTTGGTGGTTCTATCAATACTTACTTATATTATATAGGCGATAGTTTGTATGTATGGATGGATGTTTGTTACTCTTTCACGCAAATACTACTGAATGGATTTTAATGAAACTTTACAATAATATAGCTTATACATCAGAATATATAATATAATAATCTTTATTTGCCATTAAACTGGGTGATTAAGAAGTTGATTTACAAAATTATTGACCTCCAAGTTCAGCCATAAAATATGGCATGCAAATATGCGTTACTTTGTATTTAATAACCAGTGTTATATTTGATATAAAAAAAAATACAATTTATATGGATGAAATATATACAAGATTTTATAATATGTACTTTAACATGTCAATATTGATTTTATTTATGATCTAGAAATTCCTTAACCGAGTAAAATGTGTGTTTTAGAAGCCACTCTCTTAGGCACTTTTTAAACTTATTAAACGGTTGATCTTTTATGGTCTGAGGTAGGTTGTTAAAGATTGTTTTGCCCATCCAGAAGCAATTCCTTTGAAACCCTATAGTTTTCGGTATTATATCAATAAAAATTTTATTTGGGCATCTTTTTGCTCTAGGCGCCGTGTCATTTTTGTCATAAATACTCTCCTGGTGTTGTTTAATAAATTTAGCCATTTCCATAATAAATAAACATGGGAGGGGGAGAATTCCTAGTGATTGAAATAGGGCTTTACATGATGTCTGTGGCGGAACGCAGCAAATAGCTCGAATGCATTTTTTTTTGCACTATAAACACTTTATTAACCTCAGTACTATTACCCCAAAGCACTAAGCCATATCGGAGTACTGATTCCACATATGAAAAGTATGCTGTAATTGCAGTTTGCCTTGTTGCTACTTTGTTTAGTTTATATAGCGCATAAGTAAATTTATTGATTTTGTTACACACTATCCTTACTTGTTCTCTCCATTTCAATGCTTCGTCAATTATGATACCCAAAAATGTCACATGGTTAGCCCTACTTAAAGTTTGTCCGTCATAATTAATGTCAAATGAAATTTTGTTAAAATTGATATATTGTGTCTTATTTAAATTAATTATTAAATTATTATCACCTAACCATTGACTTACCGATTTAATGGTAGAATTAATGTCACTTACATGTCTAGATAATGTCAGGTATTTATGTGTTGAAATTATTATCGATATGTCATCTGCAAATAATATACTTCTGTACTTCGTTATTTCTGGTAAGTCATTGACGTAAAGAATAAATAACAGTGGACCAAGGACGCTGCCCTGGGGAACACCAAATCTATTTATTTTAAATTTCGATTTATGTTTTTGTACCATATTTGTTTCATTGAGGCTAGGTTACAATAAGACATAGGCTATAATTTATTTAGATATTTTATGTATATCTGTCTTTCTAACTGAATTTTAGGCCTATTCTACGCAGACGTAGTCCCGGGCAGCAGTAAATAAATAAATCAGGGTTGTACTTCTGCGTTTCGTCTGGTGAGCGAGGTAGCCGGGGCTCAGTTTATTTAAAAGGTGGCGATATGCTACCCTACGGGTGTTGCAAATGTCCATCGGCGGCGGTTATCACTTAACACCAGGTGAACCATCAGCTCGGAGTACGATTCGTGAGAAACGGTGATTACTTCGATTCATACTAAACAAAGGTATGAGATTACAATTAAAGAGCTTGGAATGACAATGCGAATCGTTTGTTAAAGCGTTGCGAAATATGTCTAATAACATTGAAAGGCGTGGATGTGAATTCGAACTGGAATCAAATATCTAAATATTAAAAAACGAATCGAAACTTTCTTCGGCCATAAAAAGTTTTGATTATTTATTATTAACTCTTACAACCCTGATAAAAGAGGTCACTGATCGCGCGTTTGTTTTATTACTGCATCATGTGATACTCACACATGCATACATGTCATCGCTTAACTTATTCCCCTTTCCCTCTACCCCTCATTACGTTATTACCTCCGATTTCACATCTCAAGTTTATTAGCTAGCTGCCCGGACAAATTCATTCTGTCAAGTTTTTTTTTATAGTATTAAAACCTTCCGTGGACCTTAGGGAACATACAAAAAAAAATTAGCCGAATTGGTCTAGCCATTCTTGGGTTATGCGCTTACCAACATTCATTTTTTTATATAGATATGACAAAGAAACTTTACAAATTTTGTGTTTTTATTTGCGACAGTTGCCAAGCGAGCAGGCGGTCGCCTGATGTTAAACGAATACCGCCAATGGACATCTGGAACGCCCGATGGCTTGCTGATGCGTTGGCAACCTTTAAAGAAATTGGCCCCGGTTACCTCACTCGCCATACGAAACGCGAAAGTTTAATACCTCACGCCGGTCTTCTGTGAGAGAGACCGTGGTAATTCCCCGGACCGAGCCTGCTCATTCGTGCAACAGTAGCAGCTGTTCCGTGGCCCTACCACGAATATATACGAAGATAATCTCCGGTATCACTGTTTAGTGGAAAATGCTCTCACCATTTGAAAGATTAATTATACCGGAGGGATAAAGGCGATATACAATAAATATATGTATTTAAATGTATTTATATATTGTAGTATTTACTATCATCAACTAAGGTCCTCCTTTAAGCAAGGACAGAAATATTTACATTAAGAAATAATAACATGTGATGGCCCTTACATTTACTTTAGAATTTAGCTGTAAAATTGGATTGCGAACGCGAATCCAGGGCCACTAGTGTGTCCAGGGTCGCTAGTGTTTCGACATAAAAAATAAGCAGTGATATTGTTTCAATAAAAACGCTCTAAATAAAGTATTTCTTAACGCAACACAATAAATTGCTTAGTGGCTAAAAAGACAAACATTGACCTTTATTGTTCCGAATGTGACGACATCAAGTGAGGAAATAAATAATCTTTAGGTCATACCGTCGTACAATGTATCTACTGATAGTACCAGAATGCTTTCAAGCATTATATTATTTACTTTATTTGTGCTAATAAACTTAACAAACTAAATATACTTTATAATACACGTAATAATTAATAAAAATGAATTTTTGTAGTCAAGTACTGGCCACTTTTGAATAAAAAAAAAAATGGACGAAAGGAACGGAATTTACTGAGACTCAGGGCTCTCTAGACTAGTTTTTTACGTGCTCCTGTGATAGATAAAAACGTTTAACGGGTGCAGGACAAACTTACACAATAAAACCAACTCACTTAAAAGAATAAGACTCGTAAGGTTTTCCCGCTATGATAGTTATAGGAAAATATTGACAGGAAACCACTATTGGTTTATGGAATCAATGTTGCCGCAATGCGACGCTATCACTCCATGATTCGCAGTTCGCTACGATCGATTTTCTTTCGTTTTGAAAACAAAATAAACAAGTTTACGTTAGTAATAAGCATTTTACAATAGCTACTGAATATACTGTTTGAGTTTTTTTTTCTTTTTAGGTTACATGTTTTTCATTCCGTGTGCCAACACCAATGCAATTGTAAATTTTAAGTTCTGGCTTATCACGGTGCGGTGAAGGAAAACGTCGGGAAACCTGCATATTTATTATTTCAATAATAGCAAGAATAATAGTAGTGGGACTTGTTTAGGCTGCTAATTTACTTTTTTACATAATCTCATCAAAGGCCACCGTAAACCTCAACAGCACTGTCTTTCAGAAAAAAAATCATTATTCTTCCCATTGGTAATTCACCCTTTTTCGGAACATAACGCTTACTATCGAAAGACTAGGTTTACCACTAATGCCTACTAATGTGTGTGAAATGTTATATTTCTGATTAGGCTTCTTTATTAGGAGAAATTCGACGTATGAATATTATAAATTATACAACGAACTAGCTCTGGCTTCGCAAGGGTAGCAGAGCATATACGCCTGCACTATTTTTCGCTTAACCGGCGATATTTATACGCGTGGCATTTTTTCCGACAATTTCACATTCATAATCTTATTTCAGCAAATACCAAACGAATCACATCGTCGTTTGTTGAAAACCGTATACGGTTCGTTTTCGAGTTATTCTCTGGTATTACATAAGATCTATTCATTATATCTTAAAGATATATAGAGATATTCAGGGAGTAATCAGGTATAATGTTAAAAACAAGTACGAGTATGACTCGCGCACGATGGGTACCATTATCTATAAAAACGGAAAAAACAAAAAATCATGACTATTGTATGGGCGCCCGATTTAAATATTTTTTTATTCTGTTTTTTAGTATTTGATGTTATAGCGGCAATAGAAATACCTTAACTGGTCTTTTGCGTGAATGGAAACCTGTCACCGTCCACAGGCCACAACAGTGACACAGTATTTTAGTAACACACGACCTAGTTCACACTACTGGGATTCGAACCAGACTCCCAACGGGTACGGTCTTAGCCAATAAGCCTTTACCACCAAATCAAATATCTCAGCTGAACAGTGCACACACCTATAGCAAACACCTTGAGCGCCTTCACGGCCCCGCCCCACGGGGTAGACAGAGAAATGAGCCGCCTGATGTACTGGTCCTTCCAGCTCTGCCCCTGCAGCCGGAGGAAGTGCAGCGCCATAGAGCCACCCATGCTGTGCACCAGCAGGGTCACGGCACTCTTGTTGTTCATCGTGTAGGTCTCTTCTACTAGAGATTTTAACTTCACGAAGAACTCCCCATTCTCGTCTGGAGACGGATCGCTGCATTAGATGGCTTTGATGGTGCTGTTGCTGCAGTACAGGCTTTGGCATCGAGGGTCGTAGGTTTGATTCTCGTTTGGGATGATTAATTGTATTTCTATTTTTGTTACGGATACAACAGTGCTGGACTAACATTCAACCCAATAATTTTTGTTTTAGATTTGGGGGTTTTGTTTATATGTTACTTGTGAGATATACCTTTATAATACTAAAAGAACTATGACAAAATAGAGAATATATACAAAATAAGGAAAAAGTACTTGTTAAATAAGCAATGCTCACTGTTTTGGTTTAAATAAGCAGATGTAAAATATATATAACATTTAACTTTTACTTCAAGTTTAATACCCAAACCTTAGTGATATAAAAATGCAAAATCCTTTGTAGTGACAAATATTTAATAAAATAATAGTGTCAACTTACTCGGTGCTTTCCTAAAATCATATGGAGCCCCCCTTAACGAAACATTTCTTACATATCCAGTCTTGACTAGTGCATTGCCTATAGTACTAAAATATGAGCCGGCACTCTCATGGGATGGGTCCAACCACTCTACTGGCTCAGGATTTCCCCAGCCAGGGACACGAATTTCCACACCCTCAGGGTATCTGGTGGTTCTTGTAACATTGTCATACTCCAGCCTCGTATTGTCTACCCAACAGTCAATTACATATGGCACCAATAGTTCCAGATTCAACCAGATATTGAAGAAATCATTAGATGTTTTTGCGCATATGTAGTGCACTACATTGGTCTTGTTCAACTTTGCTTCAAGTTGGCTACCTCCATCGCCAGGTACTGTGAAAGAATTAAACCAAGTCAGTTCTGTTCTTGCTTGAAGCTGTTATTTTGAACTTTTTCTTTTGTGAACGAAATTACAAAATGACTCAATTAGCCTGAATCTATATTGTGACCCTTGGGTCACAATATAGATAGGTCCTTGATTCTATTATATCAATAATATTCAAGAATAGGCAAATTTATGCAACTGTTCAAAATTTTAAATCCCCAATTGCCATTCCAAGGGGCTTCCATAAGAATGATTTTTTTTATTTTATACATGAATTTAAAGAAATTATCATATTCAATCTTATAAAATTTTTAGTGCCAGAAACACAGTATGATCATTAAACTCTTATTACTATAGTATTAGAAAGGGCCAAATGAATATTTACTTTATTATATCAATTATCTTATTATGATTTAATTTAGTATCTCAAAGTAGTAAGTTTAGTATCTCAAAATTTAATTTAGTTGTCTTTTGAAAAGTTTTACATAACAATGAATTCCTTAATTTAATTTATATAGAATGAATGGTAATGTGGTCAATATTGTAATTGCCTAGATATATCTGTATTTAAAATATCTATAATATTAAGAGTTATTCCAAAAACAATGCACCATCAATAAAGACAAAATATAGGATGCAAGTTAATACTTCATCTAGAAAATTCAAGAAAATAATACGATTATGCCTAAAGTACTTACTTAAAATTACTGGAGATAATCCCAAGGAATTTTGCGTTACAAAAGTAAATATCGAGACAAGTGCAAATATCAATCTCATTATAAATTAACACAATTTGATAACAGTGCGACACCAAACTAATCTATACTGAAACTTTTATTATATTAATATATAGCACCAAGTTGTGTTTACTTTACGCAACACGACAGACGATTATCTGAAGAGGCTTTCAATTATGCTATGACGTTATGTGTCGTACGATGTAATTGCAAACTGCCGCGGTGAAGGGTTATGGCATTAAACTTATACAACAACATTCGATTGATAATAATCATCAGTGACATATAAATAATTTCAGATATATAAAAGTACTCTTTGATACAGTGATCGGTCAGTGGATGTTTTGATTTTGTTTATCATAGCTGTCTCAATTATTTATATTTACTCTGGACCCATAAAAAAATATCGAATCTATCACGGAAATATTTTTTCTCTATTAAGTTTCTGAAGGGTAACTAAAAAAAAAAAATCTTCTGATATAAATTTGATGTTGATGATAGAGTATAAAGAGTATTATCTCAACTAATCTAAATGTATTTTTATATATATCCTTAGATATATAGTATATTTAAGGTGCCAGTTTAAAAAAAAATCCTTCCCAAAAAAAGAGCCGTGATAGCTGTGTCCGGGCGCTCGCCTTTAATTCAATATACTCGAGCAACCTGAGTTCGATCCCCGGTGCCGGCACCAATGACGTTTTTAACTTTAAGTGCTGACTTATCACGTGCTCCGCGGTGAAGGAAAAACATCGTGAGGAAACCTGCATATTTTCGAAATAATAACAAAAAAAATATATTTTTCGAAGATATGCGAAGTCCGCCAAACCGCAGTGGGGCCGTGTGGTGGACTATACCCTGACACCCTCTGTATAGGAGAGGCCTTTGCCCAGCAGTGGGACATGTATAGGCTGTTACTTTACTTTTACCTTTTTTTAAAAAAAAAATCCTTATACATAGGGTATTTATAGGGCAGAAGTGGAAAGAAACTGCATCATTTGTCCAACAAAGTCTTTCCAATGTTGATAAAATTGCCATCTTATGAAATGCATTTTCGTATGGTATGTGTGCGAAAATGCAAAATTAGGAAAAATATTAGTTGAGTAAACATGGCGAAGTATTTGAGTCGATTAGACATCTCTATGATGATGATATTAAGTAGGTTATTTTTTGTCCACTTGTTACTAACTGGGATTTTTAAATTAATCAGACTATGCAATACGGCAATTTAATTTTCATGATTTTTATTTAGAAATACGGCAATCTGTAATGTCGAATACGGCAACTATGTAAAACTTGAGGGCACTGGGCAACCCTGGCGTAAACGTACCGCGCAGTCGTGAATTTTTTAAAAATGTTAGAGGGAGTGATTCTGTAACTCATTTTTGTACTCTACTATTTTAACATATTTTATACAGCTTTAGAATTTTGTCACTATAAAACAGTAAAATGTTAGCGAAAATCAATATCAAGGGAACAAAAACGGGCGGTATTCGCTTTATTCTTGAAAATTGAAATGTTTCTGCAGGTACAAGACCGAACTGAAATCGATAAAACATCAACGGCGGTGACTGAGTTTTGTCTCTTTGTCTACTTACAGGGTCGAGTTATAATTATTTGGTTGTCTTGGCTTGTTGGAGGCATTTGTGGTGTTGTTATTTTGTTCATTATTATATGTTACTGCCGCCTCATGCCGCGCCATCAGAAATCATTCGGTTCGCATTTCAATTTCTTACCTTTTCTATATACTTAGCGAATACTAATAATTTTATTCTAAAGAATCCTAATTACAGTTTAACTTCTGTTTTACCCCATATGTGAACATAATTATAATATACAAATAATATATACATATATTTTTTCTTTTAGATGAACAGTACCTTAAAAATACCTACACAATCAAAGAAGACCATGGATATTCCCATCAAGACTATAACAGAGCAAAACAGGCCGAGGTAATATAAATATTAATTGTTGTATATTTGTTATCCGGCTCTTTGATTCATTCTTTTAATTATTATTTTTTTTAAATTTTTTTTTTAATATAATAATTTTTAGAAATCAAAAGATTAAGGTTTATTATCTTTGTCTTTTTTTTCAAATAAATTTACTGTTACAGATACAAGTGCAGAGACATAGTCGACCAGCAAGCTATGCTGGCGATGCAGAGTGGCGGCGAGCAAGAGAACCTCCACGACCACCTGCACACTGCTATGTCAACCGTGTGCCTGATGAACGCGAGCACAATGCCCAATATGCCTCTAGCAGCAGTAAGTATATACATAACAATATTGAACTGTGTTATTTTAAAATTATCTTACAGAATTAATACTTTCAGTGTTTTTTTTAATGTGAAAAGTTGTCAAGCAAGCAGACCCAGGTTCACCTGATGTGATAGTGATAAGTGAATACCGCCGCCCATGGACGTCTGCATCACCCAAGGGTTCCAGAAGCGTTGACAAACTTGAAAATTGACGAAACGCGAAAGTATTATACTTCCACTTTACGCCGGCCTTCTGTGAGGTCGTAGTTCTTACCCAGAAGAGCCTGCCCATTCGTGCAACAGCCGAGGCTGCTGCGTGGCCCTACCACCGTTTTACATAAATTTGCCAATTTGTATATGATTATTAATTTGATTTTGTTTAAATTATTGGTGTTAATACTAAGTACAGATGTACTTGTTTAGAACCAATTATTTGTTTAATTAAATGTACTTGTAAAATGGTATCAAATTTTTCAGTGTTAGATGAAATAGATAACGCTGTAAACATTGATGCGTTGAAGACGCGATCTCTGCCTGCGTTCCTGCGCCCGAAACCAAGACCCCTTTCGACTGAAGATGATTTGCAACAGCTGTATGCAAAGGTGAGCAAAAGATTAAACCTATATTGTAAAAGGTTGCGATTATTGGTTGCTTAGTACTAAAACAGATAATTTAAAATAGATCAATATATAAGACCCTGTGTTTTTAATAAACTGTGATAGTTGAAATAAAAACTTTTAACATAATTTCAGTATTAGCATAAATTGGGCCCTTTGCATATGGGTGTTTTCTATATTGCCCAAATAAATAAATTTCATAGGTGAGTTTGAGCAAGAAGCACAAGAACCGTATGCGGAGTGAGCACGCAGCTATCATCGCACTCAGCAAGTCACAGAGCCAGTTCTTTGATGCAGATGCGGTCATTGTCTATGACCAAAGGACAGCATTGTAACCTTTTCTCTTTTTATATAACTCTTTTTTATGAATGCTGTCCATTACAAAATATAAACAACAGTATCCATATGTTAGTACAAGATCATAAATGCTGTATGGTAATTTACCATTAAACATACTGTGAAATATCCACAGCATTTGGATATGAAAAAACAGAGACAAATTTTCTTCAGAACCTTTAAATAACTGTCTTATTTTATCTATGTGTTCTTCAACTCTAATCTAACTTCCTTCTACATATCAATAGTGTCTCTATATTATGTATGAGTGTCATTTTACATGTAATAAGTAAGCGCACAGCTGTATGTACTACTATAACTATGTACTTTGTTACTTAGGTTGTATTTCATAGAGCATTATTTTAGGTGTAATTTATTGTGTGTTTTATTAACAAACCTACGTAATTTTTATTTATCCTACAATATTTTCCTGTCCAAATATTGCCAATTTGGGTCGTTTTTTAAATCCACTTGTCAATGTTAATAGTAAAAATTTGGCAAAGTAAATTGTTAATAAACTATGCAATACTAATACGAATGTTAGTTTGACTTGGAAAATTGTGATTGTTACATATGTGATATAATTTATTAACGAAATTGTGGCCTAATTCGTAATAATGAGGTAAACTCGGTTTGGTATAGTCGCATACAAATGTTATTTGTATAAACTATTCTGTCAATAAAAAAGCTACATCTTTTAAAGATTGCTCAATAGCTTTAGAAAGATTGCCACTTTGATGAGCAGATGTTATCGAACTTTGAATATTTATGCTTTAAATAAAATATTTAGATTTTCTTGTTGTTTAGTTATGAATAAAACTCGATATTAGTTAAAAATCGAATATTATAAATGCTCTTTCGTATAGTCGTGAGTTATATTTATTTTGTTATGATATTAGAGCCATTAATATTACAGCCTTGTTGGCCTAGTTATTTAGAACAATTGAAGAGCTACGAATTGGGGACGTATTTTTAAAGTAGTTGTGTACCGAGGGCTATTCCGTTGTTTATGTATACATGTTGTAAGACATGTTGGTGCATATCTCCATTACTGGATGTGTCTGCCTCATTTTTAGCGAAATTTGTCCCCAGCTAGTATAGAATTGTGTGAGACTATAATTGTTTTTTATTTAACGTGAACGCATACCCTCCGCGCATTACAGTCGTGTTTAACGAGACTGATAGCTGTTATTAGATTTATTTATTTTATAAGCTTTTTTCATATAACTGTACTTCTCCTTTGACTCAAAATATAATAGAACAAATGCATTTATTGGATTGTTCATATTCCAATATGAAAATAACATAAATTTTTACAGTTTAATGTTTTCACAGTGTAAAGATTGAAATAAGTAGATTTAACGCGTGATTTTTAATATCGGTGTTCTATTATATATTGTGTAAAAGCACATAACTAGTTGTTTGTGTCCATGTACACAGATGTAATATATTTTATCGACAATAGATTTGTTTACGGGAAATAAAATTTTGTATTCGAAATTGCTTTTTTTTTACCAGCCTCACAGTAGTGGTAATTATGAAATTTCAATTAACATTTATGCAATCCAATTACTTTTGCTATCTCCAAATAATTCGCCGTCATAATAAGAACTTTATCACAAAGTATAATCATAAATTTTATAACTAGGTGCATTCATTTACAACATTACAAGGCGAAAATTAAATTCACGTTTAAATCATTCTTATAAAAGTTTAAGGGATGTATTTCTTTAAAAGCAGCTATAGTTTTATTGAAATAAATCGAGAGACTAACAAAGAACGCTATCGGAACGCCGCTGGTGCAATAATTCAATTCGCCCAAAAGGATTTTATGTGTCGAGATATACGAGTATTAAGAACTGTTAACTTATAAATAATTATTAGTTGTAGACACTATTACGTATCTATTACCGAATATTTCGCAGTTGTTAAGTATTAATTGGGAATACACAGCAGTTTCGGTTTAAAACCCATTAACCGGTGGTCAATACTACCGTATTTGCCCAGACAAGAAACTGGAAATAACAAGTGCAAGTCTGACTCGCACACGATGGGTTCCGTACCATTATCTATAAGAACGGCAAAATAATCATGTCTGTTGTATGAAAGCCCCACGTAAATATTTTTTAATTCCGTTTTTTAGTACTTGTTTTGGCGGCTACAGAAATACATCATTTGAAAATTTCAACTGTCTATCACGGTTGATGAAATACAGCCTGGTGACAATCGGACAGACAGTAAAACAGCGGAGTCTTAATAATAGGGTCCCGTTTTACCCTTTGGGTATGGGACCCTAAAAATTAATCATACTTTTTCATTTCGTCTTTAAAGTTATTTCAACGGAGTGATCCTATAGTTTGTATACTAAAGTAACAGCCTGTGTATGTCACACTGCTGGGTAAAGGCCTCCTCTGTACAGAGAGGATTAGGGCATAGTCCAACACGCCCCACTGTGAATCGTTGGGCTATATAGTTTGTACACTTGACATCGGTAGCTGACTTTATTTCTTATTATGTCTGTTCTACACATACGTATTGCATTTGATTATACAATGAGAAAAGTACGATAAGAACAAACATATTACGCAATAGTAAATATATATTTAAATTCAATAGATTATTATTTGTTAATTAATTAATAATGGAATGAGATTCTTTTTTCTTCGTAAGATTAATTAGGATTGGCGAGACGAGGATAAGAAGCATTTTAAAAACGAATACCTCGTGTAGGGTAAAACGCAACACCGTGTTTGAGAATTAAAAACCCTTTATTACCGAAACTAATAATATACTGCTTGTTACATAATAATAAATTGCCAATCTGCGATAATACGTTACATTTAGAGTTAATAATAAAATGAAATCGGTATTCTACTCTTTTCCAACGTAACACATGGAAAGGTTCCACGTGGCTCAAGGGATCGTGCGGAAGCTGGCGAGGGTCGGGAAGGTCCTGAGGCGCAGCAGCTCCAGCTCTGTCTGCAGGAGGACAAGCTGCGTGTGGTTGGCTTGCACCTCGCGGATGAGTTGCCCACGCGCCACCAACGTCTCCATCCTTCGTTGGGGACAATCGATGAATGTCAATAAAACAGAGCAACTTCCTATATACGTCCCACCGCGGAATATTTCTTTTTGTTAATGTATCGAAAATATGCAGGTTTCACAACGATGTCTTCCTTCACCGCTGAGCAAGTGATAATTCAGCACTTAAAATTAACAATTACATTGGTGCCGGCACCGGGGATCGAACTCAGGTTGCTCGTGTATATTGAATTAAAAGCGAGACCGACAATGAACTAATCACAGCTCTAAAGGGTGATAGGGATGGGCCAATTTTTTTTAAAACATTGTCCGTACCGAAGGATAAGATTGTCCCGTGTTTTAAGAGTGTTTTAAAAAAATAAATTTCACATGGGCAAACACACAAGTCCGAAAAATTATCGGTGGGTCACACAAATACTTGTCGCGTGTGGGCACCGAACTCACGACCCCGGCGGCGAAGCCGATACCTCGACAACAGCGCCACTGAGTAATCAAAAATTATACATCGATCAGTGAAAAACTAAAATGTCTTTTATATTAAGTACAAATATTATTGCTGCCAGCTATCCTTAGCTGGTAATATTATATCATACATATCATATAGGAATATATCTATGTATAAGCATTCGCTAATAAAAAATTGAAGCCGCACCACTACGCTCACTGATAGTTATCATGCGTATATATATGTACAAATTAATAAAATACTGAATTATCGTCGAACAAAATAAACTTGTGTTAGTTCAACTACAGTCTACCCTAAAACCACCTCGCGGTACGGTTCTTGTATCTTGTATTAACTGATGTTTTTGCTTTCAGTCCCGAGACTATTAAAGCTTCATCTGACGCAGAACCGGTGGGCTAGCCAGAAACCACGGGTTTGGGCCCTCCGCTGTGGGTAGGGCCGCGCATGTGCTCATGCGTGCGTTTAACTACGACATGTCATCTAAGGGCCATCGAAGTTGCGGTGCGGACCGAGACCCCGATGGCCGTCGACTGTGTTTTTAGCTAATCGGTGGCTGGGGGCGGTGAGAACCGCCCTGGAACGCGGGTGTACCTTGTGTACGCGTTGTGTTGATCTCGACGTGCTCGGAGGCGAGGGCGAACTAGTGTGTTTGTTGTTGCACTAACTGTGGGTGTAGTGTTGTCCGGCGGGACCCCCGGCGGTGGGTCCGGCGTATCTAAGTCCCCTTCCTCGACCGGGTCGATGAGGACGTTTCGCGGGCGACGCTTGTTGACGTTCGCGTTTGTGTCGGGTTGGTAATTTGCTGCGCTTACCACCAGAGGGTTGGGATGATATTCGGCTCTATCGAAGAACCGTTTGGTCAGGTCTTTAAAATATTCGCGAATCGTCGGGAGTCTGCAATCGCTGTGCAGATCGACGTTGCGTTGATACCACTGCGCACCAGTTGCACGGCGGATGAACTTATTTTGTACTATTTGCAGCTTGTACAAGCGAGTAGGGTGCGTGTGGGCGAAGATCATGCATTCGTAGGACATAATAGGTCGTACGCAGGTCTTATATAATAATAATTTGTGCCTTAAGGGCATTTTACTTTTAGCGTTAGTTAAATTGTGTAGCCGGCCGGAGACGAACGCGGCTCTATTACGAACGTTATTAATGTGCGTAGTAAATGACATACGCGAGTCGAAAGTGACTCCTAAGTATTTGACCTTTTTCTCCCAGGGGAGCGGTTGGCCATAAAGGGATATTTGCCCCAACTTTCTGCGGTACGGTTTGTAAGCCCCGTGCTGTATACTTTTTTGTTATGTCATTTTGAAGCGAGAATAACGCTTTCATGTTTATTTGTGTTGAAACTTGAAATGCAGTACTAGATCAGCAGTAGATCATTCTGATCGATTCAGAGAGTTTAACAATCCTTTTGGCAACTCAAATAACATTTGAAAAGCCGTTTGACAGCTGATTAGTCGACTTCTACGATGATCAGTGTTTCAGAAACTGGGCGTTAATGCACCAGTTGACACTCGCCTCGTCTTTATAATTTTGCGTACGCGTATCGGCTGTAGGGGGTCCTCCGTGAGCCGCTTCTCCGACACCTTGAGGTGTAGTTTGGCGATCAGCCTGTTCAGCTTGTCCACCTCCGAAGTCAGTGATGCGCTCTTCAGCTGGTAATAGGTAAACATTTGGTATTCGAACCATATGACACATTAAACCAAACGATGGACATTATATCTATACAAATGTATTAAAACTTGTATCGAACCCGTGGCATCCGCATTCGCGTATTCGGCTGATTGCCACACCGATAAAAATCTCAACCTATATTATCGTGTACTTTGCCCTTTTCGTATTTTATCCAATTCGTGGCGCCATCTATTGTTATCACCTTTATATGAAACGAACAATTTCAAATAACGTTAACGATAAATACTCTCTATATAAGTGTATCATCTATGGATAAATATATCGAACGAGTAAAGTTGCTTTTGGTTTTTTCATATGAAATTTAATAAGTTAGTTTGTTAAAAAATGAACGAAAAGTTTTTCACAGCCGCGAGTATCGAACTCACGTCCTGCGGAATCGTTTGTAGATGTATATTATTAAAAGTAGATAGATAACACGACTCGATACAATAACATGTATTAAAAATTTCTCAATAGCCGTTTTTTTACGGCGTTCGCGCACCTATTTCGCCTCAATGAGTAAAATTCAGGACAATACTCTAGTAGATGTTACACAAATGGTAGTATCAGAAAACTACGGGAAAGTATCTCGCAAAACATTCCACGTTTGTGTTTATTTCGTGGAGTGTGATGAAAATTTGTATTCACGATTCCAAAGGTTGGCATTTGCATCCCAGTAGGAGTGTAGATCAAGCCGTGTTCATGTAACAAACCTCCAGCTCCTCGTGCTTCCGCAGCAGCTCGTTGAGGGCGCGGTCCAGGGCGCGCCTGTTGGCCTCCAGGTCCCGCTCCATGCGCAGGTGCTGCTGCTCGTCCGTGTAGCCCAGCTCCCTGTTCTTCAGGTGCAGCTGCAGCACTTTGGGGATCTGTGGGACGCGCGAGTGTCAGTGTCATACAAATAGTGCCGTATCGATTCACTCGAAACGTGTAATAATAATGGTAATATAATTCATTCACTGCCAAAATTACAACAACGTAATAATTTAGGTACTAAAATGGCCTCTACACAGCACAAACTTCGTATAAATCACATAGCGGCAATCTATAGACAGAATACGCAAAAGACATGGCTGCAATAAAATAAACTTTACTATCACACTCATTCTACATATTCTTTTTATGTGAAAAAGTGGCAAACGAACTGGCGGTTCACCTGATGTTAAGTGATAACCGCCGCCCATGTACATTTGCAACACCAGGGTTGCCACCTTTTAATAAATTGGGCATAACATAAAATAAAAACGTGCACTTCTAAAATTGTTTAAAATAAAAATAAAACTCTTAACGTTTTCCTAAACTGAAAAAGTACAATATTCACTTGCATTTTCTTTGTTTTATATTATGCGATAAATTTCGTATATTTGATCTTACACCGGCACCGCAAAACTCGAGATAATGCAATCCCAATCGACAGTTGATCGTCGGTACCTCGATTTGCAGTTTCAGATCGCGCGTTCGAATCCGGGAACGCGCCAGTTAGTCTCCTTCTTATACTACATACTAGCGACCGTCCCCGGCTTCGCACGGGTGCAATGTATTAAACATATAAACCTTCCTCTTGAATCACTCTATCTGGTAAAAAAAACCGCATCAAGATCCGTTGCGTAGTTTTAAAGATCTAAGCATACATAGGGACAGACAGACAGCGGGACGATTTTGTTTTATACTATGTAGTGATTACTTTATTTGTGACTACATCGATGATTAGCTTCGGTATCGAACCTTGAGCCGCTGGTAGGAGTACAGCTCCTGCTCCATGTGGCGCAGCTTCATCATCATCTGCGCGTGCTCCCACTCCTTGGAGAGGATGCCCTTGCGGTAGGTCATCTGCTTGCGCATCATGTTCAGTTTCATTTCGCCCACTTTCTGCGGACCAAGACTCGCATGTTTTAGCGATGCCGTAGGTGAAGAAATATATCATATTTTATTATATACATACATATTTTCTTTTTAGGCCTCGTTTTCCAAAAGAAATACGAGTACCGAGTATTAAATATTTGAATTTGCGAACTCTGTCCCGGATTCGAATTAAAAAAGATATTGTGCGATACGATTTCGATATTGAATATTTCATATCGATATATTAGATCAAATTATATCGACTAAAATATCGATATTCGGCATTCCTGGCATGTTTACCTCGAACCCCATTAATCAAATAAACACAGTTCTTGCATTTGTTTCCGATTGCTCTTTTAAAATCGACAGCATCGCATAATTCTCTACCATGCACAGCAAGTGCATAATCCATTAAGTAATTATGCATTCGCTGTGACGCGACAAACTAATGGAGTGGGGAGATCTTTGAAATTGGTGGAACCAGCAACGCTTTTAAAATTCCTTTGGTGTAAGTTTTCAGTAACTTGAAACAGGTTTGCGGGATTATCCTAAATTTGGTTGGGATTACTTCAGGAAGCAAACTTACCAGGATGACCTCGTTGACCTTTTGAATCTCGTCGCGCAACAAGAGGGTGGCGTCTTCGAAGTCCTCCATATGACCGGTGGTGACGATCTCCACTTGGCCGGCGGGCAGCACGAGCTGCGTTTAAAAAACACATTCTACCACCAAATGTACCTTTTCAATTTTGTGTCGATAGTAATTTTTTTAAGTAAAGTTGAAGTCTACCGTCTCTACTTTAAAACATTTTCAAATCGTCATGTTTCTTATTCTATACGCTTCGTGATGTTCAGTGCACAGAGATTTCAGAGATATATGCACTAAAAAAAAAAAAAAAAAGAATTTTTCAAGTGATCCATTGATTGCATAACATATTGCATAAATTATAACCAAAGTGGGCTTTAAAAAGGCTAAGTTTGTTTGCTTTGACTAAAAAAAATGTGACAGCTTTACTGTAACTCGTGGGTTTCAGTGCTCTGAAAAGAAAAACATGCCCGTTCGTATAGAATCTGTTTTTTGCAAGTATAGAGTGAAGCCATGTGTAATACATCCTCTGGATCGTCTAGCCCCTGGAAAGATCCACGTCGCTCCGTATATTGTTATACAACGTGTCGTTACCATCGTGACAATAAATGAACACACATATAGGGGATAACTTTTTAAAGTTGTATTAAACATTTAAATTCTTTAAACATCAATATTTACAGAGTTATACAATTTTCCAAAACAAAGAATTTTAGAACACCCTTGCCTATAAAAGCGTAACGTAAAGTTCATTTGTAAAGGTCACAAAGCATATGAATGGGTTGAATGAATTTAAAAGAGACAAAACATACTGTTAGAAGGAGAGGCTTGTAATACGACGCTGTGGCGCGAGTTGTATAGGATGTTACAAATTATGTTTCTTTTGTACTTAATTAGTTTGTTTGAAAAAAAAAATTTTTCATTATTGATTTTGTTTAACGTATAAATTTTTTTATGATTATTGGCAAGTAGCGTTAGACGTGTGTTAATTTATTGTCGCGATGGTAACGACACGCTTTATATCCTATTCTGCAAGCTTCGAAATCTCCCAGCGCCCACCTGTATCGTCTTGTTCCTGGAGAGCAGCTCGACGGCGTCGCGCCGCTGCAGCAGCCGCTCCCGCAGCATGGCCAGGGCTCCGCGCCGCGCCGCCACCCCCGCGCCCCACGTGTTCGCCGCCCCCTCCACCTGCGCCGTCTCCACCGCCAGCGCCCGCATCTGCGCAAACCGCAACTCACCTCCGCCACTGAGTAATACCACTCGACGATGAGCACTCAGCGCTACGAACACTCAGCCCTACGACCACTCAGCGCTACGACTGCTCAGCCCTACGACTGCTCAGCGCTACGATCGCTCAGCCCTACGATCGCTCAGTAATCACAAAACTCCCACACTTTTTGCAAATAACCAATACACGCAGTAGACAGTAGGTGACTGTATAAGAAAGAGTATTTGTGTACTTATGTACACAAGTAAGAAGCTTTACCTCTTTAGCATAACAAAAAGAAACTAAAAATTTATCTCGTGTGCCATATTAAAAAGTCAAAAGCAACCGATCACGGTTCAAAAAAATCAAAATCAAAATCATTTATTCATCGACATAAGAAACTTACATTTCATTTCTCAATAGTCATATTTTTTTTTAAATCTACCACCGTTTCGTAATGAGGTTCCTCTAGCGGAGAAGAAACAGGCGAAAGAAACTCCGTAGGTATCCTCTTTAAATTAAACTTAGAATTATAGAGGGGATGCTAGACTATGCCTTAATACAACTATCGGTAGTCAACACTACTGTCAAGAAAAAACAAGTTCAAGTAAACTAAGTCTGGAGATATTATTATTTAAAGTAAGCTGACCAGACACAAAGGTATGAAATTGAGAACATCCCAGCACGCACCCTCATCTCGCTGTCAATTTTAGCCCGCCGCAGCTTGCACATGGTGGTCCAGAGAGCCTCGTCCATCACCGGCGGCATGTTGCTGATCTGATCCAGCTGATCCAGCCTAAATAAAAAGGCCAAGTCATTGGCTGTACAGACAAAAGGTCAACATTAAAAAAAAGTGCCCGCCCCAGTGCGAGTCGGTCTCGCGCACGTGGGCTTTAGTACCATTATCTATAAAAACGGCAAAAACTTATGTCTGTTGTATGGGAGCTCCCACTTAAATATCTTTTATTCTGTTTTTTAGTATTTGTTGTTATAGCGGCAACAGAAATACATGTGTGATACATACAGCCTGGTGACAGACGGACAGACAGCCAGCGAGTAATGGTGTGTCCTTTTACCCTTTGGGTACGGAACCCTATTAAACTTCTACTTCCTGTTACCGTACAGAGCGTTAGCTATTCAAAAGACCATTGCTCGCATCGGTCGATGACATCTTTTTATGCTTCTCACCAAAAACTAACCAGTGCTTGTTTACCATCTCACCTGATGGTTGTACGCAGAGAGGTAGCTTGGTGGAATTCAACTGAAGGAGATTAAAGACAGCGGTCCATACGCGCGCAAGAAGTCCACGGCGTCCGCGTGCAGCAGCGGTGGACGGGTGCCAGCCAAGGCGGCGGCCGCCAGCTCTGTCAGGGCCCCCGCCGTCAGACCCGCACGGTGCTGCCACTTAGGTCGCTTTCTGTTGATTGAAGAGAAAAGACCATGAGGAGGATTATTTCTGCACCTTGCAGGGTGGTTCGCACTGCTTCCAGCTTCTCTGGTTTCTCTATATCTGAGCTGACAACCTTCCTAACAAATAGGCGTGTACAAGTGACTTTTCCCTCCAATCGTAATATGCTCATAGATACTGCAGTGTTTTCGGGGCTCTGCGTCCTATGTGGCTTTACACAGTCCTTGAATGTTCTAGACTGGAAGCAAAAATAACAACAATAATTAATAACAACCAAATTGCAATTAAAAATATCATTACTATCGTAACCGGGATTTGAATTTGATTGTTCAGGTTGCAGGACTATATTGAAAGCTAGCGCCAATACACTGAGATATTTAAGAAATAATTGGTACATTCCACGACATTCATTCAAATGTCTCGTTTTAGTTATCGTTGTAAAACGATATTCGAAATTGTTTGTATGCTGTAAAGGACATAAAAATTGGATGCGCCAAGCATTGCTTCAAACGCTAAAAAACATGTAGATAAAAGATCTTGAGATTTAAGTTGACATCTCAGGCGCTGATCATTTATCAGGTGAACAAATTTTTTGGCAACTCCTCCCTGCAAGAGCACAATTCAAATGGCAACAACAGCATAGTTTCGATACTCAATTGAAAAACTTGTAGCACTGTTCCACTATGATCGGCGACAGATCGGCGAAGTGGTTCTTGAAGGTCTTGTCCATGTGGCGGTCTTTCTGCACCAGCGCTTCGTAGGCCGCCTGGCACTCCTCGCTCTGCTCCTGGATCATCTGCATCTCTTTCTGCAGCGCCTCCACATCCCCCTCGTATCTTGCTATTTTCTCCCTAATAAGACAATGGCCGATTGTGTGGTTAGTAAATAATTTACTTATTGCGCGTTGAATCGCTGACAGGCCCGGATCATCTATTCTAAGATGTTATATTGATATAATTACTAATTTGCGTCTGAATAAGCAAGATCCGTTTTAGATTTCTCTTATCCTACTTTGCGGCTCTGGTTTGAAAGTGTAACATCATTTAATAAGAGAAAATAGATAACATGTGTTATCACAAACAAGTAACCTAGAAAGTTCCTTGTATGATTTTTTAATAGTTTGTCTTTTTACTTAGGAAAAACTTCCTTTCAAGCAAATCACGACACTTATTAGTTACGTTGTACTTTACTTCCTTTAACTGATGATTATATTTTCAATCCGTAGGCTGAAAAGATTCGTAGAACGCAGAAATCGTGAGCTGGCCAGATCACCATCACGAGTTTGTTCTTGGTCTATTCGAAAACCTCCTTATTAATATAATATAACATTTTGATATTCACCTGATATCTTCGATTTCTTCAGACATTTCGATGCGATCCAGATTTGTTCGGCGCAGGCGCATCAAATTTAGATTCTCTTGACCGATGGCGGAGTCTATTCTCAATCTCAATAGCCAATTTTCCTTGACCTGTTAAAAACCATATAATATTTCGCATTATTTTATATTCGATCGGGAGTACCATCATCACCATACCATACCATCGTGCTATCAAAAAACATTTTAAAAATTTTTTGAAAACATTTCGATAAACTTTGTGAAGCTATCACAATGGTTGAGAAATAATCAACTTCAAGAAGGCCTAATATATTTCGGACAACACTCGTTACGCACGTTGACATCTCGGTAATACGCAAATAACGAACGTCTTCCAACGATATGATTAACTCCAACTTTTTCGTGTTAGGGCCACGCAGCAGCCACAGCCGTTGCACGAATGGGCAGGCCCGTCCGGGTAAGTACCACGACCTCACAGAAGACCGCCGTAAAGTGGAAGTGTAATACTTTCGCGTTTCGTCTGGTGAGTGAGGTGGCCGGAGCCCAATTTTTCGAAAGGTTGTCGACGCATCTGGAACCCTATGGTATAGCAGATGTCCATGGGCGTCGGTATTCACTTAAAATCAACTTTTCACATAAAAAAAACTTGATGAGTCCGTCACCAAGAGTCATAGTAGATATCGCGTAAAACGCGATATCAAAACGTCAGTACGTTACCATCGTGCTCGTCTATTGCGTGGGGAGTGGAACCGGTCCTACCCTCTGGTTGAACCGGACGATGCCCTCGTTGAGCACCTGCGCCAGCTTGGCGTACTCCGCGTGCAGCATCTTGCGGTACTTGTCGCGCTCGCCCTCGCGGAAGCGCACCCTCGCCTCGTACTCGAACACCAGCCGCAGCTCCTCCTCGGTGAAGTGCTCCGGATCCTTCTCCAGCTGTCGTGGTGGTGAGACATTTTATTTCAGCTGCCATCTGCGGTGGTGGTGGTACGAGGGACGTTTTACTTTAAAGTTGGGTTCACCTGAGTTAAGCGACATCAACACCGCCGGGGTTTCAGATTCCTTGTCAACCTTGAAAAAATCTGCCCCGGTTACTTTAGTCAAGACGAATCGCGAAAGTATACGTTTCCATTGTATTTAGATATGTATTTAACATAACCGCAGTGCAGTTGGCAGCCAGAATTTTTCAACCTTTCCTACAAAACTTGCAATAAAAATAGGATGATCTCTAAATAACATTAAGTTAAATTATGCAACCTTACGTTACTCTCATATGCTTTTCATTTGTAAAATAGTCACGACCGTTTTTGTAGTTTCAAAAGTACCCTAATACAGATGAAAAAAAAACAGTAGTGACAGAATATTCTCATTTGATAAGTGAGTGTTGTGGCGTTCTAAGGGGGAGGCCTGTGTTCAACAGTGGACGTCTTGCAGCTGACGATGATGAAGTAAGTGTAACGCTTCTATACTGGATTAAATATATTTGAATTTGATTTCGGCCGGACCGGACGTCGTAGCACCCTAGAAGAGTCGGGGTCCCCGGTCTACGCTAGAAACAGGTGCACCGTGATGGGCGTACCATGCAGCTGGGCATGGGCACGGGCTTCTTGATCTCCTCGTGCCAGAGCTTCTCCAGCACGCCGTCCATCATGTCGACGAGCGCGCGCTCGCGGAAGTCGTCGGGCGGGCAGGGCGGCGGCGGCGGCACCACCACCTGGCTGGGGCTCACGTACGGCGCTATGCTGCACTGCGGAGTGGATACGCTTTCATTGATCGATGCCCCATTTCATTTGAAGACCCCCTCAGTCTGGACTTTTATACGTTATCCGTATATCATACCCGTGCTACGATCGGTGACGGATTTACCAGCAGGCTAAGTAGACTAGTCTACTAAGTCTGTCTAAGTAGTCTCTAGGCTCAAGCCTAGGGCGGCTTAATTTTAGAACACCCTTACGTATAAAACTGTAACGTAAAGTTCATTTGTAAAGGTCACAAAGCATATGAATGGTTCGAATGAATTTAAAAGAGACAAAACATACTATTAGAAGGAGAGGCTTGTAATGCGACGCTGTGGCGCGAGTTGTATAGGAGGTTACAAATTTTGTTTCTTTTCTACTTAATTAGTTTGTTTGAAAAAAATTTTTTTCAAATTATGGATTTTGTTAAACCTTAATATTTTTTATGATTATTGCCAAGTAGCGTTAGACGTGTGTTCATTCATTGTCGCGATGGTAACGACGCGCTGTATATAAATAAAAACATTCATTATACATAACGAGAAAACGAGTGTTGACAATTTAACGTAATTCAAGACTTTCATAACTTGATACGTTTTATTGTCATTATTAAGCGAATCGTTAACAGAAAATTTAATACAGATACTGTTCGGATTTTTTTTAAACAGTAAGCGCAATAAAAAATAATTAACAACGTTTACTAAATGTACATTATTTTACGATAGCTATGTTCATATATTGGTATAAGTATTTTTAAGACAAACCTTACCCCGTCTCATAATTAGAATATGATTGAGCTTTTTTTAGCTCAGAAATATACCCAAAAACTATTTCTCGTATAATGAATAATGAAGACGATATAGGATAAATCCTAAAATTGCAGTTTTATTACAGAATAAATGTAATTAATATGATTGCGGACTAAGGTATCGATTTGGAGGTAAATAGGGGCGGCAAAAATTGTACAGCCTATTGGCGGCAAATTTGTAAATCCGCCACTAGCGGCCAATTTTTGACTTCTTATAAGTTCCCGCTTATAAGCTCTCTTATGATGTTTTCGTTCCCATCCAGTAGACTATTAAAGCATCAACGAACACAGCGTAAGACAGCCAGCGAGGAATGTCACCTAAGTGGCATCGAGGCACGGTACGGACCGTGACCCCAGAAGCGGTTGATCGTATCAATCTATTCTCCATCTACGAAGCCAACCGTCGAAGAGATCAGCGACGTACCGGATGCAAATAGTGATTCGGCTAAAATGTTTGTCCTATTAGGATAATTCGCTTTAAGCTCTAAGCATATTTCACCGGCCACAATGCTAAAATACTGTGCACGCGCCGGTCTTTTCTTGTTAAAATTTGGCAGCTGAGCAGAGGATTCGCTTGATGTTTAGTGATTGGCAATGCCCATCGGCATCTACAACATCTGACGGGCTTCAGATGTGTTGCCGAGCATTATCAAAGTGGGCCCCGGTTATACTCAAAATCGAAACGCAAAAGTACAATACTTACACTTCAAGTCGACCTTTTGTGAGGTCGTAGTACTTTCCCGGACGAGTCTGCCCGTTACAGCAGAACCTGCTGGGTGGCCCACGCGTGGGCGTGGTATCGAGGCTAAAGGATTCGAAATCGAACTCCTAATCGGTTTCAGGGCACTGGGCACTATTTTGTATTTCCTCGACGTAAGTGGAAGCAAATTGCGGTAAAAATCAATATCGTTTATTCATCGACATAAGAAAAATACATTTCATTTATCGATAGTCATTTTTTTTATCTACCACCGGAGAAGAAACAGACGAAAAAAACTCCGTAGGTATCCTCTTTTTTGTCAAGTTTTATTTTGATAAAAACATTATTCAACTGTTTATTTTTTCTTTCACAAATGGCTTGGGAGCGATCAACTCAGTCCCAGGGTTATTGCCATTAATGTATTCATTAGTGTTATAATAACCCTTTTTTAAAAGTTTTTCTTTAATAAATTTCTTAAACCTGTTGATAGGAGCAGTTACCTCCTCGGGGTCGACTTTAATCAACCTGTGCGGCTGCTCCTCCTGGCGCCATTCAGGGTCCCTTATCTCGATGCTCAAGTGGTGGAAACTGCCTCTCAGGCTCGACAGGGCGTTAAGTTCTAAAAATAACAAGATACAAAGACACTATCGACAACCCGAATGGCGTTGTGGGTAGTGTACGTGCCTCCTGCGCCAGAGGGTGTGGGTTCGATCCCCACTACTAGATAAAATATTGTGTGATGAACATAGTATTTTTCTAGTGTCTGGGTGTTAACATACATATAATATGTATTTATTTACAAAAGAAAAGTATGTTTAAGTATGTTTATCAGTTTTCTAGTACCCATAGTACAAGCTTTGCTTAGTTTGGGACTAGAGAATGTTGTGTAAAAATGTGTCCTAAAATATTTATTTATTTATTTATTTACTATGTTCTCTGCGTGGACTGGTAGATACAAAGATACCAAATTTCGCATATTTTCAACGGGCTGGTTTTCGCCGCAGCCTAGTTAAATTACAAATTATTACAACTACTCGTCCAAATGCACTAATTTGTCTCATGTTCATAAATATGGGGTACTAAGTAGAAAGCTTAGTAATTCAATTATGTCTTACACATTTTTATCTAAGTTTCAGAATTGAAACTTCATTATTTATAAAAAAGTAATAGTCCAGGATCCAATCTACCTAACTACCTAGCTACCGATCTAACTAGCTCAATACTAATTAATAGCAATAATGGTCGCTGGATCCTGGACTATAAGCAACAAAAGATTAAATGCAAGTGCATTAAATATAGGATGGCATGGATTAAAACCGATAAAATCCGTTCGTACCTTGAATGATAAAGCGGAGCCGCGAATTCCTGTCCTGGACAAGGCCAACTTCTCGCTTCTTGAGATTCATCAACTCGTCGAATTGATTGTTGAACCAGAGTCTCAGATTTTGGGCGTTCAACTGCAATTCGACGAGTTTTTACGAGACAATTTTATGGTTAGTACATGTTATAAGACGGATGTATTAGCCAGTTAAATTAATAAGAACGAATATTAACGATTACATTTATACGAGTACTATATTTTCATTAAACTAAGTACGAAAATGGGAATACAATTTTGTTATTGCTTTTATATTGTTCATTTTATCTATTCTATCAGTGTTTTGCATACTTTGCAGCATCCCAGCAAAAACCAAACGCAATTTAAGTTTCAAAATAACAATTAGAAATATACTATAATAAGGTCTTTTAACATTTAAAGATGATATTAGTCAAATGGTTTCAATTCTGGTAGGTTACATCTTCCTTTGTCGGTTTTTTATGATACATTCTCTTTGTATCCCTTATAAAGTAAAGTAACAGCCTATATATGTATGTCCCAATACTGGGCAAAGTCCTCCTCTGAACAGTGCGTATTGATAGCATAGTAAAGTTAATTTTAAAACTGCAAAGTTCCTGGTAGGGTTTCATTAGCTCCTTCATTCTTTCGTAGCAACCGCAGTGAGTTTTTGTTAACTGCAAATGTTAGCTGCACTAAAGGTGATGGACCTTAGCGATGTGCTGCAGCATGTTCATGTGCAGGAAGCTGAAGACGAGCGTCTGCGGCAGCATGGTCGGCGTCGGCGCCACGTAGATGTGGGTGTGGGTCCCGGAGAGCGCGTAGGGCTGGCACTGCGAGGAGCCGGAGCCCGAGCCGCTGCCCGCCGCCAGCATCTGGCTCTCGACAGCCCTGAGGCTGGAGCGCATCGACCCCAAGGACCCCGCGCGGACGATCCTGCGATTGCTACCACTAATCACTGATGGAGCGATCGCTGTGAGAACTGCTTCCATTGTATTATGTAACGGAGTCTTTAACTAACTGTAAAAGATACACAAATAGTTGACTGTTTATTAAAGTGTGTGTCTAGTGTTGAGCACTTAGCCCATTAAGTGTCTGAGAGCCCTTAACTGGACACCATGTACCAGCAACGAATGTAAGACGACAATTTTTAATTATCCGACTTCAAAAACGAAGGAGGTTTCTCAATTCGACTGTATATATTTTTATATTTTTTTATGTGTATTCGCGGATAACTTCGTCGTTTATGAAGCGGATCTGATGATGGTATCCCAGAGAAATCGTGGGCAATCCCCGAATATTATAGTTTTTAACAATGTATTTAGTCTCCGGCTTGAAGTCGGTTTTTTTTTTGTTAAAAATTATACTTATATTCAATAATTCAAAATCAAAAATGCTTATTTGAACAGAACATATCCAATAAATAGAAATTTGTTGTACGACAACTTAATTTAGATATAAGAGTAACTTGTGCTCAGATATTTTTATATGCTCATTGTAACGGATAACGGAACTGGTGACAGTGATGATAATTATTTAAAACTGAAGCATATTGCAGTAACTCGCATAAATTTAACCGTGGAAGGGCCACGCAGCTATTGCACGAATGGGCCCTTCGGGGAAATACCGCGACCTCACAGAAGACCGGCGTAAAGTATAAGTGTCACACTTCTGCGTTTCGTCATGTGAGTGAGGTTGCCGGGGCCCACTTTTTAAAAGGTGACAATGTATCTACAATCCTATCGGTCTTGGATGCGTAAATGTCTATGGGCGGCATTTGTCACTAAACATCAGGTGAACCGGCTCGCCTGCCGCCTTCTCACATAAAAAAATCTAATCGACGATTTGGTATTAAGTACAACAAAAACTTTGAAACAATCGACTACTGGCCGGTCACCTGTTCGCTTCGGGCTCGGGGGTCGGGCTGTGCTCCTCCCAGGGCCTGAACAAGTCCTCGTCATTCTCCATTTCGAGCGACCTGAGCGTCTCCACGAGCTGCAGCTCGGGCCACTGCTCCCGCTGCGACGGCAGCACCGCGAAGTTTTCCACCTGAACCATATGGTGCGATAATGAATGAGATGGTGCTTTAGTCCGAAGGTCACACAACGAGGTAGACGTCGTAAGTAATTTATTTATAAGGTACACCTTACCAACAAGATGAGTCGGTGGCGCAGTTGGTAAGCTATTGGCTTCGGCGCGGGGGGTCATTGGTTCGATTCCCACACGGGACATGTGTTTGTGTGAAGCACAGATAATTGTTCCGGGTCTGGGTGTTTGTTCCCAAGGAGTTGACGTCAGGCAGACGGCGGCCCGTGGTTTAAATAATAGCAAAAACCGCAGACAACGTGATTCATATGTTGTGCCGACCCCACTTAGGTGGGATGCGGGCAGGTGGGTGTTGATTTATTAAGGTACACCAACATTACTGCAATTTATTTGTTCTTAGCTATAGGGTTAATTCTTATACACATACATATTAGTATTTATAAAAGTAATATCAATAGGTAATAGAAGTAGCATATAAATAATAGCAATAGTATAGTAATAGTAGTAGTATGGCATAAATGTAACAGAGATTTTTTTCTTGTATATATTAACTCCGAAAACATCAAGCCCACGGATGCGTACTTGGGACTGGTTGATGATGAAATGCTTTCAACGTATGCGGTATGTCGAAGCATTATAATATTTACGTAGTAGTGGCTGAAGATGGCGAAAATCTTGACGCGTGGTGTGGCCATGGTGTCCCAGCATTGCTGCTTGATCCAGGCGGTGACCTTGTCCTGGGCGCGGATCCTCGCTTCCGTCTGCAGGCGGATCTCCTCGCGCTCTTTCTCCGCCTGCCAATGGTGGTAAATGCCATTATGGTAAAGGCAGTTTTTACCAAAGAATTTTATTATGAATAGAAAATGTTCAGCTCTTAACCTTCGCCTCGTTCCATGTAGAAAATATTCTGATTTCAGGTTTTATATGAGAAGGTGGCAACCGAGCTGGCGGTTCACCTGATGTTAAGTGACAACTGCCGCCCATTGGACATTTGAAACACCCGCAGGGTTGCAGATCCGTTGCCACCTTTTAACAAAGTGAGCTTCGGCTACCTCAATCACCAGACGAAGCAAAGAACTACTGTCAAATCCTTTATTTTTATTTTTTCATTTATCGTTGTGAATCGAATTTCGAAATTGTTTGTGTGCTGTAAAGGATATAACAATGGATGCGCCATTGTTTCAAATGCTAAAAAACAATGTAGATAAAAGTCGTTGAGATTTTCGTCGGTGTGGCATCAGGTTAGCGGCTAACGCGTCAGGTCAGGGCGCGAATCCCGAAGACGTGGGTTCGATTTTAAAAACTGCGGGAGACTTTTCGCACTTTTACTACATAATGTTTAATCTTAAATGCAAAGATTAGCACTACAGGGGGGCTTTTCTAAGTGTATCCATTTTTTTTATTAGATTCTAGACATAAATAATGTTACATAAAAATGATAAATATTTAAAATCACTCGTAAGTAATTAATTACATTCATTTGAACTTATCTCAAAAAGTGCGTGATTTATACGCAAATCATTTATTTTACGCGCGATCATTCATAACTAACACGCAAATAAGTTCGTGCAGGTAAAATTTAGGTATTTATGAATGACTACCGCATTGTCAACACGTTCTGTTTTTTAGGGAATAGAATTGCATTTTTTTTTGGAAAAAAAAACTTACTTTATTATTTCAATAAACAATTGTACTACCGAGTCTGAACCTCCTGTGTAAATTTGGGCACTTCTCAAAAAAATCTTCATGTATAAAAAATCAAAATTGCATTACATTTATTGTAAAAAAAAATACTACTATCGGTTCGGAGAAAAGCCACCGACCCGTTCCGAACAGTTTAAAGTTGATGACTCAGTGGCACAGTTGCCAAGGTATTGGCTTTGGTGTCGGGGGTCGTGGGTTCGATTCCCACGCGGGACAACTATTTGTGTGACCCACAGGTAGTTGTTTCGCATCTGGGTGTTTGTCCGCGTGAAATTTATGTTTGTAAAACGTCCCTACAACACAGGATAATGTTATCCTAAAGTAAGGGCAATGTTTTTTAAAAAAGGAAAAAAAAAAAAAAGGAAAAACAAAGGTTGAACTTGAGACGGCTAACGGTGACCGAGGTGGAAAAGCCGACGGCTAAGAGACGGCGGGCGGGGCACCTGCTTGAGGCGCTCCTTCTTGTTGTCCGCGTGCAGGTGGAACTCCGCGAGGGGCACCCTGTGCAGGGGCGGGGCGGCCAGCGTGCGGTCCAGCAGCAGCGCGGCGCGCGCCTGCACATCGCGCAGGGCGCGCGCCGCCTCCTCGCGCGGCCGCCGGTGGTCCATCGCCTCGGCGTGCACGCGCCGCTCCTCCACCGCCTCCAGGTGGTTCTCTGCGCCATAGTCGAACGGCTGACAGACCAACGGCTGCACAGCACATGTTTACGTGGCTCTCTTACAAGAGTCGGGTGGATAAATACCGAACTAACAGCTGCACAGCGTATGCATACTGATCGTGGCTGTCCGCTTTTATAGAGTTAAGCGAATATCGACGCCCGCACTGCAGGAATACGGCTAACAGACGAGCCTACGCCTGCGCAGCGTATGTGTATTCATAGTGCCTGTCACCCGATGCTAAGTGATATCCTTAGCGCCATAGATGTATCATAGAGGCTGCCGATTCGTGCATCAGAAGCTGGGTAGCCTGCCTCAGTAAACGAGTCTATAATCTAGCTACCCTATTGGCGTAGTAGATATCGAACCTGAACCTTGCGCCAAATGGTGTTATTTCGATCCCTACTACTGGTGAATATTGTGTGATTAACATAATATTTTTCTAATCGGGTGTTTATCTTTATATATATAATTCTTCTATTCGTATGTATGTTACTGAACCCTTTTTAATACTACTAAAAATATTTTTTGTAATAAATTTTTTATGGCCTTTTATCGGATTTAATAAATGTGCACACGACAAAGTCTGTCGGGTGCCCTAGTACCTAAGTATATCTATAATAATTATGTATATATTGACAAAAAAGTACGTAAACTTACCTAGTATCAATAGTACGCGATTTGCTTAGTTTGGGACTACGTTGAGTGGAAATGTGTTCTGAAATCTTTATAAGAAAAATAACAGTTGAACGCTCACTTTCGGACTCCACGAACATGGTTATCGTATCGTTGCCAAACAGGCTAGCATCGGGGTGTTCCGTCTGGACCTCCGGCAGCGCCACCTGGGTGGCACCCTCGCGCTGCCGATTGAGGACGGTCACCGCCACCGTCCCGTTGCCGCCCAGGTGCGCGATGTACCCGTTGGCGGAGTCGATCACGGCCTGCTCCACTCCGCTCTCGTAGCGGTGCGACGCAGTCAGCTTCAAATCTGGCGGATGCCGAGGACGGTTGAACGGTTTTAGTAAGTATTCTATGGAAGCAAAATGAATGAGTGAATGAATGAATGAAATATACAATACTTTATTATCCACCAGACATAAAAGTACACAAAATTAACAATAGACAAACACATTTACGGAATGCGCAATTTGGCGTCCTTATCGCTTCATAGCGATCTCTTCCAGGCAACCAATTACGTATAATTACGAAATAATATTTCGAAGATATGTGAAGTCCGCCAATCCGCATTGGGGCCTATGCCCCGATACCCTCTGTACAGAGGAGGCCTTTGTGCAGCATTGGGACATGTATAGGCTGTAACATTACTTTACATAGTACTTTCTACGTTGCCAATAAACAATTGTTATAATTAGTAATTAAAAAAACTGTACCGTATTCTTCTGGAGCGTCCGGCTGTCTTAGAATAATGGAGCCGTCGTAACCGAACGTCAACAAGGCGCCGGTGTTGATGAAGACCCTGCATTGCTTCAGGTCGTGTCCGGATTCGAACACCGGACCCATTTTCACCGACACCGTTATACCTTTCTGTAATGGTCAGCGAAATGGTTAGGCGATCCGTAATCTACTTCTTCTTGCTTAGAAAAACAACGAGTTCGAAATCAGTTAAAGAATAGAGAGCTAAAGCATTGTCAGCAGTAACAAAGATATTGGCTGTAGGCCACATCGTAGTTTTCTTATTTTAACGTTTGTACATAAAATCCAAACGATATACCATGACACTATAACAATTCCCAGGTTGTGTAAAAGTAAAGTATCAGCCTAAACAAGTCCCATTTCTAGGCAAAGGTCACTTCTCTGTACAGAGGGTATTATGGAATAATCCACCACGCGCCCCCATTGCTCATTGTACTACCATGTTCTGGCAATAAAGTCATTCATTCATTCATTGGCAGACTTCACATATATTCACCGTAGAGCGCATGCTAAATCAGCATGCACCTGGATTTGAAATGAAAACAGAGGTTGATGAATAATGTAGATTAGAATAGAAACCATTCATTCAAAACATCACACAACACCAATTTACAAACGTAATACATAATTATAGTATAGAGTAAGCGTGTACAAAAAAAAGGAGAGCAGAAAATGGTGGAGAATATTGAATTAAAAGGGGGCGTGAGAGCCCGGACTCTGAGCTATCACGGCCTCCTCAGTCAAAGTGAAAGTACATTCAAGTACCTTTTACATTGGTGGGAGCACTTACCTCACCGGAGAGCCTGAGGACATGCAGCTGCGAGCTGAGGTGGGGAACGGCGAGGGCGCTCCCCCGCTGGGAGAGCGGCACCAGCTCGCAGTAAGGGCCCTGCATCTTGCCGGCGAACTTGTTGTCTTTGCCCGTATTCGCGTTTATGCACATTATGCGCTCACCTGAAGTGAAGAAAAACACTCGATCACTCGATTCACCGCTGATTTCTCGTTAAAAAGTGCACACAAATAGACTGTGTTCTTCGTGTTATATGATTTAACGTTTTGTCTGTGGTAGGATCACGCGACAGCTTATGCTGTTGCACGAATGGGCAGACTCGTCCGGGGAAGTACCACGGTCTAACAGAAGACCGGCGTGAAGTGGAAGTTTTATAATTCTGCCCGTCGTCCGGAGAGTCAAGTTGTCGCGGCCCACTTTTTTAAAAGATGGCAAACGCATTGCATTTGCAACACTACGGGTGTTGTAAATGTCAATGGGCGGTTGTTATCACTTAACATCAGGTGAACCGCTCGTTTGTGACAATTTTTATTTCTATTCAAACATCGGGGCAGTTAATGGAAAAGTTGTTGGCAATGTCTTGGTAGACAATGAAATGCCGTATGCTTTACTGCACAGTGATGACCCGTTTTCTACTAGGGCATAGGATGACAAGATCACAAGGGTTGATTGTAACTCAGAACGCAATGGCTCACCAATGGAATATTTATCGGAGACCAAGACCAGGTTGAAGGAGCGCATCGTCTCCCCGACCTTCATGAGGAAGCAATGCGCCAGACCGCGACCCAGCTCCGTGTACCTCACCAGCGTCAGTTTGTAGTCCTCGGATAGCTGGCGTTTGTTATACCTCAATTCTTCATCGTTTTAAAGACCAATTACTATAATTTAAGATTTATAAATATGGCGACCCCGTGGCGCAGTTGCCAAAGCATTAGGCTAAATGGCATCGGCGCCGGAGGTCGTGGGTTCGACTCTCACACGGGACAACAATATGCTTCTCATAACAACGAACTAAATCCCAATTCTAGTAGTTCTGTTTAAGTCTTTGCAAAAGCCTTATTCTTAATAATAAATATACAACAAGCATAAGTTATAAGGAAAAAGAACGTGACTGCATAAAATATACTAAGTATTTTACATTTCATATGTTAAAATCCAAAAGGTTTAATCATGTTAAATGTTCCAGATAATCATTAAAACAACACTCGAAAAACACAAGCCTCCTTCGGCAGTCGAGTGGAAAAACACTTCTAAGCTACTAACATACAATGCTCACTTGAAAAATGAAAACGTGGCCAGCCGATTTGGCGACCGCCATGAGCTCCCGGCCAGTAGAAGAGAAGACGATCTGCGACACGATCTGGTTGGTCAGGCACATGCTGCCGACCTTCTGCAAAGGCTGATGGGGTCGATACGTGAACAGCCCCATGCCGTAGTTGGAACCCAGCTCGCCGAAGATCACGACTAGGGGTTCCACGGGGCTCGCTTGGAAGCACACGTCATTGCCCGACACTTGGTTTCTAAGGACCTGCAAATTCCTCCAACACCTTGATTTGTGCGTAGTAGTGTCAGTTGTGGACTCAAACAGGCTGAAATGATGATGATGATGACGAAGTCGCAATGACCACCATGCGATCTAGAAGATCTATTGTAGTCTAAAACCTCTCCTCCTACACCGGGCTTTTACAAATTCTTTGTGACAGGCTTATCTGCTTCGTCGTTAGTTTCACCTTTGGATTTAATTGGTTATTTATTCAGTTTATAAAAGAAAAGTGATAATTTGGAACCTCGAGAATCCTAGATTGTCATTACGGTTTTATTTAATTCTTGGTAATGTCTCATTGTGATACGTTACATATAATAAGGCAGTAATTGTTATGAAGTCCTAATGAATTTAGTGAAATCACATCATATAAAATGATTAAACGTTCTTAACACACGGAAAATGGATGTACTCACCAACTTTCCCGACATCGCCTCGTAAACACAAAGCTCTCCTGATTTGTTCATGGTCGCCAAATACTCGTAATCCGGCGCAATCAGTTGAATTTTAATAATATGCCTGGAATAACGACAAATAGTACGTACGTAGTCAAAAAGTGTCTCTACCAATAACAATCGATCGATGTTTCAGAATTTTTGAACTTGGCCAAGCTTTTTGCTTTTTTGTTTCATATCAGTTTATTAGAATATTACATATTAACATTAGTGTACAGTAAATGATGCGTTTTTTAATTCAATAATTTCAAAAATGTAATGGATATAGATTTTCTAAGTGCCTATTTCTATGCGTACCGCATGTTCAATTTAAGTTTAATTACAGATTTCATGTCTACGAGTTACTTAGTTCAGTTTGGCTGGCGGTTGACAGATAAACAGTACGGGACGTACCTCTGTCTGTAAGTGTAAAACAGCACGTCCAGATTGTCCTCATCACCCGTGATCTTGTAAAGGCCTCCGCTATCGGTCCACATGGCAGCTGTGTCACATGTTGAGTTCGATATCAGCCTGACCACACTGTCCTTGGGTTCGAAGCTCCACACCACCTTCCATTTGCTCTCACATTTCTTAAGCAGCTGTGTAGTAAGAAGTAAGTAGTTCAAGTAAACACCATCACGGTGGTATTTAGTTGAAAAGGTGTATTAGATTTGCAGGATTATATGGGTAGATACGTAGTGGGTAGTGCACCTGCCTCTTGCGCCAGAGGGTGTGAGTTCGAACCCCACTACTGGAAAATATTGTGTGATGAACATGGTGTTTTTCCAATTTCTGGGTGTTTAAATATTTATAATAATTATGTATTATTATTTACTAAAGAAAAGTATGTTTAACTATGTTTATCGGTTATCTAGTACCCATAGACAAACGTTGCTTAGTTTGGGACTAGAGAACGTTGTGTAAGAATGTGTCCTTAATATTTCGCACCCTGCGTAGAACAACGTGACATCTGCAAAATTGTAACTGTTCAGGACGGCCGATTCAAATTATTAATTTTTTATTTTGGTTATAGTTTTCTTATACATAGCAGTTGCTATTACAATTTTTGAGGTTTGTGATATAATTAGGTATATTAACAGACTATACTTTTTGAATTAATAATTATATAAATTTAGGAAATAAGAGGTTTCATGTGTAACAGTGACGTTTTCCTACGGAAAATGGCAATCAGTAATGGGTCACAAGATCACATAAACACGTCCATATAACGTTGTTCAACGGAACATTCTAAAAAAGAATGGGTCACACGTTCATTTATAACGTTGTTCTCCTAAAAACTCAGAAAATATGTATGAATAACGCATGTAGCACAGTTTTCAACGAAAAAACCATAAAAAGTGGGTGACTGTGCAATAAGTATCAATCGACTCTAATAGATTATTTTACACTCGTTTATTACATTAGTAAGCTTAGTCTAGTCATTACACAAAAACAGTGTCTAAACGTACATATGTCCTTGTACAGCGGAGTATAAATCAGATAGAACGTTGTTCTATTCTGTATCTCAATATCTATAAGTCAGACGAAAAAAAAATTTATGTCATCTGAAAGCGTACACAATAATTAAGACTTTCCGATGATAAAATCAAATTCGTTCTATGTGACCGCAGAACGTTATTCTACGCACACTGCGATTTATTTATTTATTTAAATAATATAAAGTAGTAATATATGATAATTTCTTAGCGTACTAACACGAAGTTTCAGATCAGGGCCGTAAATGAGAATTCCGTTGCCAAATGCGCTAATACTCGGCTTTTGAGTTCCGTGTAAGTTCTCTGACCATTCCAAGTGCGTGACCATTCCTATACCGTCTGAGAGAACCTGCAGATTAAAAATAATATTTAATTATACAATTGCGAAAATCTAATTATTGTAAAATCTAAAATCAGTAAGTATGTACTAAGTAAAGTAGTTTGAATGATTGAAATTTACGTGAGGTCTTACACAAATAATTTCACGGCATTATTGTAAATAATCAGTTACAGTTGATCAATAAAATTGTGAACATTTTTGCTACCAAGGAGAAATAATAAGTTTTGTTTTTAGTTCCGATTAGTCCTGAAACTGTACAGAGAGTAAAAATCTGCGCCGTTTCTTAATTTTTTTGTTTTAGAAGTGAAGTCTGACTAGGTAACGAACTTCTATAAAGCCCAGGAAATTATTTAGTTTTGTCTCAAAACATGTGACCGTTTAAACCAAAATTCATCAAACATTTATTGTACACGTTATCTGTTATTTTTAATATCCTACTACAATGAATCTGCATGCAACCCAATATTTATAATTTACTACCCATAGCATGGGCCGTGATAGCTCAGCGTGCGGGCGCTCGCTTTTAATGCAATATATTCTAGCAAAATGAGTTCAAATCCCAGTGCCGGCACCAATGAAAATGTTCATTGCAACTTTAAGTCCTGACTATATACATATTTTCAACATAACATAAAAAATAAATTGGAACTTGGCAATACGCAGTGGCGTGGTGAACTCCCAACAGTTTTGTACATAGGTCTTCGCCCAGCAGTGGGATATATACAGTCTGTTTATTTATTCCTCTACAACTCACACTATGAAGATTGGCCATCGGATCGATTGCGTACAGCTGGCCGTCGCTGGTCCAGCAGACGCCGATTAGTGGCGGCTCGGACACCTCCCAGCCGGTGCACTCCTCCTTGGCGCGCCTCATCACCAGGCACCGCTTGTAGCACTGCGCCACCTCCCAAACGATCAGACCCTCGCCCCAGCACTCGCACACCAGCATGTGGGTGCGGCTAGCCCTGGGCGCAAGCGGCAGAATCGATGCGATGACAATAATATGTATTTCTTGCACGTTTTTTTATGAGAGAAGGTGGCAAACGAGCTGGCGGTAAGCCTGATTTTAAGTGATCACGTTGACATTTTTAATACCCATAGGGTTGCAGATGCGTTGCCACCTCTTAATAAAGTGGGCCCCGGCTACCTCACTCACCAGACGAAACGCATAAGTATAACACCTCCAGTTCATGTCGCTCTTCGTCGGGTCGTGGTATTTACCCGAACGGACCCACCCATACGCACAACAGCGAAAACTGTTGTGCGTATGGGCGGGTCCGCTAATGGCTACCACTGTGGTATGGTCTCAAAAGTTACAGCCAATAGACAAATGCAAATGTTTAAACACTTCCGCTTTTGATGCTCATTGTAGAATTATTATTCAGGAGAGCTAGACCAGTCGACGTCTATCGAAATGATGGATTGAAAACACTCGAAGGGTCGTAATTTTCACTTAAAAAGCAAACATGTGGATAGCCCGCTAAAAGCCTAGGATTCATAGTAACATTTAAGCTTAGCATAATCTCACACACTTCTACTTCACTCCGGTCTAGCGTGCCGTCGTGGTACATCCCCGGACGGACCTGCCTATTCGTGTAACAGCGAAGACTGTTGGGTGGCCCTACCACAGTTAAATATACTATGAGTATCAGATTACGTTAAGATGTGGGGGATATAAAAACATTGAATAATGAAAGTGATGACACTAACATGTATATTTGATTCCTCCTCACCACTCCTGTGGGCAAGGCCAGGAGTCTCTGCTGCGTTCGCCAATTCCATACGGTCATCAGGTAGTCCGGGAATCCAGCAAAGCCGACTACAAGGTCACTGTCCATCATACAGAGGCCTTTGTACCTGTTTACGTCCGTGTCTGCGGTAGGTCGTAACGTACGGGTCATATAATAGAAAAGTAACAATTTGGCTCATAAATTGATCAAATGAAAAGATAAAATGATTATAAATAATGATTCAGGACATATTTTTACACAAAATTACGGAAGGTTCTATTATGGATGCTAGTTAATTTCGAAATCACGTTTATCAGTTACCTCACGCCCGTTTCTTGTGTAAAGATATATTCAGCATATAGTAGATATACATATAAACATCAAAATTTTTTATTAGTGCTTAGAATTAACATGAGATGATATGGAATCCCTTAGCATTGCTTTTAAGAATTAGACAATAGATACTTAATGTATATACTATAAATGGTCCCAGTGCCTTATTTCAGCTTATGACCTAAGTAGCGGATACGAATTCCAGAGACATGCGTCAATAGGCTTTTGAGCATGTGAGCAATTATGAATAATATCTAGGCTCATTTCACGGAGATAGTAATGATCGACGGATGATATAAACCACCTGTAAAGGCCCACCTTTAGGACTTAATAAGTAACCGAAACATTAATGTACTTAGTTATCTGTCTATTTCATAACATGATGATAAGTTATATATTCTTAAGTAGGTAGTGAATATTACAGGACTTTTAAAATAAGCAACCTTTAAGCTGTGCCAATTGATAAAATTTTGGATACATTAAAACAATTATTCTTGCGTGCGTCGTCTTCTCCGCAAACACGAAAATATTTGATCTGTGGCCTGAAACCAAAATATTTTTTAAAAAAAACTTTCTGAATGGCAAGGCATGATCAGCTGACCACTTCCCTTTTATTGACGAATATTAATTAAGACAAGTGGTCGACTAGTGGTCGAAATTTTATAGATGGTATTGTGTGTAATTTTTTTTTATTGATTTAATGTATTTTTTTGCCTAATTTAAAAAAAAAATATTAGCATTCTGCACTTCTTTGTATAAAATATGTGTGGGAAATTTCATTCGCTTCCGTCCGCACAATTTTCGTAATATGGGTACAAAGTTTTTGCTTCACGAACTATTATATAGATTATGATTATGTTTCATTAATTTTAAAATTATGATTCTTTAATTAATATTAGAGTAAACAAATGGTTGTTTAACCTGCAATAGCATCAACTCCATCGCCATTATAGTTATTGATGGCGACATATACTAATTCGTTGTTGGTTTTAAAGTTATAAAAAATTATGTATACGTCGTGTGCTATAGCCAGCACATGTTTTCCGATAAATGTCATGAAGTCCAATCTGTTTGGTATCGCCCATCTGAAATATAAATGATAGGTGTATTTGAGTAATAATTATGTTATTGTTTAGTGAGAAATGATATCTCGGAATTTTAATAGGTATAGAATGAATGTTAACAGTTTGAATTTTATGCTTATTTATTGTATAATAGTTCCCAGCAGCTTTAGTGGTAGGCGGCTCTGTCGGGCACCCACTCCCAGGGCGCCAAGAATCCAGGATCTACTAGGCGACGCGCGTGTCTGTTAACGGCATTATTTATTTATCTTTATTGTTTTAAAAAATATTATCTACTAGCCACCCGCCCCGGCATCGCACAGGTGCAATTGAATTTTTTTACTTTTTCCTATTATAATATGCATGTATACTCCTAAGCCTTTCGCTTGAATCACTCTATCTATTGATGAAGACCGCATTAAAATCCATTTCTTAGTTTAAAAATGTAAGCCTACAAACATCGGGAGCGACTTTGTTTTATACTATGTAAAGATAAAAAATATCTTATAGTTTCCACATGATGAATACTTTTTTAGAGAATGGATTACGCCCAAATATTTAAGATTTATCATTACTACAGTACACACTACCTCACTTGTGGGTTATATTGTTGTCCTTGACGTAAATATGAACTAGCAGTATCCATAGCTGTTTGATAACATAAATAGTCCGTCTTTTCTATGTTTCACCAGAAATTGTAATATGACAATATAATCTTATCCTTACATTAGTGTCATAGCAACCTAAAACAATTAAGGGATTTCTTTAATTTTACAACATTAATTTTATTTCTGCAGAAATTATAATTGCATTCTTCGTCTAAATTATAAAATATATAAAACTACATACATCATTTATTTAGTTTTTATGTTTTACAAGGTCATGGTTGAAAGCAACTGCATAAAATATATGCATATACAGGAACGTTATTATCTGTGAGGTGAGATATGTCAAAGCTTGGAGATTGCAAATAAATTGATTATAAAGATAAAATGGATACGAATGTCGTGATTAATTATTTGTTGACTTATATAAAATGATTGATATATGAAATGTGTTAATTCATCATTAAAATATCAGAATGTAAGTGATGTACCATTGTGGTACACTCCCGTGTTGATAATAGATGACACATAAAAACTTTATTATTGTTTTGTTTTCCGTTTATGTTATTAGGGATAACGCGACTGGGTCGGTTGTCGATCCGGTGGCGGTAAGATGGAACTCATCATCGATAGATTTCGCAGAGATTACGATGGACCGAAACTTCGCCTTGCTATTGGTGTCCTTAATATCTGCCATCCTGTGGGTCGTTTATATAACGTACTACAACAGTCGCGTTCTTGGATATGTACTCACAAGATTAATTAACAAATTTTATTTCCAAGATGAGAACTTCAAGATTGGTAAGCAAGCAAGTTTACATTACTTATGGTTTCAGAAGATTTAAACATTGAATACAAGTCCATTGTTGGTATGCTTTATAGTAATATAAACATGTTGAATATCAATTGACTAAATCATTGTTTTATACAAATATTATTGATTTCACCCATCAAAATTTACCGTCTCTCTAAAGTCATAATACACAAATTTTTCTTGCTATTCTTTGTTATTAAATTGTACACTAAAATAATAGTACAAACTAAAATAATATGTATGAGTTGACATGGTTAGCTTTGTGCTGTCAATCAACAATCTGATTAGCATTTTGGATAGTGAACCTGTTTTGTGTACCAGAGTGTTTATATACATATAATATAAAAGTTCAAAAGTATGTTTAATTATGTTTATCACTTACCTAGTATCCATAGTAAAAGCTTGGCTTACTTACTTTTAGTATACATAAAAAGATAAATAATATCATCAATAAAAGCTAAAGATGTGTAGGAAAAAGAATATTGGGCAAAATTCAACAAATTTAAGATTTCATTCAAAGTTTTTTTTGCATAAAATAATTAAATTGTATAAACACAAAAGGTTTTTGCATTTCTTGCTTCGACGATTCTGACATCAGTATAAGGCTGTCTGTAAGAGAAATAAAAGTATAATATGACAAATAGAACTAATAACGTGAAAGCTAGGCAAATTAGAATTATTTAATTAGTAACTAGTTAACAAAGACAGATCAAGATATTTATTTTGAATAAATTTAACATGTCATATTTGGCATTCATTTAGATTTGATAATAATATTAAATAGTTTTGTCATAAGAAAAGACTATTATAAATTTCAAGGCTATTATTTTACCCTTGATCCTCCACTTACTTTCTTGTTAATGCAATTAATAACTTACAATGTTTGTACTTGCTCTACCTTTATTTGGCTTCTAATTAGTTTCAGTTAGAGTTGTACACTTCATTTGGTTTCAGCATGAATCTTTTTCATAAAATTTGTTTTGTAAAAAATTTAAGTAGATAGTGTTTTGATTGTGGAGCTCTTTAAAAAATTTACTCCTGTATTGAAACAGGGATTAAGAAGGGTTTCCCTAATGTGTTGTAATGGACAAAAAGCACACCAAGAACTCCCCAAGGTTCTTTTAATCCATTGTAGGAATCTACCCAAAACGGCATTGACCTGAGTCAGTGTGCACAGACATTTCAGACAGGGTAGGCACTAACAAAAAAAAAAGTTACAAATGATTACATTTGGAACTCAATAAACACAGAAAGTAAAGAGTTCAAGTAAAATAATCATTAACAATTAACATCTGTAAATGACAATATTTAACATAACTATTGGCTTTAGGTCTAGGGTTTGCATGCTTGTATGGAGTGCACATGCCTGACCTAAATAATTAAGCTTTATATGCTTAATATTAAAAGAGTAGGCATGGTGGTACTGTAGTAGAGCCACACAACAGGTTCTGCTGTTCCTTGAATGCGGGCAAGCTCATCTGAGGATATTACACAGGCTAACAGATGACATGCATAAAGTGGACTTATTATAGTTTTGTATTGGGTCTGGTGGCTGATGTAGCCGGACCCCACTTTTGCAAAGTTTGCCATTGTATGTACAACCCCACATGTGTTGCAATAGTTTCAAGGGTGGCGTCAATCACCTCTAACATTAGCCAGCTTGCTTGGCAATTTTATATAAAAAACAAGTTAATTTATCATATGTAATTAAGTCTTTTATTTTTAGTTAGAACAAAAAATAATATAACAACAATTTAACAAATTAATTCTTTGGTTATATAATGGATTGTTACTACCAAAGGAAGTTTCTTAAACACAATATATTAAGTTTTAATTACTAAAAAAAAAGTAAAGTAACAGCCTATAAATGTCCCACTGCTGGGCAATGGCCTCCTCTGTAAAGAGGGTATTACTTATTTTGTATTACTTTATTAATTACTAAATTTAACCTAAATAAATGACCTCTTATACTTAACATTAAAAGAGTAATAAAAATATAATTCATAAAGTGACATGTTCTATATTTTATTGTTTCAACAGGATCTTTCACTCTTAATGCTCTCTCTGGCAAGATTATGTTCCGCGACATTGTGTACATCAATTATGATTATACATTGCGTATACAAGATGGGTATTTGATATTCAGATGGTGGCGGTCCTATGTCCCCAAAGATGTCTCTGAAGGTGGAGTATTGTTTTCTTTATTAAGTCTTTTTGTATATGTTTTATAACTGCACAATCTCTTTTTTCACACTGTCCATAAAATAGTATTCTTGACATTCGCAATTTAGTTGAGTTGTAAATTTATGGATATTTTTATAAAGAGTTCTTTCATAATTTTGCCCTATATACTTTTATTTACCTTGTATAAGAACAACACAAATATTGCATTATACATATTGTGTTATAGACCTTTCACACTCGGACACGCGCCTGTCGATAATGTTAAACGGCTTCGAACTGCACTTCTACAATCGGTGCGACCTCTACAACGAGCTCGAGAAGACGTTCGGCCTAGAGCCAGTCATAAAGGAGCGGAACGACGACGACTCCACCGACCGCGACAAGGCCATGAACGACGCCAACGAGAAGAGGAGACGCGCCCAGGACACGGTGCGCTCGGAGGCCGCCATGGCCAGGACCTGGCGGGACCTCATCCCCGTCATCAAGGTCGACGTGTGCACCAGCCGGGTGGTTTTCGGCAACAAGCTGGTCCCGACCACCCTCTCGATAAGCGTCGAGGAGGCCCACCTCGTCTACAGCACCAAGCCGCCCGCCTCCAGCCTCGACCATCTGATGCACTTTGTGAAAGCCAAAGCGGAGAACTGCAAGGTCATCCTGGCGCCAAGTCCCAATTACACCGCCATGGTCGACGAACCACCGAGGTACATGGGCGAAGGCTTCGTTGTCATGAGTTCCAACTACATCGAGGTGTACTTCTACATGGACGAGCCAGGTCTCGTGCCCGAGCAGCCTGTGCTGCTGCAGTTGGCCAACGGGGACATTGTGGAGTCGGCGCCGCCCATTTGGGGCGTCGACATCAAATGCGGGAAAGGTACAGACTTCAGCTACGGGCCATGGGCGGATAGGCAAAGAGATCACCTCTTTAAATTCTTCTTCCCTCCTGATTACAAATCACTAGAAGTGACACCGCAACCGAAACCAGGCGATAGAAGACAGATGCAGTCCTTCGACATAAGGCTGTCGACGCTGAACGAAGCTACCATAGACATTTTGTTTACGAAGAACAAAGAGACTAACGCAGTTCACATCAACATTGGTGCGGGATCGTATATGGAGGTGACCCTGCCGTGGATTGTGTTACAGGACGGTTATACAACGAAAATAACTGGGCAACTGCTCCACTTGGAAGCTACAACGAGCCTCCAATACAGAAGCTTGGCCGAAAGCGAAACATTGGAGTATACTGTTAAATGTCACTATCCACTGGTTTGGAACCACCACCAGTGCTGGCAGCTCTCGCTCACCGGCTGCAAAGCCACGGCTCATTTCGTGTACACGCACATCGATTTCTTCCAAGACCTAACCAATGATTGGTCCAGCAAAGCCCGCCCCGACATCTTGCATTTCGTCCCCTACACCTGGAAGATCTCACTTCTATTGAAGGAATGCGAAGTACTGACCGTTAGCAATCAACACAATTGGATCGACTGCAGTTCAACAAACCAAGAAAACAATCACGTCGCTTTCTGCGGCGACCTACTGGACGTGTCATTCGATTTACCCTTTATTGATTTCTTGCCAGACGTGATCCCCTTGAAGATTTGGGTACAAGGTGAAGCCGTAGACATGAGCCTGTACTTACCTGAAGTCAACACTTCTAGACTACTACTGCTGTCTATCGATAAAAACATGAAGCTAGTGCCGTGCCGGTTGAAAGCGTCTAAATGGCGCAGGAAATGCGTTAAGAGCCAGGGCTGGGTTGATTGCTGGTCAGTCCCAATCGTGGCCTTGAGCGTCAGATACAACTACCACCCAATACCACCGCTCGGGCCTGAACCGCAAGCTGACATTACTACACCGGAGAAGGAAGAGATTCTTCTTTCTCCCATGAGAATACCCCGAATGAGAAAGCAGCCACAAATGAATTGGGCTATCGACGGGAACACTTTTGACAGAACTTCGTTGGCGCCGGATAAAGTGAGTGTAGAGTTAGAGGTGGGACCGTCCGTTCTCCTCGCCTACGGCACAATCATCACCAGTTTCATGAATTTGCTAGAAAATATTTTCGGCGAAGATCAAAGGTTCACCGATATGCAGAAGACGCCAAACGTGGAGAATCTCTATTGGCTAAACGACAATACAACTAAACTCAATGACAGAAGCAGCGTAAACCAGCATGCCGAAGTATCTCTAGACGATTCCAGCGATTCGTGCAAAGAACCTTTTGATCCGCGACGCTGCCGCCCACTAGATGTGTCTGTGTCCATTATTATTCACGACATTCAAGCCCATTTGGTGAAGAACTGTAGCGAAAACGAACCGCCGTGCCCCGTTGTCCTCATCGAAAGATTCGGATTCGAAATGGACAAGAGGTTCAAGGAGACAAAGCTCCAGCTGCTACTCAGCCCCTCAATTCTTGTGTCGTCCAACAATTTGTCGAGGCCCAACGCCAACAACACTGGCGCCTTGCAACAGGGACATTTAATGCTCTCCTCGTTTCAACTACGAGGGAACGGTTTCTTCAGTGACACGAATCGTTCCGTGGAAGACGACACCGTAGAGTACGCTTGGATGATGGAGTTGCAACTCGGCCAGCTGACAGGTCGGCTAACATTGCCACAGCTTTACCAGATAGTTTCGTCTCTCGAAACCTTCTTGTTGCTTATTTGCGACAGCGAAAACGAATTGGTACCGCCTAACGCGGTGAGACAGTGCCACCATGGCCTGAATACTATCATATGTCCAGATACAGACATAGCTCTGAAATATCGCTGCCCGACGCCGAACGAAATTAAATACCGCATGATACGAGTTGCGATCGACCTGATCGATATTTACATTGCCGATTCAAATACGACATTACAGTCTTGGCTATCGCCTATCAGACTGTCCTTCTGTAACCTTCACGGGTCAGGATTTGGAACTGGAGTCACCGGTTTACTGCCTAACATTAAGCTTGCTCTGTTCACGCAGACAAACATGCAAACTCATCACCATTCCAACGGTAGCACTAACAGCCAAAACAAACCGCCAGAGAATGAAAATTGGGTCGGCGTGGGATCCGTATCCCTTGGGCCGGTGTTGATTGAGGCAGCATCTTCTTTAGCTCAAGCTCCAAGAAACCTGCATTTGGTGCAGCAGAAATTTCTTAAACTGCACGACGACAAAACGAAAAGGTTATGGTTCTTGTGGCCGAATGAGCTGGGAAAAGCACTCAGTGCGGTTGCACGGGAGGATGCGCCTTTTTCGGCTCAAACAGAAACGGACCAAATTTCCTCAAGCCATCGCAGTCAGATATGCTCGAGGGCATAAACGTAGCAATGTTCAACGTAATAGAAACGTCGCCAGGGGAGTACGGCTATGGGCAGAGCTTATTGCATCCAGGGCAGCTAGTTTTCCATACGCCGCCGTACAACAGTTTGAACGTTTGCCTACAACCAACTAACGTCGCGACACTGATACCTTCGCCTTTACCGCAAGCCTTAAATAAATCGCCTCAAAGCGCGGAACGTAGGAGTTTGACCAGACGGTTCTCTTATACTAGTATGAGCAAAGGCAGCAACAATGTGCTCGTTTCTAGCACTAAGAGTGACGTTCCGTACGCGCGGCTAGTAGACTCAACAGTGCCTTTAGGTAATTCGAAAATCGACAGTGACTCCAAACTGAACAAAAGCGTTCTTAACGTGCCCCAGATGGAGAGTAGCGTTTCAGATTCTAAGCTGGCCCTCAGTTGTGGGGTTAAGGAGAGCACAAACGTGTCGGCCAAAAAATCCGTGCAAACCGAGAACGAGGTGTTCACGGCTCCTAAGGTACCGGCACGTAGCGTCGGTGTCTCCGAATCTCATTACTCGCTCAACTCTCAACCGCCACACGAGGAAATACAACCGCAGGAAGTTCAGAGGGCAATGTCGATTACGAGTGAAAACCATTCCGAAGCTTTCTTCTCGGCGGACGAGGATATGTTCCCCAGTCGATCTTCAAGCTTGAAACATTCCTTCGGCAGCCGCCACAGCAATCCAAAAGACAAGAGCTCGTTCGGCATAAACGATATAACTACCGAAAAGTGGACAAACTCAATTCCTCGCTCGGAGGTGGTTGACGCTCCCGACACTATAAGCAATCTCAGCGCCGGGGTGCAGCCCGATTCTGAAAGCGGATCCGTTTCCTCCACCTCTTTTATCTCCGCAATTTCATCGCAAGAGGACATGACACTCGTGAACCTACATATGCAGACCAACAAGCCGATCGTGGAGTCTCCATTACTCATGGCCAGTTACATGCACAACCTTCCACAGTATAAGTGCTCTAATTGGTCTTTATGCTCTTTGCCTAGCGGTAGAGACGCCTTCACGCTGCCGCTTTTCAAGAGGGCCGATGATGGTTCGTTGGTTTATGTCGGACAGAAATATTTACCCAACTTCGAACAGACTGGAAAGGTGAACATCTTGAGACTTATTCCTAAAAAAGACGGGCACAACACCCAAAGTCAACACGGCCCATTCTCCAATCTGACGCCGCACTTCAATTCACAAATTAAAGCGCACCCCTACCCTCAAGCGTGGTGGGAGTTGCAGCAGAACGTTCAAGATAATCAGGAGAACATCACCGACAAAAGCTCAGCGTCCACGGCCACCACGACCAGCGATAGCAAAAGTGGCTTATTTATTAAACTGCGTGGAGAAATTGACGTGATGCTGACACCACTAGTGTTGGAAAGCACACAAAAATTCGTAGAATCCTTAACTCCCGTTCTGGCTAACATTCACCCGATAACGGTTATAAATCACCTGCGGTTGCTTTGCATTTCTTCCGTGGAAAGCGCAAACGTCCTTAAACAGAAGCAGTACGTTTGGAATTGGTTGCCGCAGATGCAAACAAACGGCCAGTCCAGCATAATAGCGGACAAGGATGATAAACACAAGATTGCAACGATCCCCCAACCGAACGTGTACGAAGAGACCATTTGCGATCAACTTCAAGCCACAGTTACTGTGCCCAAAGTCAACGTGATATTTATACAGTCGTCCGTTGTGGAAGACATGATTTCATTCTCTGCTTTAGACAACATACAAGATCTGACCTGCGTGTCTCTCTTCGGGCTGTCGGTTGAAAATATAGTGGCGAAGTACGTCAGCTCCAAGAAGACTTTGGAATCCATTCAGCTGTATTATAGACCGACGTTGCGTGCTCTCGGGAGTAAGAAGTCCTTCGGTATCATGAAGGGTCCGCGTGCATTGATCTCCGCCCAATCTTCCGGTCGAAAGAGAGGACCTGAGAAGGGTGAACCTGTATTCATCGAGACTTCACAACAGCAGTGCGAGGACACTACCATCACTCTTAACGTCGGTATGTAATTCATAATTGAAACATAATTCAATTGTTATTATATTTTACTGTATTGATTAATTATTACTGCATTGGTTTCAGGTAAGGTTCACGGCCAACTGCGCCGTATACGCAACGAGTCCTCTCAATTGAAAGACGCCACCGTGACCGGCATACCGTGCCAACATTCCAAGGTGTGTTTCAAGTTCACCAAAATGGAGCCGTGCAGCAAGGGTTGTGAAACCACGGTTAGTGCTAAAGTCATGTTGACTTAATTAGATTTGCGTCCTATTTTGGCCGTATCATTTATGTCTTTCATGTTCGACAGTGCTGCCAGAACGGCCCAATGGAGGGCCAGAAGGAGGGCTCCATAGGCTTCATCATGTTCGAGTGCGGCCTGGAGGGCGTCTCGATAAAAGTCTCCCAGCATTCGACCTCGCACAAGGCGAACGAGGAGAAGAAGCCCGCGCGCAACGACAACGAGAGCTGCCGCGAGTCCGTCAAATCGGCCGAGGACCTGAAACCGGACAAGGAGCGGGGGTCCAAGGGCCACCGGACCTCGGGCATCGAGGACCTCTTCAGGAAACGCGAGTCGAACTCGAAGCCCGGCACCCCGAACCTGAGCGCGGCGCAGCCGCCCCCCGCGCCGCCGGAGCCCACCACCCCCGGCCCGGAGGAGCCCTCGGACAGCACCGCTACCATCGTGCCCGTGAAGGACAACGGGAACAGGTCCTCGTGCGCTATAGACCTGAAGGTGGTCTGGTTCAACTTCGCCGCGCCCCCGCGCACCCCCATCACCAAGAAGATTGACTACACTCGGTAAGGGATCTGATTGGTAAACTAATAAGAGACTAGGTCTTCTATTGTTCTTTCTATATTGATTAATGGGGATTTGTTTATTTTGATGAACAAAGAAATGTTTAAACGACGTCCATGAGATTGGTTCTGTATTGTGGTTTTTACGGTTTAATTTTTATGTAAAGAACTGTTCATTAAATTTAGCTAGCATAAAGCTCTTCCGAGTGTGAAAATCTGGCACAGGTTCTTTATACGCAAGTACCGACAAGATCACCGTTTCGCCGTATCGCTTCACTCGTAACTTCCTTCGAGACCGCCTTCCAACGAAAGCTTTCAAATGAGCTACCCACAATCGGCATGTTCCAGGCTGGACTGGAATCTGCTGAGCACCGCGTCGCCGGCGATCAACGCTTGGATGAACCCGTGCAACCGGCTGGGCATCCGCGTGGTGGCGCTGTACCGCGCGCGGGCCCGCCGCCTCGCCGCCACCGCCGCCAGCCTGATGGCCGCCGCCCTGGACCGCGCGCCCAGCCACGCGCTGCCCAAGGTGCCACGCCCGATCTTGGCTGAGACGGGAACGGTTTACCGCGTACCGCTTCATTCATGAGTGAGACACTCATCACGGCCCGTTCGTCTCACTAAAAACACAAACACACTTATTACCAAAATAAAAAATATGCATCACGAAGGCTGGAGCCAGATGACTTTCGGGCTAATCCACCTTCTGATGGCAATTGCACAAATGGGCAACCGTCCGGGTAGGTACTACAGAAGACCGGCGTGAAGTGGTAATGTCATACTTCTGCGTTTCGTCTGATGAGTGAGATAGCAGATCAGGCATCTGCTATCTTACTCATTTCGTTAGAAGGTGGCAACGCATCCGCTAATGTGAACGGGCGGCGCTTGCCACCTTCTCACGAAACGCGAAACGCCACTAGGGGAGTCGTGGCGTGGAGCGTACCCGAACCGTACCGTAACCGCGCCCCGGCGTCCCTCAGAGCCGGTACGGGCGGCACACGCCGATGGCGAAGCAGCTGCGCGAGGAGCCGTCGCTGCAGCTGTGCGGCGTGCTGCTGCGCCACGCGCTGCAGGCGGACGCGGCGGCCGTGCAGGCCGACCTGGCCGAGCGCCACCTGCCCTCGCTCTCCACGCTGCGACAGGTGTGTGCATGGATGTTTCTTACTCTTTCACGCAAATACTACTCAATGGATTTTAATGCAACTTTACAATCATATAGCTTATACATCAGAATAACACATAGGATATAATTTATATGCATATTTTTATGTATATCTGTCTTTCTGTCTGAATGTTACGCCTTCAGCGTATGGTACGCAACGGGCAGCATTAAAACGATGAAAATATAACAAAACCTTAAAACCCTGCTTTAAAAATACTTGCTATTCGATTTATATTATATTTATTTATCTATTTATTTGGGACAACAACAGCGCATTCGCATTGAGTTTTCTAGATTTCCGCACCATAGAGCCGCATTTCGATTATTCGACTTTTGCGCAAATATTATATTGAAGTTTTATATCTTGTTACTCCCACAACTGAAGCAAATATAATAACAGTTAATATATTGAAATCCGACAACAGCTGTTGGCTTTAGAGCGGCCCAGAGAATTCGACATATATACTTACATGCGGTCGAAAAATGTTGCCCTCTGTCCGCGTTTTCGTAAATATATTAGTAGTTTTGACTTCTGCCTAATAGGACAATTACTAAAGGGAATTATCAAAGATTAGTTGTGTAATAAAATGAGTGCATAACTTGTTGACATACGATTTGTTACACAGGGCGTGATTGTATTGAGTCGACAGTGGAAGAACATCCTGTATACACCATTACTGCTCGAGCACAACTACAAGAGCAAAGTGATGAAACCTCTAAACGTGACATTCGCGCTACCGGACTTGTTAGAGGTAAACTGTAACTCGTATTATCTCTTTCCTAAATGTTGTAAACTTCTAACTCTCGGCCTCTTAAACAATTGGAATCCCTGTTAGCGTCGCACTCAACTAGACGACGAAACGTAACCGATGGAGACAACTCGCCTTGACGTGAGTTGTCTCCATCGTTCAAGTGATGAAAATTTACGGGACGAATAAGAAGAACAGAAGAAAGAAGAAAAATACTGCTCATTTCTCTGGGTAACACGCCTGCATATTTATACAGCGTGTCGTTACCATCGCGACAATAAATGAACACACGTCTAACGCTACTTGCCAATAATCATAAAAAAATATTAACGTTAAACAAAATCCATAATTAAAAAAAATATCAAACAAACTAATTAAGTAAAAAAGAAACAAAATTTGTAACATCCTATACAAATCGCGCCACAGCGTTGCATTAAAAGTCTCTCCTTCTAACAGTATGTTTTGTCTCTTTTAAATTCATTCAACCCATTCATATGCTTTGTGACCTTTACAAATGAACTTTACGTCACGCTTTTATAGGTAAGGGTGTTTTAAAACTCTTTGTTTTGGAAAATTTAATAACTCTGTAAATATTGATGTTTAAACAATGTAAATGTTTAATACAATTTTAAAAAGTTATACCGTATATGTGTGTTTATTTATTGTCGCGATTATAAAGACACGCTGTATATGTATGCACATATGTAGGTTAGTATGCTGTGTAGTAAGATATTTTCTGATTGAGGCATTTAGCTGATAATGTATATTACGTTTATCGCAAACATTTCACACGGTTTTTATTTCAAACTGGAACTAATCTGTCATAAATACCTTTCTTTCCTGTTTTTACATTACCCAGGACTCCGTGGAGGGTTGGCAGGAGTACACTATAGAAAACGAGGCACTCGACGAGAACTGCCTCCTTCTAAACATGGAAGCGGACAACCTGAACCTGACATGTGAGTTATCTAACACTTAAGTAAGCAACCTTAAAGCAATATATTAAGAAGTCATATTGAAAATGAAAAGTTATGATCGTTTATAATATGGAGAAATGTGAAATATTGTTTGTCATGCGAAATGTGACCTTGCGCGTAACGCGTTAAGGCTCAAATCGCGCCGCTCTACTAACGTGCACCTTTTGTACGAAGCGACCGCGCCGCCGGCGAGCCCGCGCCCGCACTCCTTCCCCTCAACGTCGCCTTCGGGTGCGTACGCCCCATTTTGCGTTCAGTTCCACGCCAGCGGTCCTACATTCTCTCTCTCTCTCTCTCTCTCTCTCTCTCTCTAACCGCGTTAGGGATATCGACAAAATATCGATGATTTTTGATTTTGTGTATGGCTCATTTTCAGCCGATATATCTGGATCCGATATATCGATAAAAATATTGAATATCGAAAATCGTATCAAAAACGATAATTTTTTCAAATTCAAATCCGGCATAGAATCCGTTGGATTCAAATATTTAATACTTGACATACCTGTTTTTTGCACGACAGGGTTTCTAAGACCTAAAGACAAAAAATCGACATTGATATTTTCTATTCGATATAATATCATGGCCGATTTTGATATTTTTATAAATACAGATATATGGATATAATTTTTCACTTTCGACATCCCTAACTCGCGCAGTTTACGGTTCGAACTCGGACGTTGACGTAACTATTATGGAGCCTATGTCAAATACCTATCGCTGGTAACCGAATCTATCTGTGGATGGAATATCGAAACGGACCGTTAATCGCGCGAGTTTTAGGTGAAATTTAGTTGTGCAAGCTCCACGCAGAGCCATTTTTTATACCGAATTTGGACAATGTAGGGCCGCTTTCGTGCTCCGTTTGATAACTGATGTTAATAATATTTCTATTGTTACCTACTCCTTATTGATTGGTGTTAGTTTTGTTTTGTGTGTACATTTCGAACGCACCGAGTTTTCGCATCGCAGTTCACGAGTTCACGAGTGTCCAACTTATATCATGAATTCAACTCCCGTCTCGTGTCTGCAGACATGTCATATACTATTAAGAGAAGTTTGTAGATGCTTTGTTTTAGTAACGAATAAAAGTGATTTCTCGAACGGTTACCAATAGTATCGGTAATAATTATTTGACTATGTAACAGGAATGCCGTTTAGACGTTTTTACACGTTAAGATGATATAAGCAATTAAAGGGAAATCGCTTTGTATTATTATGTGTGCAACATATATTATGTTTGTTAATGTAAATTTATTATCACTAATTATTGTGACGTTGAAAAATTTCTCATTGATAATGTTTTCAATGTCCGTATTATTTTTCATCTATTCTTAAAATTTAATTCGTGTTTGACTATACACATTCTAAGATGTTAAAGGCATGCATTTTCTTTACTTTTTCCTCGTCTTGCAGAGTGCTACTACTCTGACGCATTGTTTTATAGCCAACAGATATTCTGCATGTATTTTGTTTAGAGATCCTAACGCATGTGTTGTGGCATTGGAATGTTTGCCTCTTGAAGTCCAGACTCTGTATCAGGAATGAATATATACACCCAATAGCTGATGACACAATCACCATCATGCGATTTCATCCGCTAGAAACGTTTCTGCTTCGCCCCATAAGTCGTAGCGTGATGTTAAATACCCTATTACCTTCTTCAAGAATTGGACTATCAAATGCAAAAAAAATTTTCCAAATCCGACTGTTAGTTCCTGAAATTAGCGCGTTCGGACAAATGAACAAACTCTTCAGCTTTTAGTATAGATATAGATTGTACGTATGATGGTAACCGTTTATTGAGTAATAGTTTTCACGTTAATCTATGTAATCACAATCGGGTGATTTTAAAATTACACACTGCATGCAATCCGCGAGAAAACGACCGACTTTTCGAAATTGAATCGCTTTCATTTGAAACTGTTGTCTCCTTCGATAAGGTAGTGGGCCACGAAATAGCTTCAACCTTAGCTTGTCAATGCATCTGTCTATCTACGTTACGCACATTATCATCAATGTGAATCGGCGAATCTTATTGGTAAATGTCTGAGAGCTGCTTGCGCCGACAGTGCGGGGCGCGCAGAGCAGCCGGGCGAGCCTAGTCTTCCCCTCGCTGCCTTTCTCCACGAGGAAGACCCCGTTCCAGGACGACGCGATTGCGAGTGAGTGTTGAGGCCGCTATCGTACATTCATTTCATTCCATTCGACTTGTTCGGTCTTTACGCCCTATGCATGTCTCAATGCCGGGCAAAGGCCTCTGCACAGAGGGTATTAGGGAGTAGTCCACCAAGTAACTAGTGCCAATTGGCATACTAAAGATATTTTCGATATGTTTTTTTTGGGTTATTATTTCGAAAATATGCAAGCTATCTAAAGTCCGCGATAAGTCGGCACTTAAAATTACAACTAACAATTTCGTTGGTACCAGCACCGGGGCTTGATTGAACTCAGGTAGCTCGAGTGTACTATATTAAAAGCAAGCACCCGGACACTGAGCCATCACGCCGTTTTCGTTTCGATAACTACCGAAGAGTGATCTAGCTTCTATAATAAACACATTTTATGTTTATATAAATGATTATTTTAAGACAAAAATAGCGAGTAATGGATGTGATGGAATTCTTTCAAATTGATGTGATTTTATATTATCCATCCATCGTGCTTTTGCTTCGTTTTGATAATAAAATTGGATTTTTTTTTCTTCTTACATTTTACCATATTGATGACGTTTTACCATGTTTTTTTAAGGATTGGTCTAAATCCGTAAACTAGCAATAATTAAAATGAACCGTGTTAATCGTCGCCAGACTACGGAACTCTGAAGGAAGACCTGCCGACCGTGGGTTCGAACCCGTCTCTTTACTCTCCGCACGGCAGCCACGACGACGTGGCCAACGAGCGCGCACGCGAGGACCTCTACCAGTGGATGGCCAAGCAGGAGCCCATGAAAGTGGTGAGCCTTCGTCGAGTTCTCAGAGAATCAGATCGGTTGTATCACATCTCTTTGCGATTGTATCGTCAGCTGCCGATCATATCTAATGAAATCAAATTATTTATTCATCGAAGTAAGAAATTTAAATTTCATCTCCCGATAGTCAATTTTTTAAATCTACCACTGTTTCGTAATGCTTCTCTATCGCAGAAGAAACAGGCGAAAGAAACTCCGTAGGTTCATCATCTTTTTTTGTCGTTTTCCCCCCTCAAAACATTAAAGTAACATTAAAATATTAAACATATACTTATGGGTGTCGACTACTTTTGAAAAATGATATCACTACAGTAGCATTAGGAGAATGCCATTAAACAATGAGGCGTCGCAGGAGCCGAAGACGAAGAAGCCGATAATCCCCGCGTCGAAGATGAACCCGCGCGCGATGGCCGCCTCGCTGCCCGCCTGCAGCCTGTACCCGCTGCAGGGCTCGCTGATGCTGCTGGACGCGCACCTCGTGTTCCAGCCGCTGCTGGCGGCGCTGGGCGTCTCGCCGCACCAGGTTCCGCAAGGTGCGCGCCTAGTGCCACCGCTCTTGTCTTCTATTTCGAGTGGGGGGGTGGCGAGTGCTAACGACCACTGCCACCTAGAACATCTACTTCGTAAGGATGTTTCACATAAATAAATTACACGTGGACGAACGCCCAGAAACGAAACAATCATCTGTGGGTCACACAAATAGTAGTCTCGTGTGTGAATCGAACCCAAAGCAGTTGCGCAACGCAGTCATCACACGGTTGTCTATAAATGGTCATTATGGCAATTGGTCGTTGTACAACAGTGAATAGCGAATAGTTGCGATTAGGGAATCGAACCCACACGGCACGGGCTGACCGCAGGTGCGAAGGGCGCCGCTGGAGCCGGCGGCGAGGGCGCCCCCGCGCTGGACTCGCTGGGCTCGGAGCTGTCGCTGCTGGCCTGGGTGGACGCGTTCCGCATCGACATCGTCGTCTCCGAGCTGGCCGCGCGCGAGCGCCGCCACAACGCGCCCAAGCCCAAAGGTCCGTTTATTACAAGACTCGCAGCAGACCTGTCACCGGAACTTGGTCACGAATGGTAGTTAATCGTGAACCAATAATGATGAGCCGTGATAGCTCAGTGTCCGGGCGCTCGCCTTTAATTCAATATACTCGAGCAACCCGAGTTCGATCCCCGGTGAAGTTTTTAACTTTAAGTGTTGACTTATCACGTGCTCCGCGGTGAAGGAAAACATCGTGAGGAAACCTGCATATTTTCGAAATAATAACAAAAAGAAAAGGAATTTCGAAGATAGGTGAAGTCCGCCAATCCGCAGTGGGACCGCGTGGTGGACTATGCCCTGATACCCTCTGTATAAAGGAGGCCTTTGCCCAGCAGTGGGACATGTATAGACTGTTACTTTACTTTAAATAATGATACACTTATACAGCGTGTCGTTACCATCGCGACAATAAATGAACACACATATAGGGGATAACTTTTTAAAGTTGTATTAAACATTTAAATTCTTTAAACATCAATATTTACAGAGTTATTTAATTTTCCAAAACAAAGAATTTTAGAACACCCTTACCTATAAAAGCGTAACGTAAAGTTCATTTGTAAAGGACACAAAGCATATGAATGGGTTGAATGAATTTAAAAGAGACAAAACATACTGTTAGAAGGAGAGGCTTGTAATGCGACGCTATGGCGCGAGTTGTATAGGATGTTACAAATTTTGTTTCTTTTTTACTTAATTAGTTTGTATGAAAAAATTTTTTTTTTAATTATGGATTTTATTTAACGTTAATATTTTTTTATGATTATTGGCAAGTAGCGTTAGATGTGTGTTCATTTATTGTCGCGATGGTAACGACACGCTGTATATTATGCGAATTTTAAATATAACATCAATACTACATAAATAAAACCCATATAAATACATAAGTGGTAAACATAAGAAATATATACTATCTCACCCATCTTCGTACAACCTCTCGTCTGCAATATGAACGACGCCTAATGTTTATTCGTTCTATTTCTTTTTGTTGTAAATCGTCGTAATGATATAACGAGTATGTCAAAATTTAAACAGCTCTAACGAGGTTAATATGATCTATACAGGGAGGCTTTTCTAATTGTATAGATAATAATAGATAAATATTTAATATCACTCGTAATTAATTACTTATATCCATTTAAACTTTACTCAAAAAGTGTGTGATTTGTGGGCAACTCATTTATTTTACGCGCGATCATTCATAACTAACGTACACAAGTTCGTTTCAAAAGTATACGAAGCATTTATGAATGAATGCCGCATTGTGAACAAGTTCTGTTTTTTAGGGAATAGAATTGAATTTTTTTTGAAAACAAAAAAGTTTGTTTTTATTTCAATAAACGATTATACTACCGAATCTGAACCTCCTGTGTGAATTTGGGCACCTTTAGAAAAGCCACCCTGCTGTATATTGTTACGGTCAAATAGGTCACAAAAAAAATATTGTGCATGATCTGATTAATCAAGATTACATTAAATTGGAAATGTAGATTTTACATGGTATAATACTAAAACACAGCAAAATGGTTTACATCGAGTTTTATCCTCTTTACGAACCCTCAAACCAGTAACCAGACATTGTCCACGTCCATGCTCTGTATTGAACAAATTCGCGATAATTTTTTTGTTTAAAAACTCATAAAATATAGTGTGACTATTTATTCTTAATAAGATACAACTAGACAAAAGACCAATAAAAATTACAGTACTAACATTCTTCTGTTTCCTTGCGAATTACGTTAAATTCGCGATGTTAACTTTAATAATTTTCAAAGTTTTCCTTATCGTGAAATAAATTAATTCGGTTCTTTATCATATCTAAACCTTAATACTATGATGAAAATGAATGACTGAACTCCGCCTTAACGGCTGAACCAATTTCGATGAAATTCTTTGCGTGCGTTCCAAGCGGATTCGACACGGGTATACACTCACAATTGATTTAAAATTTCCGTCGTATTTAATACGTGCGTATAAAACGACGTATGGCCCGCTGGAGTCGTACAGAACTCGAATCTAATTCTCACCCGCCCCAGGCCACCCGTGCCACATCGACATCCCGTCGGAGACGCCCGCCTTCCTCTGCGAGAAGGTCTCCATCGACGTGGACCTGAAGAAGGTGGCCGACATGACGGTGGACGACCTCATCCAGCGGCGCAACGTGCTCTACATATCGCGCGGGCAGCTCAAGAAGCACATCAGCACCATGCTCAACTTCAACGTCAGCGTGCGCTTCATATCGCAGCAGGTGATTATATTTATGTGACGTCATCTACTCCCCAACTAGTATTTCACAATTACAAAGAAACGCTATGTATATCATGCAGTGTATCATCAACATTCTGACGCAAGAGATGCGCTCTCGTTTTTTTTATGTGAAAAACTGCCAAGCCCCGGACGATTCACCTGATGTTAACTGAATACGGATGCGTCGACAGCCGTTTGAAAATTGGGCCCCGGGCACCTCACTCACCAGACGAAACGCGAACGTATTATATTTCCACTTTACGCCGGTCTTCTGTGAGGTCGTGGTACTTCCCCGGACGAGCCTGCCCATTCGTGCAACGAGGCTGCTGCTTGGCCCTACCAGCGTATCTCTTTCCTCTTTTTTTAATGTGAGTTGGCAAACGAGCTGGCGGTTCGCCCGATGTTTAGTGATAACCGCCGCCCGTGGACACTTGCAACAACGGTAGGGTTGCAGATGCGTTGCCAACTTTCACTTCGCTCCCTTCCCTCTTGCTAAACAAAAACAAAGGGTGGAAGTTAAGTTTGAGTTATAATAAGACCAGCGAGACTAACATCTAGTCGGTGATAGATTCGATCCGTCCTAGGCATGTGCAAGATTGCCGCCTCCCTGCTCTCTGTAAAGCACGAAAGACTAAACGAAGTATAGGAATAGAAAATACCTACAAATATTGGCCGATTGATTTATTACAATTTGTACGGAATATCGTCTACCCGAAGGAGCGAGAAGCTAAAAAAAATCCCAAATTTTGCCGCACCCCAAATTTTTCTGACCTAGGCCAGGGCCCACTTGGCCTATAGGCTAATCCGCCCCTGCGCCCAGTCCGAGGTGTGGCCCATGACCTTCAGTCCCCCTTACGTCGCACAGGTCAACATGCCGCTGCTCCGGTTGCTGCACCAGATCAGCAACATGTACCAGAACGTGAAGGACACGCAGACGGAGCTTCGCACCCAGACCAGGATCAACCACCGCCAGAACAAGCACACCTCCTCCTCAGGTAAGATCGTAATCGTCCATTTAAACCGTTACATCGGTTTTGATTTTAATACATTGGCAACCGTTAAACGGAAACTTATCATCAGGTGAACTGAGTCTCATGGTAAATGATAAACCAAAGTATCAATACTTTTCTTCTATCCCGGTCTTCTGTGAGGCTGTGGTATTTTCCTGATTGTGCAATAGTTGTTTTGCAAGCTACCTGATAGGGATAAGATTCACTTTTGAGTGTCTTGCGTAGTAAAAGAGTTGTGTTTATTTGCGACTGATTTCTTAAAAAGTTATGAGAGGTTTGACATTTGACAACTATGTAATGTCCACAAATTATAAATGTTATACAATGCGTTGCCGGAGGGTTTATGAATTTTAAAAATACAAAATTATTCTTCACCCTACCAACTCCAACACAGTAAGGTTTATACTGCTGCAACATATTGTTCGACATGGGCTACTTACAAAAGGGATTATGGGTACATTTTTTTCAAAACAAAGCGCGATATTTATTCTTTTTATCTTACTGTCCATATAAAGATTTATAAAGGCAATAAAAAGAGCGATTTATAACAACCAAAAACAAATTCAAAGAAATTATTCAGTACGAGATTTAACTAATTCATTATTTATAGTTGTGATAGCTATTTGTAATTTTTAATTGTTTATACTGTGATAGATGCCCTAATAACCATTGTCAGAGGTCTTCGCCCAGTAGTGGCGTATGTTTAGGCTGTTAATTTACTTTACTATATTATTTATGCGGAAGCAGATTGTAATAATTCGGCTGATATCGTCAGATGCGATTCTATAATATAAATAATTCTGTAGTACTTACTCTTCTACGCTTCTTTATTGCTGTGTCTTGGAAACTATGACCCTACCGACTATCTGAGGTGTATTCGAATGAGCTTCTCCAGTTTCAGACTTCCGCGAGAACGTGGCGAGCCTGTCGTCGCTGGACAAGGAGAGCGCGTACGCGGTGGGCGTGGGCGTGGGCGGGGGCGTGGGCGTGGGGCTGGGCGTGGGCGTGGGCACGAGCGCCCCGCCCGTGAGCGCGGCCCCTCCGCCCGCGCCCCGCGCCCCCCGGCCCCAGTCGTTCGCGCAGAAATTGCGCTCCACCGGCAAGAGCGTCAAGGGCCGCCTCGGTAAGTGCACGGGTTACACTCATCCAGATGAATGAATGAATGAATATTTATTTAGTTTCAACAACAAACACAGTTATGTTAACAATTAAAAGAATATATATCTAAGACATGAAACCAAACAGGTATGTACTCGGTATGATTTCCCGATTTTCAGTACATACCAAAAATTTAAATTATAAATAACAATGATGAGAGATCTAGATGTACTTACCCATTGGGGCTCTTTGCATTTTACTGGAAGGGTATATTACACTGCTTTTATAATAAAGGGGACCAAGTATAAGAAGCATTATGACTGTTTGTAGCACCATATAGCAAATTGTATGATTTCACAAATCATTAAAATGAAGTATCAACTTTGTTGCACTATTAATATTATTATATTTTCTCTGTAGAGGCGATTTTAGTTTGTTGTTTATCTTTATTTCTTTGAGTACCTTCCGTATAGTAAAATGTCATGTATCAATAATTTACCAAAGATTTGGGGAAAAGTGTGGAAAAACACTTTCCAGCCTATGTTGAGTAAAATAAAATTTCATGCTAAACGGCCGATTTTTCTATGCAATTAAATGATTTATATTAAATGCAGAGGTTAACTCGGTAAAACCTTAATATAAACATTTTAATTCCATAAAAATATATTGCATTTTGCCAAGGATGAAAATTTTGCTTTAGCCAGTGTGTGTTTAACACACAAAAGGGAATCTGATTAAGCCTCCTCCAATAGTCCAACGTGCTAGATCACGACTCATACGATGAGCAAACCCCCAGACGGAGCGATAAACACGATCCCAAACCGTTGCAAACCGTGGCCGCGCGTGGTAGGTTACAGCTCGCTGAACGAGGGCGCGCACACGCCGATGTGCGGCGCGGCGCCGCCGGCCGTGGCGTCGGCGCCGCACCTGCCACACATGCCACCGCTGCCACCGCTGCCACCGCACGCGCACGCCCCCTCGCCGCACTCGCTCGGCGCGCCCGAGTCGCAGCTGGCGCCGCGCTGCTGGCGCACCGTCTACCTGCTGCTCGACCTCTACGCCAACATGCCGGACGCCGACACCATCACGCACAGGTGCGTCGCGGCCCCAACGCGTAGGGCTGCCGACTGTTTTTGAGAATAATAACGTATAATAGTCTCACGCGCCGGTAGGGTTGCCAACTGTTTTTGAGAAAAGCAACGTCTAATAGTCTCACGCGCGGGTAGGGTTGCCAACTGCTTTTTTGTAAAATAATGTATCGCATTTTTCAAGTAGGAATAAATAAAGTATTTGAAAGAAAAAAAAAAAAGAGTATTTTAAGTTTTATACTGCACGGCACTTTAGTAAAAAAATTATTAGATTATTAAAGTATTTTTCAAAATTTTTGTTGGTAATAGTAACCGATTTTCATTATTCTTGAATAGAGTGTTAAAGAATAATGAAAAACTGACCAGAAATAGAATATATTTAAATACTTTATTTAAATTTATATTAGGATACGTTATTATAAATTATGTTTGGTAACCCTACGCACGCGTTCTCACCGAGCTCTCATGGTTTTGTATATGATGATGTCATTAAGACATTTACGATTGACTTTTCTATTACATAATCATCATGATGATCCTTCGTACGTCAGAATTCTTCAAGTAATTCTCATATTTATGACATCGTTAATTCTAAATTGTAACATTGAATGTGCTATTTTGTTTAAATCAGGGGTAAGTAACCTTTTTAATCAATGGGCCAATTTAAATTTTAAATTTTTTTTGGCGCGCCGCACATAATACGAAAGTTTATTTATAATAAATATTAGAATAATAAAATATAAAATTAAAAAATAGGTAAAGATTTCATATACAAATTTTAATGCAAGGTAAAGACAAACAAGAAAAACGAACAAAAAATATTTCGGTTCAGTATGTACTAGCATTTTATTATAATTAATTTTATAACAATATATTGATGGAAGAAATTCGATAAAATAAATTCAAACGTGTTTAGCGGGCCGCGCGTTGCTCGTCCTTGGTTTAAACAAGTGTTACACCGAGTGCACACTGAGGTTCTCCGTGCCCACACTCGCCAGGTTCTCCGTGTCGACGGAGCTGCCGGAGCAGTATCGGCAGCCGCGCGCCAGGCCCAGCTCGCGCGAGCAGAACGCCTCCAACTCCTCGTCGAGCAACGCCGCCATGGGCATCGTCGTGGTGGGCGTCGCCAGGTACGCTTGCTGTACTAAACATAAGTGAAAGTTTCAACATCACGTAATCCACCGCGCATAAAATAGTCTGTTTGCGTTAAGAAAATGGTGAGTCATACAAGGTAAACCAATATTCACGACGTAGTGTAAACTCAATTTACATTATAAAAATTAAATTTAACGGATAAAAAAATCAAGTAATTAAATTTAAAGTTATTAATAATAATAATATTACATAATAATAAGTATCACTAGAATCGTCGTTCGTATTTATTCTTAAAGTATATTAAAATATTAAGAAAAAACTATTTCACATTAAAAACTAAATATAAATAATCTCTTCTTCCATCAGAATCCACCGGACCCGTCTGCTCGCGTCTCTCTCGGGATTGAAGCTGGAAGCGGAGATCACATCGCTGCAGGCGTCCCTCTCCGCTTCTCGCACCCGCCAGTGGTCGCTGAGCGGCAACCTGGGCCGGACCATGATCGTGCTGCTGGAGGGAGTCGCGCCCAACCAGCAGTCAGTAGACCCTCACCTCCCCTTATTGGATAATGGTCATCGTTCATCCTGAACTTCCCCCATAAGACAGATCGTTGAAAATAAGTAGTGACTATTCTCCGATTTTAAGTAGAAACACCTCGTAGCATCTGTTATAAGTAGAATTTCATAAGCAGGGCCTTTGTACAAATCTTTTCCTGATTTTACATTTCTTTTCATATGCACTGTGTATATAAATTATTAAATAAATGTAGTTTGGCGAAGCAATAGCCGCAATGTTTATTAAAAATCGATGCATAAATGAATATTATATTTGTAAATATTGTATGAGGATGAAACGGCTAAAGATAGTTGATAGTGATGCCTGTGGACGTTGCAGGACGGTGGTGCGCGTGAGCGTGGGCAAGTCGCAGGCGCTGTACTCGTGGGAGGGCGGGCGGCTGGGCGCGGCCGCGCTGCTCAGCGTGGGCGGCGTCAGGGTGGACCTGCCGCAGCACCCCGTCGCGCTGCACGGCGTCATGACGCGCTCCAGCCGCCAGCTCTCCTCCACGCTGCAGGTGGCCCCCTCCTTACTATATCGTTGTTGGTGTACAGTAACATAAATGTGGACGAAGAAAATAAAGCCGTGACCGCTTCCCAAACGTCGCAGGAGTTGGGCGTGACGCGCACCTCGTCGCGAATGTCGCGCAACCCGCCGAGCGCCCCGGCCGCCGCCAACGGCCAGGGCGCCCCCGGGGCGGCCGCGCCCAGCGGGGCGGCGGGGGCGGGGGCGGGTGGGGGCGCAGGGGCGGGCGCCGAGCCCGAACAGCCGTCGGGGGAGGGCCGAGCCCCGCGCGCCCCGCGCCCCTCCACTCACGCGGTGCGCCACGACCCGCTGCTGCAGCCGCTGCAGCTGCAGTTCTCCATCATGCTACAGGTGCTCACTCCTTTCGTTTCAACTGCTGCTTAATGCCGTGTCACCGCCTGCTGTGTTCTAAAGAAAATTATTTTTAAGTGTCCCAAAATATTCCTAGTCGTCATAGTCAAAACTAATAATCAAATGTTTCTGATAACACAACAGAGCCTGAGCATCACTGCGGCGTTGCTGCCTTCGCTGCAGGCGCAGTATCGAATGGAACAGGTGCACAGCACAGGCGTCACCGGCCTGAAAGCCCACTTCACCGTCGACCTGCCCACCCACTCGCTCAGCTTTGCCACCAAGTTGCAGGCAAGACTTCACTATATATCTATTATACAGAAATAAAATCAATTTGAAAATAAAACAAACTGATTTACAATTTTGACAACTAAAAACTAGAAAATGTTTTTAGTTGTCAAAATTGACAAAATGACATTGAAAGTGAATGACTAATGAACCTGATTAATACTCTACAATCGCATCAGGTGACTGAAGCGAACATCCCGGCAGCGGCTTCCGTCGCGCTGCCGGCGGTGTCGTGTCGAGCGCGCGTGCTCGAGTGCGGTGCGGAAGGGGGCGGTGGCGGGGAGGAGGGCGACGGCGGTCAAGGGGGCGTCGGCGGCGTTGGGGGCGTGGGGGCCGAGGCGGCACACGAGGAGGGCGTGGTGCTGCGCGCCGGACGCTATCTGGCCGCCACCGCCGACATTGGCCTGTTCGAGCATACACTCTCCACGGACCTGCTCAACCACTTGGTGTTCGTGCAGAAGGTGTTCATGAAGGTGGGTCGCGGAAATTATTAATGTTTTATATTAATCATTCAGCTAACGAAAAGTGTTAAACATGTTTCACATTAACGCGTAATGTTGATAAACTTATGTTTTATCAAAAATCAGGAAGTGAACGAAGTGGTGCAGAAAGTGTACGGTGGGGAGAAGCCTGTTCCGTTGTGGAACGAAGAGGAGGCGTCTTCTTCGGCGCTCAGTCGCATACTCTTCTCTCTCATCATCCGGATCAAGGTAATCCTTCACGTATTTATGTTCGACACTCATAAAAAATTACAGATATTTCAATTTATTATAAATTGTTTCAATCCCAAAAGTTCTTGATATGAATTGCCCAGGTCGCCTGGAAAATTGCCTAGGGTAGACGGAGGACCGGCGTTAAGCAAAGGCGTTTCTCTTCGCACTCCTAGAGACAGAATACGCCTACAACATCCCTGGCGTGTGGCCTCATTTACTACCGTGCGAACTGCTATTTGAAATTAAAACTGCTAAAAGAAATGTGATGGCTTGACCGTCTCCTTAACCAACACATAGCGGATATTCTGAAGTGCAGCATTCAGTTGTTTGATACGAAACGTATTGCCGTTTCACGCAGCGCATCCAGCTGACGGCGACGACGCCCAGCAACTCGGCGGTGCGGCTGGAGACCGGCGCGGTGGAGTTCGAGCTGTCCAACCGCGTGCAGAACGTGCCCCCGTCGGCCGCCCCCCACGACCTCAGGCTCTTCGCGAGGGCGCAGGTAGGCGCCTCCGCCACGCCCCTCGCCCCGCCACGCCCCTCGCTTCGCCACGCCCCTCGCTCCGCCACGCCCCTCGCTCCGCCACGCTCCTCGCTCCGCCACTGACGCCCTTCGACGCCCCCTTACGGGCGAAGCGTTGAAATTTTTATGCCTCATTTTAAGTGCATAGATTAGCACTATGAAAATATGATATAAAATTTAAATCGAATATATCTGACGACAGAATCGAAGGCTTTCTCATAGTCCACATACGCTAGGCACAAAGGCAGATTATACTCTTCGGTCTTCTGTATAATCTGCCGCAAGGTGTGTATGTGGTCTATGGTACTGAAGCCTTTCGGAATCCGGCTTGTTCGGGAGGCTGGAAGTCGTCGAGTCTGGAAGCGAGACGATTCAAGATGACTCTTGAGAACAGCACATAGACGCGGCTCAGAAGGGATATCGGTCTATAGTTCTTCAAGGGAGCGTTATCGCCTTTCTTGAAGAACAGCACCACCACACTTCTGCTCCACGCCTCTGGTGTAGCACCACCCTGAAGGACGGAATTAAAGAGCCTCTGAAGGACTACAAGTACCGGTTCTCCACCCGCTTTCAGAAGCTCTGCTGTAATGCTTTGCCATTCTTAAGATGGTCAAGAGCCATTCTAATCTCGCTCAGACTGAGGTCCGGGATATTATCGGAATAGTGTCGGATAAGCTTTGCTCTTGGGTCGTTACTCACACATGTGTGTGGCTCCAACGACGATGTGTACAGCTGTCCATAGAACCTCTCTATCTCACGCAAAACCTCTGGTCTACTGGAGATGATAACGCCGCTGTCAGTCTTCAACTTAGTCAGTTGGCTTTGTCCGATAGACAGATCTCTGGCGAATACTCCAGGCTCTTCAGCGGTGCCAAATTGACTGTCGGTATATCGAGGTGCTGAGGTGTTTGTATAACAAGGCTGCGATGTCCGTCCAAGTACAGTCCAGTAGTACAAAACCTATCCAACTGCAGAAGGGTGTAAGACAGGGTGATGTCATAATGGCGAATACATCACCCTCCTCCGATTTGCCGACGATATAGTCATCATGGCAGAATCGCTGGAGGGCCTTAGTACTATGCTCAATGACCTCAACAGTGTCTCCCAACGGGTGGGCCTTAAGATGAACATGGACAAGACGAAGATCATGTCTAATGTCCATGTCACGCCAATACCGGTTGTTGTTGGGAGCACTGAGCTCGAAGTTGTTGACGAGTACATTTACCTAGGACAGTTAGTCCGGCTAGGTAAGTCCAACTTCGACGCAGAGGTCAATCGGCGAATCCAACTCGGATGGGCAGCGTTCGGGAAACTACGGCAAATCTTCTCGTCAAATATACCTCAATGTTTGAAGACTAAAGTCTTCAATCAATGTGTGTTGCCAGTGATGACCTACGGAACCGAGACGTGGTCCTTCACTACTGGCCGTATGAGGAAGCTCAAAGTCGCTCAGCGAGCTATGGGGCGGGCTATGCTCGGTATTTCTCTGCGTGATAGAGTTCGTAACGAAGACATCCGCAGTAGAACCAAGGTAACCGACATAGCTCAGAGGATTAGCAAGCTGAAGTGGCGATGGGCCGGCCATATAGCTCGTAGAACCGATAACCGTTGGGGAAGAAAGGTTCTCGAGTGGCAGCCTCGTACTGGCCATCGCAGTGTGGGACGACCCCCCACTAGATGGAGTGACGACCTGTGCAAATGTGCGGGAAGTCGATGGATGCAGGTGGCTCAGGATCGTACTTCGTGGCAGTCTATGGGGGAGGCCTATGTTCAGCAGTGGACTCAAACAGGCTGAAATGATGATGATGATGATATCTGACGAAAATGTGATGTAATAAAATTTTATAACTTGTGATGCGAAACCAACACCCGAGAGAGCCTGTAAGGCCGCCCTGAAAGTCTATTAGGCTTTTTAGGGTTTTTTGCTAAGCAGACTTTTTTAACTTAGTTCATAATTTTTTTTATGTAAACTACTAGGTTGACGTTAACCTGAGTTTGGGCCAGCTGATTCGCAACGCAATGTTCGAGGAGGCGGAGCCAGAGTTCCAGCAGTACGCGTTCTTCAACACCAGAATATGTATGTTCGGTTCCTTTGTTAAATGTAGTTTGCGGTGCGAATGAGACAGCATCGCACAGTACATTATTGCATCAGAAATGTTCTGTATCATGGAAAACATTTACGGACACCATAATTAACATGAAGCTATCAATGATTATCTGGTCCGGTTTGGATTTAATGTTTAATTATTATTTTTTTTAATAACTATATCAGCAATTTAATCCATTTTCGAAAGTATTTCCTTACCAATGAGTATTTCATTATATACCTGGTTCGGTACAAGTACTTTTAGTATAAGAAATGTATAAAGAAATGAATTTGTGCAGCGATGCGCAACGCCTTCCAAGAGGAGCTCTCGAGCGCAGATGGAGAGGAGAGGGAGGAGAGGGAGGAGATAGAGGAGAAGGAGGTGGTGCTGATCACGCTGAAGAGGCCGCTGGTGTACGTGCAGCCGGTGGCCGTGGACAAGGCGATCCTCGTGTGGCTCAACTACAAGAACGCGTACGAGTACTGGAACGAGAAGCGGCTCAACCTCAACAAGGAGGTGCTCACCGCCACGCAGCAGGTCTTCGAGAAGGTGAGCGCCGCGGAGTCTCTTGGTGGAAGGCACTAGTGTCTTTAGAATAATAGATCAGTTGCGGATTTTCCGGGATACAATATATAGTTATCCTTCTCTTTCGTGGGCGATCAGGATTTCGTTGTGTTCGCCCACCGATCGAAAATATCCGCTTAATTGTCAACTGGAATCTGTTACCTGCTATCTTACATAATAAACGTAAACGCATTTGATTTGTTTCATAGGTGCAACTGACGTCACAAATCACCACGCCGCACCTCAGTACGCTGTTCCTGCAGCTGAACGTGGACGACATCGGGATCTGCTTACCCCTCAACCAACCGCCGGTGGTAAGTCGAGCAAATAACAAGATCGCATCACCGTTGAAGCGGCCGCTCGGAGTAGCAATTCTCTTCTGTGCAGGCCACTTGGGGCCGCGGAGTGTACGAGCCGGAGAGCAGGGGCGCCGTGGTGGTCACCCTCGAGAGCACCAGCATCTCCGCCTGCAGCTCGGGGTCCCTCGTCAGCAAGGTCTCCATCATCTGTTTCAAAGCCCTTTTATTTTTTTTTAATGCTACATTTCGGTTCATCATTCATTTTAACTTACCTTTCATTATAATATTATAAAATTTAATAATGGCATTCATGTTGGAATAATTATTATATGCTTGGGTTTTTTCATGAAGTAACGTAATTTTCACTTTGCGTGCTGCGTCGGCAGGGGCGGTTCGTGGGGCTGTGCCTGCGCTTCGCCGAGGACTTCGAGGCGTCGCTGGACGACTGGAAGCCGGAGGCGGCCGAGGCCACCACCAACGTGTGCTGCGTCTCCGAGGGCACCTACGAGGTGTGCAGCCGCACCACCGCCGCCAAGCGCCACGGTACGCCCCCGCCCCCGCCATCGCCCCCGCCATCGCCCCCGCCATCGCCCGCGCCCCCGCCATCGCCCCCGCCATCGCCCCCGCCCCCGCCCCCGCCATCGCCCCCGCCACCGCCACGCCCCTCTCACGCGACGCCCCCGCCTGTTGCAGAGAACGCCAAGTGGTTCCTGAACGTGTCGTGGCAGATGGAGGGCGTGGACATCCACCTGGACGTGAACGTGGGCAAGCAGCTCTCGGCGCTGGGGCACACGCTCACCATGCTCACAGGTTGGTGGCCCTTCTCTTCAGGTTTAAGAGTACGGCAAGCGTTATAAATTGTTATACAATTTTTAATACAATTTCGAATAAATGTAACTCTATTAAAGTTGTCGATTTGAATGTTTATCACTGCTTTATTTTTCACGGTTGTTTCCTTCAAGGTTTCGAAGAGGAGGACCCATTCCAGAAGATGGATCCGTACGAGAGCGACGTCGACGATGAGGCCGATAACAGCAAGGGCTCTCAGGTACGTCGAGCCGCCAACATGAGAATGTTGTATAACGACAACTCCTCCCCGATTTAACGAGAAGCTGGTCCCGCAGGAGAGCATCGTGTTCCGGCGCAAGTGGGCCGACCACCTGCCCGCGTTCGTGTTCGACGCCAGCCTGGACGCGAAGAAGCGCTCCAAGCTGATCGAGAAGGAGATGACGGAGCAGGCGCGCATCATCAACGACCTGCGCAGCCTCGGCGCCAGCCACGCCACCATCGAGCACGAGCTGCGGCGGCTGCACGACCTGGAGGCGCTCGTCTTCAAGGACTTCCGCAGGTGCCCTAGTGCTCTAGTGAGCCGGCGCTGCCGGTCGGCGCTGCCAAGGCTAACCGACCCTCACCTCGCAGGGACATGATCCAGAAGCTGCGGCGGCAGAGCGTGCGCGCCAGCTCGCTCACGCGCGGCAAGCTGGGCCTGGCCGCGCACCGCAGCCACTCCTTCGTGGGGCCCGCCAAGCCGCACGCGCACTCGCCGCCGCCCGCCCCCTTCCCCGGGTGAACACCCTTTTTTATTCATATCAACAGTTGTCACGCGCCTTTCGAAATTTACCACAACCGATGAAAACCTTTAGTTTAATACTTACGCTTCACGCCGATCTTCTGTGTACAGTGCGGACTGTGATGCTTCCCTACGCGCAAACCTAATCGAAAAACAGCAGTATTCTAAACATTCAATTCTCACAAATGTTCGGTACTACGCGATTTGAACCTGCTACTTCCGAGTAACATCGACGCTCTAACTACTGAGTTATGCAGTCGATATCTTCACGTGGCGAAAATCACGAAATTTTTTTTAGCAATGCTCGGCACCATCTAGTAGCATCCTTTACAGCATACTGACACATTTTAAAATTACTAAAGCTATTGATTTATTTAAAATGTGTCAGTACGCTTTTATATTTATTTTTATATGTATGTATTTATTTTATATCCGTTAGCAACCCGTTACCGAGTTTAATAGTGGCTCAACAGTTTCACAATCGTATATGTTCAGAGCGATGGAGGGGAGCCTGGGCTCCAGCAGTACAGTGGGCGACTCGGGCGAGACCCTGCTGCTGGCGGACGAGGACAACCGGCTCACGGACATCGTAGAAGGCGGCAGCTGGAGCTCTATGGAGAGCGAGCTGCTCACCGGTGATTATTTTATTAATTGTAAACTCGTTATAGCGAGTCATAATTTAGTTAAATGTAATATAAACTACGTTACATTAAGATTTGTAAAAAAAAGGAGCGAAAAGTTTTTCGCTGCTGTGGGAATCAAACCCACGTCTTCGGGATTCGCGCCCTGACGGTCTAGCCACTAAGCTAAACGGCTGATTGTCACACCCTCGCTTAAGGGCAGAGCACTACAAAAGAATAAATTTATATATAACATTGTTAATATAAAAAATTATATTGTTGCTCGGTAAGTGTGTGAAACAAGGAGAAATGATTCATAAAAATGGGAAAATAAACTTATTCGCGGGGATTAAATAATTCTGCATGTCCTCATGACGGCATGGAGTATTTTGAAAACTTATCACCCTTATTTCCGAAACTGAATAAAATAAAGGAAAGAAGTATAGCTTGTATTCCATTGCTGAGTAAAAGCCTCATCAGTACCGAGAGTTATAAAGTATTAGTCTTATAGTCCATTCCGCAACATTACTGCGGATGGCAGTCTTCATAATTAAATCATCGAAATATTTCGAACATAATACATATTTTTTATGTATATCGGATTAGAAGCTCCCGAGCACTGATACCGAACGGAGTTGTAACGTGGCTGACTATATTCGATTGTCCGTAGGTCCGTCGCGGTCGGCGTCGCTGCGGGCGCGGGGCTCCGGCGGTGCGGGGGGCGTGGGCGCTGGCGGTGGCGGGGGCGGGGGCGTGGGCGGCGCGGGGGGCGCGGGGGGCGTGCAGCGCCAGAGCTCGCTGCCGGCGCCCAAGCCCGAGCGCCGCGACTCGCTGCCGCCCCGACGCCGCCTCGACCCAGGGTATTTACCGGCATCGCCATTCGCATTCATTATTGAATTATACAGAAAACTCGAAAACATTAAAAATACTACGCTTTCTTTTTTCTTTTCACGGACACCATAGTGAAATTATACACATTATATGACTGCCACGATTGTAGTTAAAGAAATAGATACATACGTATAGGTAAAAGCGGAATCACTGGTGATTGACGCCTATCGAAATATATATTCCGATAGTTATCTTTGTACATTTGAAACGACTGAAAGACTGAAACAGATATGATTTGATATTAGCTCAACGCTCCCTCCACCGTAATATAACCAATCGGGTAGCTTATCCACTCGTCGTCCACAGAACATCATCGGAGAGCCAGGCGCAGTCCGATGGCGGCAAGCAGGGCAAGGCTAAGACCGCGGAGCCCAACATCGACTTCGAGCTGGACGTGAAGGTGCACATCAACAGCGGCAAGTGCGTGCTGCACACCAAGGAGCCGGGACGCGACGACGACATGAAGATGTGAGTCGAATCGTAATATCGTTAAACTTTCCATTTATAATGATGTCATGATTTTGATAATGGCGTCATCTTGCATGTCGCGTCGTACAATAATCTAGTTGTCCATTACTCCACGTTCATTATACGTTATATTTACTAAAATGCTGTGTGCGCCGACGTGCAGCAGCGGGTCCCGGGGCCGCGTGGGGCGCTCGACGTCGGGCGGTCTGGCGGGGGCGGGGGCGTCGGGGGGGGGGGGGGCGTCGGGGGCGGGCGTGGCGGCGGCGGGGGCGGGGGCGGGCGGCAGCGAGGCCAGCTCGCCCGGGGCGCGCCGCAAGCCGCGCCTGCCGCCCGCGCCGGACCTCACCGTCTTCCGAGTGCCCGGCCTGCAGCTCAAGGTGCGTTATTTTCTTTTATGTGAAAAATTGCCAAACGAGAAGGCGATTCACCTGATGGTAAATGAATACCGCGGCCCATGGACATCTGCTACACACGAGGTGTCAGATGCTTTGACAACCTTTTGACAATTGGGCTCCGGCCACCTCACTCACCAGACGAAACGCGAAAGTATTACACTTCCACTTTACCGCGGTCTTCTGTGAGGTCGTGGTGCTTACCCGGACGAGCTTGCCCATTCGTGCAACAGCTTAAGCTGCTTACGTGCCTTCCACCGTAAGTGCACATGATACCCGACATTCCGAAGAACTGCTGTATGCCTTTCCTAGTTGAAGCCATTAAATTACTATGCAAACAGGTGCACTACGAATCGAAGACCCTGCCAGAGGAGGCGCCATTCCCTCAGCCGCCGCTGCCGCGCAAGGTGGGCACCAAGAAGGCGGCGCTCTTCGCCTGGATCACGTTGCAGAGCATTCCCGAGGAGACCATCATCAGCCCCCACATCCTCGAGTTCCTCGAGCAGACCCTCGAGCCGATACCCACCAAGGCCTCCTTCTCCACGCCCACACCTGGTTAGTGCACAGATTAAAATTTACTTCCCTCCATTAATTTTTAAAATATCATGACCCAAGTAAGAAAAATAAATGAGTTATGAAATTGTCTATTGCTATTCTATCTTAGTATACTGTTAAAATATTTTTACTATATGTATTTATTTCGTAACAAATCATGAACAATGGAACTGTTACTCTGTAAGTTACTTTTTAACGATAGTTCTCACCACTGGTGGTATACATGATACTAGCGACGATGTCACACAGTTTAATTATTCTCGCAAAAGGAAACTAATTCCCGATTCCCGTGCGAACCGTGCAGAGGCGGACACGTCGGAGCGGCCCCGCTCGGCGGAGGCGGCGTCGTACGGCCAGTACGTGTACGCGTCCTTCCCCGTGGACGTGATCGTGCACTTCCACACGCGGCCCTCCGCCTTCCGCTTCAGCTGCCTGCCCGCCTCCAGGGTCGAGTGCCTGCTGCAGCTGCCGAGCCTGCGCATCGTCTTCAGCTCCAAGCGCGCCGGCGACGAGTGAGGCCCCGCCCCCGCCCCCGCCACGCCCCCGCCCCCGCCCCCGCCACGCCCCCTCGGCCGCGACTCACGCCCGCGCCCGCCCGCAGGGAGATGGCCGAGCCCGCCGTGGCGATGGGCGGCCTCAGCGTGACCGGCTGCCTGGCCGACTTCTCCGTCTACGTGTTCCACCCGTACGGCGGCAAGAAGTCCAGCCTCAAGGAGGCGCAGTGGTCGCCGCTCTCCGACACCGAGCGCAAGGACTCGCTCAGCGTCAACGTGGAGTTCGTCAAGTTCCACCTGTCCAGGTCGCGGAAGCTCGACTTCCAGACCGACCAGGACCAGTCCAAGGCCACCGTCAGGTTCTCCAGTGAGTACCGCCACTGATCGAGAGTTCGACGCCTCTTCCACTGCTGATAGTCTTTATAATGTGTTTACCGCATTTGCGCAGCGATCGTGGACGTGGGGTCTGCTTGGTTCAAGTACGACATGCGGCGGCTGGGCGAGATCCTGGCCTTCCCCAAGGCCTGGTACCGGCGCAGCATCGTGCGCAGGATGTTCCTCGGCGACGTCAGCGTGCACCACCACGAGCGCCGCGCAGGGTACCCGCTCCCGCTCCCACCCCCCCTCCCCCCCCCCACTCCCCACCCACGTCCACTGAACTTCACACACACGCACCCCCGTGTGCATTCACACTACCTCATTACAAGACTTCCAGTTCTTCTGGATAGACTGTACTTCACTCTGACTGATGTTTATTTTTCAGTTCGTAGACTATTAAGGCCACATTGAAATAACTTGTGGGCTATCCGGATCCCACGAGCTTGATACGGCCCCCGCGTTGACTCGGTACACTCACGCCCTCATGCATATGCCATGCGTGCGAATCTCGCGTGTCATCAGATTATCTCATAAAATTACACTTAAATTAATTTCTACATCGCTTTAAACAGACAAAACAATGTAATGATATTAATTCATAATTTCAGGTCCGCCAACAACGTCCCCGTTTCGCCCGTATTGCCGCAACGAGAGAAAGCGAAGGCCGTAGATGCACCAAAAGCCAAAGGTATTTTTTTTCCCTTACAGCGATGTGAGTGGGGAGACATCTTCACGTGAGGAAAAAGCGTTATGGCCCTCCATACGACTTTGGGTTAGTGGCTTTCTCTGTCTCTTTCTTTTACAAGTGTTAGCCAACTGAACAAGTCGGGATGAAGGAGAGAGACGGATGTTAGTTTTCTTCAATATCAATTAACAATTCCATTACTATTCTTTTTTTTATATCTTTAATTCAGCAAAATTCAAATGCAACAGCGTTTAAATAAATTTATTTCATTTTGCTCATCTTTCAATTAATATTATACGACAAAAATCAATTTATATTTCATATTTTTATTAAATAATTATCCGTTATTGTCTGTAAAACTAACAAATTAAGTGTAAAAAGTTGACTCTCTTTTAACCTTTTTTTATATGCATAATACTTTCTCGTGTCGTGTACTTGTTTGAATTAAAAAATGTATCGTAGTTTCTATTGTAATCTTGTATTGTAGGTATGTAACGGTCATTTGTGGCTGGTATAAACGTTTGGTCTGTATGTGCATGTATAATAAAAGTTTGTGCAGAGGACAAGAGCGGCGGCGCGGCGTGGGAGACGCTGGTGCTGTTCGCGGTCAACTTCACGAGGCTCAACGTGCACATGAACATGGGGAACGTCATGGGCAACGTCAGGTATGGGCTCGTGATATATTATTAAAGAGTTCATCGAATCTATGACTCGTAACTTATAACCTATTCGAAAAAAACGATAGCTTAGAGTATTGTGTAATCATTATGTAATTTTTTTATACTATATTAACTGTGACCTGTGTAGAAGTGGTCGGGCAGTAAGTTTACCGACCACTGCGACCTGGATCTATTCAAGTGATGGTACAGTAAGTAAAGTTTGTATCGGTCGAGAGTAGCACTCGTGGCAGAGACGGGTTATGGCGGTAGTGTTAATTATAAAGTTTAAGTAATATTAAAAAGAGCCTGCCCATTCGTGCAACAGCCGATACTGCTGCGTGGCCCTACCACCGTATTATATAGAAATGCACATACCTTCCTCAGCTGGCAGTCGCGGTCGCTGGGCGCGTCGGGGCGGCTGAGCATCGGCAGCACGCACCGGCGCCACATGGTGGTGCGCGTGGAGCTGGCCGGCTCGGCGCTGGACGCGCGCGCCGGCATCGTCGGCGGCGCCATCTCGCTGGCCGCGCTCAGCGCGCACGGTGGGCGCCGCTCCCAGCTCGGGCCTCGTCTCATGGCGATGTGCTCATGTCGTGCTCACGCTCGCAGTCCACATCGAGGAGGAGCCCGGCTGCAACCCGGGCCACGTGTGCGGCGTGCGGCTGGCGGCGCTCGAGCTGCGGCTGGAGTACATGGGCACGGTGGTGCTGCTGGCGCGGGTGTCGCGGCTGCTCGCCTCGCTGCGCGACGAGTGGGTGGCGAGGGGCGGCGGCGGGGGGGCGAGGGGCGCGGAGCGGGGGGCGGGGCGGCCGCAGCCGGCGCAGCAGCCGCCCCGCCCCCGCGCCGCCGCCCGGCCCGCCGTCATCCTGGCGCACGGCGCGCTCGGCTGGCACCAGCTGCAGATCCTCATGAGCCGCAGCACCACGCCCGACCTGCTCAAGATGCAGCTCAAGCTCGAGGAGTTCTTCACGCAGCAGTTCAAGTCGAGCAAGCGCGTGTTCAGCTCGCTGCACCCCAGCTACGCGGCGGCGAGGCGCGACAGGAGGGAGCGTGAGTAGTGAGAGGAAGAAAACACAAGTACACACTTGAATAAACACTTTCTTGAGTAAATTTAAACTGCGTAAGAGTACTTAAGTAGTTGCTATTTGACCAAGCCTTTGCAAATATAACAACCTACATACGATTAATAAATAAATATCTACGTATCCGCAGCGAATTTGAACTCGGCCAGCGAACCGCAGCAGCAGCAGCAGCATCAGGAGTTGCGCCACCACCGTCACTGGCAGAAGGTGTTGCGGCTGGTGTCAGGCATGCAGCTCTCCACACTGCCAGCCCCCTTGCCGGCTAACGGTAATCGAATCTAAATGTGAAAGTGCTGTACTTGTATTAAGAGTTTTTTATGTAATTATGATTAATCTCTTGTGTCATTAACTGCCTAGTTTCGTATCCAACTATGGCATAAAAATGGCAATCTAAACATGGTACGCTGAGTCCAGGCACGGTTCTCGGAGGCACGATGGAGCTGCACGGCACCAACATCTCCCTGGGCTGCTTCCACGGGAACAGCATGAAGGCCAAGTCCTGGGCGCTGTTCAGCCTCAAGGACCCCTGCATCAGCTTCGCCACAGAGGCCCAGCAGTTGGCCAACGAGGACGGTGCGGAGGATTTATTATATTTCTACGCAACACATAAAACATATATTAAAATGGGTGAAACATATATTTTCATTTTTGATATAGATAAAAATTAGATACTACTGTCAGTATCATAAGGTTGGTATAACATATAGAATGACATATACAGAGATTGTTTTGCAACAAGCCGCTGAATAATTATTTGAAAAAAAAAAAACAAAAGCATTCTGTATCTGGTTCAAACTGTTGAAAGTAAAGTGACAGGACACATTAATATTCGTCCCACAGAGGAGCTGGAGGTGCAGGCGGTGCAGAGCCTGACGGCGAGTCTGGGGGGCGCAGGCGCGGGGGCGTTGGCGGGGGCGGGGGCGTTGGCGAATGGCGGGGCGGGGGGCGTGGGCGGGGCGGGGGGGCACCAGTCGGTGGCCACGGTGGTGCGCATGACGCGCTCGCTGCTCTTCCCGCCGCAGTTCAAGACGCTGCGCGAGTGGTTCCTCTACGCCTTCGCCGAGAGCGAGATAGACGGTGCGTCCCTTTCGCTCGCGTATGACCTCGCGTACACCTGTTTCGGACGGCGTTTTAGCGTGCTGGATACATCTAGAAGCTTCCTCTTGGGAGAACGCTGTATTTAATAACGTCGCTTTGAAAAATTTTTACACTACTTGAAAGCTACTTATTATTTCTGTTGGACACGGGCATATATGTATATAAAAATGAAAAGCACTCATGATACAGTTACTTAATTTTTTTTTAGTTAAATGAGTTGTAATTTATATACAGCTCAACTACGCAATACCTTCTCATTGAAAACTATTATAGTTATATAACCTTTATAGTTTCTAGTATAGATCACTTTAACCGGTTGCCTTGAAAGTAGTAACGTTTCCCGTGGCAGCCATCGAGCAGTTCCCGTCGCTGGAGCGCGAGGGGAGCGGGGCGGGAGGGGCGGGCGGGGGCGCAGGCGGAGGGGGCGGTGGCGGTGGTGGGGGCGGCGGCGGCGGGGGCGGGGGCGACCGGGAGCGCGCCAAGGCGGGCGAGAAGCACGTGCGCGAGGTGATCTTCGCGCTGCCCGCGCTGCAGCTGCACCTGCGCACCAGGCACCTGCAGCGCCAGGACGCGCCCACCGAGCAAGGTGAAGCGCGTTTGCCACTTTCTCACATTAAAAGAAAAGACACGCCAAAAAGATCCCGCTCCGAGGACCGATTTCACCGATGAAGTCAATTATTACAAAAGATGGTTTATCTAGCCTCCGAAGTTAGCAGCAAAACGTCCTCTTTGAATATTGTTTAATAAATATTAGAACCTAAATTCAAAGTTTATTATATTCAGGCTAACTCTACACTGAATGGCTTACACAATATGACTAGTAAGTGAGTCAGTGGGTGTTTCACGTACGTAACATTTTAAATCACGGTTATAGTCCATAGTTGAACTGAAGACAAATCTTAAAGCTCTGGGCTCTCGGAGCATAAAGTCAATATGCCCTAACTTTGGCAAACTAACCTTCTATTACTGCCAAGAATAAAACACTTGTATGTTAACACAGAAAATTCATTCCGCTTCGTGCTCTCGTACCGAACGGACGTCTCTCTAAGACGGAGGGCTCATGCCACCCGAATTAGACGCTACTCGCAACTTCGGTTGCAAATTAAATCTTTGTGTAAGCAGTGCTGCAGTTTAGTATTAGTGTAGTGTTGTGCTCGTAGGCAGGTTCCTGTTCTGTAAGTAGAATTCTATACACACTTCTCGCCTCAGAGGCGGCATTATTTTATTTAATAACTGTGTGCTTGTTGCGATAAGCGACAGCTAGGTACCCACCCTAGCGCACCTAAAGCGCAGGTGAAATAGTTGTTAGTTTTAGGCACACACCTCCCTGCCGCAAGGTGGGGAGGCCTATTTAGAAACTACACGCCGGCGGGGCGCAAGCTCCAAAGGTTCAAGCGCCGTTATGGGTTCCCTCTTAGAGGAATTCATTCGCGAACGATGCCCCGAAATGTGGCGCAGCTTTCTCGCCTTCGCTTCGGCCGGCTTCACCGGCAGTCGCCTCGCCGCCATCTCCGGTGCCCTCTGCGCCAGCTAATGAGTCGCCTTCTGCGACACTAGTAACGCCCGTCGCGTCGACTTCCGCCGCCGCGAACGAGCCCAACGCGCCTTCCGCGCAACCAATTTCGGCCCCCTTCCGCGATGGCTCGGACATGGAGGTCGAAACGACCCCCGCTGATAACGCGAACGCCGACGGCTCCACCGTCGTAAAGTCGCGCAAAAAGGGCAAAAAACGCCCCGCAACTGACAGCGACCCCGAATGCGAGGCCGCCCCATCTAACCGTCCCACTCCAACGCCCGCCAAAAAGGCAGCCGCGGCTGCCCAATTGGTACCCGAATTCGCCTCCGAGCGAAAAATTAAGCCACCGCCGCCAATAATTATTCAAGAAAAGGAAAAGTGGCATCAAGTATGCTCGTGGTTTGAACGCCACAACATCCGCGACCTCCGGTCAAAAAATACACACATGGGTGTCCGCGTATACCTGGACACAACAGACGATTTCCGCCGCGTAACCAAGTATTTACGCGAAAATAAGCACACCTACTCGTTGTCCGAAGAGCGTAAACTTCGGGTAGTAATAAAGGGCGTCCCCAAAGAGTCGGATGTCGATAAGGCTAAAGTCGACATCCGCACTCAGGGATACCCGTACATGCAGTGCGACGTCTTAGGCACCCTAGAACCCGTGTCCCTATGGACATGGTCATGGTTGAACTTGACTCTACCCCGGAAGGTAAGGCCATCTTCAAACTAAAGAGGGTCTGTGGGCTCAGTGACTTAGTCATCGAGCCCCCGCGCAAATCAGGTGTTGTGGCACAGTGCCACAACTGTCAACATTTTGGCCACACGGCCAATAATTGCTTCGCTCACCCTAGGTGCGTCAAATGCACCGGTGACCACGGCACAACCGAGTGCACGAGGCCGAAAGATTGCGCAGATCCACCGGACTGCGTAAACTGTCACGCTACCGGCCACCCGGCTAGTTATAGAGGCTGCGCTAAGGCCCCGAAAACTCCCGCGAGAAAATCTCCCGCGAAATCTACGTTGCCCAAACCCGCGCCCGTTAAATACGTTCCCGCGCCCGTACCCGTCACTAACGCCTGGGGGAAACCCCAGGTGGCCGCGCAGGTAACCACGCCGGTAATCCCGGTCGCCTCACGACCGATCGCACAACAGCTGCCCGCCTCTCAAACACAATTTAACTAATGCTAAAAGTAAAATGCCCTTAAGGCACAAATTATTATTATATAAGACCTGCGTACGACCTATTATGTCCTACGCATGCATGATCTTCGCCCACACGCACCCTACTCGCTTGTACAAGCTGCAAATAGTACAAAATAAGTTTATCCGCCGCGCAACCGGTGCGCAGTGGTATCAGCGCAACGTTGACCTGCACAGCGATTGCAGACTCCCGACGATTCGCACACATTTTAAAGACTTGACAAAACGGTTCTTCGATAGAGCCCAGCATCATCCCAACCCTCTGGTGGTAAGCGCAGCAAACTACCAACCGGACACTAACGCGAACGTAAACAAGCTTCGCCCGCGAAACGTCCTCATCGACCCGGTCGTGAAGTCGATGAAGAGGACTTAGATACGATGGACCCACCGCCGGGGGTCCCGCCGGATAACACTACACCCACAGTTAGTGTAACAACAATCACACCAGTTCGCCCTCGCCTCCGAGCACGGCGAGACCCACACAACGCGTACACAAGGTACACCCGCGTTCCGGGGCGGTTCTCACCGCTCCCAGCCACCGATTAGCTAAATGCACAGTCGACGGCCGTCGGGGTCTCGGTCCGAACCGGCGACCTCGACGGCCCTTAGATGACACACCATAGTAGTTAAACGCACGCATGAGCACATGCGCGACCCTACCCATAGCGGAGGGTCCAAACCCGTGGGTTCTGGCTAGCCCACCGGTTCTGCGTCCGATGAAGCTATAATAGTCTCGGGACTGAAAGCAAAAACATCAGTTAATACAAGATACAAGATGTTAACACAACTCGCATATTTACTCGCCGCCTTATATAAGCCGCCACAGGAAACAGCGACATCTCTCGTCAAGTGGATGTCACTTCATAACTGTGTAATTTTACTCAATTGAAATTCAACTATGCGGAATGGTTTGTTTGTGTATTGAACTATTATTATGAACATGTTTTGATTTTTACCCGCGCAGACGAGAAACCAGTGGTCGAGTGCAGCTTCATAACGGAGTTCGAGGACCACATCTTCGTGTCGGTGGACGCGGAGGCGTTCCTGTTCCTCCACGACCTCATCTCGTCCTACATCAAGGAGAAGGACCGCGTCGTGAGTGACAATTAATATTCAATACGTACAATTTTTAGCTTCAGTAGTATATGCCTGATAATTCCCAACATCTCACAGTCGTGTCTTCCATCTTATGGCTCTACGAAACTACCGCTCGTCATGGTTTGTGAGCGTCAATGACTCCGTGGCGCAGTTGCCGGAGGTCGTGAGTTCGATTCCCACGCGAGATCTTCGGATCTGGGTGTCCGTCCACTTGATTTATGTATGTAAAACGTCCTTACATCACACATTGGGATAATGTTATCCCACAGTACGGGGTCATTGTTTTCAAAGGGAAGACTACAATATGGCACATAATAATGAGAAATAAAGAGTCGATGTTCGTCCTCGCAGATGCCGGCCGGGTCCCGCGCCAGCGGCAGCAACCCGGCCACGGAGCCGGCGCCGCCGCTGGACTACCGCGACTACCGCTGCCTCACTTGGCACCTCGAACCCACCGTTCGGTGTGTGAACGCAAAATGAAACCTGGATGGATTGATTTACTTACTCCCCGGGCTCAGCGCCCCAAGGGGGATCTCAGCTCACGACACTAAAACACGCCACCGCTCTTTGTTCTGGGCTATTTCTTGCCAGTTGGCCGATTGGAGGGCGCCCAGATCGCTCCCCTTTGATTAATTCACTATAGTAAAATCGTGTGCACAAAAAACACACGTACAAACGTACTTTTTACAAAATTAGTTATACTTCTTTAGCGTAACAAAAGAAGAGTCATTTCTGTTGCCGATATAACAACGAATACAAAAAAACTGAATAAAAAAATATTTAAGTTCGGCTCCCATATAACAGACATGATTTTTTTGCTGTTTTTATACATAATTTTTTTTATTATTATATATACAGCGTGTTTTTACAATGGCGACAATAAATGAACACACATATAGAGGATAACTTTTTAAAATTGTATTAAAGATTTACATTCTTTAAACATCAATGTTTACAGAGTTATTAAATTTTCCAAAACAAAGAATTTTAGAACACCCTTGCCTATAAAAGCGTAACGTAAAGTTCATTTGTAAAGGTCACAAAGCATATGAATGGGTTGAATGAATTTAAAAGAGACAAAACATACTGTTAGAAGGAGAGGCTTGTAATACGACGCTGTGGCGCGATAGTTGTATAGGATGTTACAAATTTTGTTTCTTTTTTTTTACTTAATTACTTTGTTTGAAAAAATTTTTTTTTAAATTATGGATTTTGTTTCATTTTTTTTTTATGATTATTGGCAAGTAGCGTTAGACGTGTGTTCATTTATTGTCGCGATGGTAACGAAACGCTGTATATATATATTTACCATAATAACCAGTTTCAGTACTTGTCTGCACTAGTTTCTATAAGTGAATATTTTTTATTAGCTGTTTGTTATCGAGTTTAGTGTTAATTTGGTTTGAATAGTACAGCTATTCAAACCTTATTAACACTAAACTAGACTAGTGTAGTCTTCCATATCTTAAATAAATAATGTTACGGAATCCTTCATGGGTGAGTCCGACTCGCACTTAGCCGGTTTATGAATTTTTTTATTTTGTCTTTTGTTCATGTTCGTCCCCAATGAAGTGAATAAATAACTAGAGATGTCCGAATTTGAACTCGCTCGGCGCAGGCTGCTGTCGTGGGCGGGCAAGTCGATCGAGCCGTACGGCGTGGACTACATCCTGCAGAAGCTGGGCTTCAGCCACGCGCGCACCACCATCCCCAAGTGGCTGCAGCGGGGCGCCCTGGACCCGCTGGACGCGCTGCTCTCCGCGGTGCTGCTGCGGCTGGTGGCCATCGTGCCGCGCAAGTCCTAGCCCTGACGCCAGCAAACCTGTCGGCGACCACTGAAAACTGTCAAATCCATCGTCGCATAAATTCGCCTGACAAGTTTCAACCCTAAAACGGAGAGCGCAACGTATTAAAAACCTCAACTCTTCACCATCGTGCCGAACAATTTTTGATCGTAATCAGAAACGCGTAAGGTATAAAATCGCTTCACATAGTATACTTCTCGAAAATGTTGGATACAGAACGCAACTGGCAAAACGAACTTATTGACTTTCGGTTTCAAACGGAAACAAAAGAGAGACTTCGTTCTAAATAACAAAGCGCTAATAATGAACACGCAAAATGAATTCGCAAAATGAAATTTTTATACATGGATAACGTTTATTGAAAAGCCTTTGTGGCGTAGGATTCCCGCCTTTATCACCCACCATTCATAAAAGTGAGATAACTATTAATGCTCAGACTCGTGAATTGTTTAGCAAATGATGACAACAGATCCTAGCTAAGAACCACTGCTAGAAGGTAGCAACTCAAGCACATATTTTCATGAATTAGGTTTAGATCAGAAAGGTGCTAAACAGGTGGAGGTGTAATTAATAATTAATCGAAGGCATGTGTAATAATCGAAGGCATTGCCCCTGAAATAAATACCAATCTAGACAAAATGTGCATGAATATTAGGGCTATGGAAAAATATTTCTCTTTAATAGACAATTGTATTAAAATCAGTGTTACGAACTTTCCATTAAATAAGTTGATAGTATTGTAACAAGGATTATTTATCATATTGATAAATGGAATAAATTCTTTTAACTGTTAGAACTGATTCATTAAATTTTTTGTACAATCATGGTAGGAGATGGTAATATTCGTTTTGAAAATATCAGTGATAAAATTCTTACTAGTATATTAATAATTGAATAAGATTATAGCCAATTCTCTCACATGCATTCAGTTGCAAAGGAATTTTAATGGTATATGTCAATCTACAAGATCTCAATTAATAATTGTTAGCCAAAGTTGAAATGATAATGTTGTAAAGGTTTCCTACTAATATTATAATCCTATATGAGAGTGCTAATAAACAGAAGAAAGCTTTACAGTGATACAAGTTTCACTAAAGCATAAACAACTCCATTAGTCCTATGTAAAATAAATGTCTAATCAACTGTTTAACGTTTTAGATTTTCACTAGAAACTATATTAATGGCCTTCGCTAGTTTTTATGTACCCTAAGTTCACATGACAAAATTTATTGCATTTTAATTTAAATATATTAGAATTATCCTATAGGTACACAACCTTAATATTTATATATTTTATGTAAACATTTCCCATACAGTTTTTTATGTAATGATTAATTTAGTATTAATTCTGTGAATAAGTCGTTTTATGGTTTTATTGTAATTTGATATTATTTAGTTGTAAATTTGGTGACCAGTAATTTATAAGAAAATGGTTGACCATAGCATATTTTAGACTTTGTATAATGAAGGCCTACTTGATATATTCCAATGGTATTCCAATAATCCCACGAAAATTAGCTGAATTGTTTTTAAAATAACCTATTATTATTATAAAATCTATGTACCTATATATACATTAAACAAGATACATTTTTAAGCATACACAATAATATTCGTATTAATTTTTAAATTCAAGGGAAAATTAACTAAACAAAAATAAGACATTATTATTATTCAATTAATTTTTAAATAAATAACTTAGTAACAATATGTTTAATCCATTGTTTATAAGAGGTTATATAAATAATATTTATAAATGATCACAATGTTAATTATGAAAGGGAATCGAAGCTTACACTAAATATAGTTAATTTTGTTTATGCAATTATGTTTTATTTCACGTTTGTATTATTTTGTATAATACTTTTAGTGGTTATAGTGGATTGTATTTAGAAGTTTCTTATTTTATGTACCGAAATATTATATTACGAAATGTGATTTGTACATAATGAATGTGATATGAATAAAAATATTAGAGAATGTCGTTTCAGTTTTCTTTTAATTGTACATGTGTAACCAGAAACGGTTTGGTGGATAGACAAAAAATATAAAAGTAAGAATAAAACAATGTTATAAGATTGTATATGCCTTTAACCAACATTTTTTATTAATATGAACACTTTGAACTGTTAGAGCAATTATATGAATTGGTAATATTAGAGATGAAATGATCCTTCGAAGTATATCCTGCGAATATTCGGCACCAGCACTCAGTAAGCTTCTGGAATATGTAATTGAATGTAGCCTTACATTGAATCGTTGACCTAACAACTAAAGATGCCCCATATCTTGACATAATATTATAGCTGTCTGTTTCCACTTTACACGGCATTACATATCTAGGATAATGGAAAAGAGAGACTGTTTTGATCAGAATTTCTATCGAGAAACACAGTTTTTTATCTTTATTAAACATGACACATACGAAAGATTCCCAAAGTTTTACATGGAATGCTTTGTGATTCAAATGTTCTATATAAAAAATGCACATATTACTCGAAAGTTCGACAGTGTTTCTACCTACACTTTCGAGAAATACGTGCGTTATTTATCATGAGGGTGGGCGATCTATAGTTGAACATAGCCTAACACTGAACTGGAGTAATTAAATATTGAAGATTGTATAGTTTTACCAAATTTATTTATTTATTGAAAAATTGCCAGACGGGCAGACGGATTACCTGATGATAAGTGAATACTGCTAATACCCATGGACATCTGCTACACCCGAGGGTTACAGATGCGTTGACAACCTTTTTAAAATTGGGCTCCTGCTACCTCACTCATCAGACGAAACGCGAAAGTATTTGTGATACTTCCACTTTACGCTGGTCTTCTGTGAGGCCGTGGTACTTACCCGGACGGGCCTGCCCATTCGTGCAACAGCCGAGGCTGCTGCGTGGCCCTACCACCGTAAAATTAACTTTATATATTTATTAATACAACTTTACATAAATTTCGTAAAACTATACATATTATTTATCGTACGTTACTTTGAATATGTACAATACTTTTAATTCCCAAAAAATTGTTATAAAAATAATACACATGGTATAAAAAAGGAAACGAAAACCTTTTACGGCTGTATGATAAATAAAACTAGACAATTAGCAAAATAATTTTATAAGTAAACAAAACCTGAACAGTGCATACTGCATATAATGAACAAATTGTACATAAAACTTAAAGCAAATTAGATATAATCCCATACTTTTTCTTTTAACCAATTGTATAATGCTGCATACCATAATGCTACTTGTAAAATTTAAGATGAAATACACATATTAACACATCTTAAGACTATATTACATTTTATACAATAAAGCCTACCAATAATTAAATTATTTGCTACATTCATATATAAATATATGTAGACGCAAAATATGCAAATAATTGCGACTATTTTTTACTTTCTTTTACTACTATCACCTTTTATTTTTTTATTTAAATTATTATTTAAAGTATTGATCCAATTAAAATACATTTTAACATTGTTAACATTTATTTTACATCAATCTTAAAGAGATTTATTGTGCGGAATATATAATATATATATATATAATATATATATATAAATACTATTTTGAATATGAGGTTTTTTATCAGACAAAAACATAAAAATTCAAGACATGTCGAATATTGCAAATAGCATATATTTACACAGACAAATTTCACATATATTGTGCTTTCGTGCACATCAATAACTATTTATACAAAATTTGAACATGCCATTGGTGTTACAATATATCTTAAATAATATTTCTTCATATAACATATCTGAATTGAACTATAAAATTGGCGATAACACAAACAATAATTGCATTTAAGGTACATACTGTATTTAAAAACAAAGCGTAAAAACTACATTTAAGAGGTCCAGTTAAAAAAATGCAGGCCTTTGGTGGTGGCTGATGTGTTGGGCAAGTGGTTGGCGGTGGGATTAGTTGATTGAGAAGTTCTGTGTGAAGTCGTACTCTATGGTGGGGATGACGCTCTGCACGAACTTGAGGAAGACGATGAGGTAGGAGTGGACGCCCACAGCGCCCCCTCCCCCCGCCACCGTCTCTATGATCTTCTTCATCACCTCAGCGTGCCTGTGAATCGAGACAGACACTGTATTAAAATCGATTTTTGTCTGTGCCTTACATACACATTATTGTCCTGACCCTGGTAAGACTTTAATACAACCGGAAACATATTGCTGCCTTTGAAATGGAAGACCTTTTAATATAATATTTCTTTTCATTGAGCTTCTTCTGTGATGACCAAATCTATTCATTTGACAAGTGGTCTGCTGCATAAACTCAACCACTGGTAATGAAAAGCCGAGATTGGTGGTATACAGCGATTATTAATTTAGTCTCTGTTAAATGAAACTAATTTACGGATTCATTTTCGCGTTTAAATATGACTTTTCTAAAACTCTACGGAGAAAATGTTCAAGTCTCATACCATGACCATGAACAGTGTAAAGAACGAATAAATCAGTGACTTGGTTCTATTAGACTATGCTTCGTATTAATCGTAAGTAGCTTAATTGTCTGAGGTAAGCGATGTAATCCACCTTGTTAGGTTGCATGTGGCCCACTCACCGGCAAGGGTGCACGGAGGCCATGCTGGGCCCGGAGAGGTGAGGGTGGGCCTCCATCGTGACGGTCTTCTTGGCGTGGTCCTGCGACACGTCCTCGTACATCTGCTCCACGCTCAGCAGCTTCCGCTCCTGGGAAACAATGCAACGATAAAAATAAGCTACATGAAATGAAGTATACAATATGGTTCCAGTTTTATTGATTCTTGTATAGGCAACTCTCTTACGCACTGGATTTCGTTGTTATTATTATAAAATTGACTTTGATATATTTTTAGATACTGTCTTTTAAGGGTTCCGTACCCAAAGGGTAAAACAGGACTCTAAGATACTAAGACTCCGCTTTCTGTCTGTCCGCCCGTCTGTCGCTGGGCTTTATCTCATGAAACGTGAACAGCAAATTTGTAAATCCGCCACTCGATCGCATGCCCGATTTTAATACCCTCCGATAAATGTCACCTCTATGATGCTCTATTCTATTTTTCCGAGCACGTCGGATTAAACACAGTAACTCAACTTAGAAGCCAAACACAGTGACGTTTAGTAGTGCACTATTCAGTATTCGTAGCGTTTGCCTCGATGGTAAAACGTTTTTACTAATTCTAGAAATGGTCGGAGTGAATCTACCTCAGACGGCGGATTCAGCGGGCCGATTGGCCTTCATTGCCCGGGGGGCGGGGGAGGGGAGCTCACCTCGTCGTAGCCGATGAGCCAGAGGCGCGGCGTCTGGTAGTACTTGTCGTAGGAGATGTGGAGGTCGTAGGTTCGGGTCCGGACGATGTCGTCGCCGTCTCCCGGCCGCTGCCTGCCCTCGCTCTTCGGCTTCGGCTCCTTGCGGGTGGTCAGGTCTGTCGACTGGAGACGGAGACTCTACGTTAGGCGGTGATTGGACACAACGGTTGGTGGATTATGATATGAAATGGTTAAACGGTAAAGAATGAGGTGATCATGAGTTATATTAGTGATGGATACTTTGTTATACAGATGTTTGGCTTGGGTGCTGATTTGCTGTTTATTTATTTGTTTGGATAGGTGCAATTTTGAAAATTGCATCATGTGGAAAGGATATAACAATAGATGCGCCAAGCATTGCTTCAAATGCTAAATAACAATGTAGAAATGAGGCGTTAAGATTTTCGTCGCTGTCAGCCGTTTAGCTCAGTGGCTAGAGCGTCAGACCGCGAATGCCGAAGACGTGGGTTCGATTCCCACTGCGGCGACAATCTTTTCGTACTTTTTCTATGTTTTAATGTTGCATCGATATATCGGACTCATACAAATTTTACCCGTTAATCGCAATACAAAAATATCAAAGTGTGCTAAAAAAATAATCACTTCGAACTTTATAAATGCTTCTCGCAAAAAGTGAATACATGAAACAATATACTAGTCAGAGATATTCAGTACAATCGACTTTTCAGATACTTCATTACATAAGATGCCACAATGGTGAAACGTGATTCTCCAGTTGCCTTCCCATCCGCTGGACATAAGCGACGTGTTCTATTAAATGGTCGGTCGCTCACCGGGTCCACCTCGTCCAGCAGCCCCGACTCCTGGAACTGCTCCATGTCCTCCGCCTCCCCCTCCTCCTCGTCGTCATCATCATCGTCCTCCCCCCCGTCGGCCCCCTCGCAGCCGCTGTCCCCCGTCTCCGCCGCCTCAAGCGTCATTTCGCACACCTGATGACGACGGAACAAATAAGTGTAAACATTTCGGAATTTCCTTACACAACTATCTAATACCAAACCTCCCATGGTAGGGCCACGCAACAGGCTTCACCGTTGCACGAAAGGTAATCTGCAACCCTCTTTTTTTAATTAATTAATGTTTTATGGCGAAAGTTAAGTAACGGTAAGTTTTATTTCATGACAGTTGGTATGGTCACTTCCTTCGTCAAATCACGACTTTATTTTCGAGATGAGATAAAGATGTTTTTCCATTGTGCTTTTGAGGATCGCTCTATACATGATATTGAAAGTAGGACTTAGTGTGTTACTGGATATGCGCTCACAAATCGCCTAGCTGCTATAACATTTATACAAATTTTTGTTTAAATTATGAGGCACATATCGAGGAAGGCCGAAAAATCCGGCTCGAAGGACCACGAATAAGTTTGTAGGGAGAGAGTTTATAGATAGTCTGGTAAATAGTTTATTAACAAATAAATAGTATGGCATAATGGTATGAAGAACTTATCACTAATTACTGGTTATATGGTTAGAATACGCGGAATAAATAATTGTTATGGTATTGGTTCGACCGTGGCGAGACACGTAATGAAATGTGCCCATGATGCACAAAATGACAGCGTCGGGCTGTTCGGTTGCATAACTCCTAACATAATGGTCATAAAAATGCGACTTATACTCTCTGTGTAATGTTTATGATGTTGTAATACATTCTATGCAGAACCTTCCAGAAACTTCCACCCTGACCGCTCCCGAAATAACACTGGAACCCAGAGCGCAGTTGGAACGGTTGAAAGTATTTACCTTCTCTTCTACGGTGGGCGACCCAGTGGAGTCGTAGTGGTGCGTGTCCACCCAGCCTCCATCCTCATCGTTCTCAGCCTCTATTATCTTCTCCTTGTCTTCGCAATACTCGATCTGCAAACCACGTCTCAGTTACCGTTCTAAACTTATCACCGGTTCTCTACCTAAAACTAGACGTGTTATCAAAGTAATGATAATTCACCCTTTTGTGAATATTTTTCATTTAATTATTACCATAAGGATCACAAATAGTACGCGGTTAGTTTTTAGATTAGATTTGTTTAAAAAACATTGTCTTTATTGTAGGATAAAATTATCAAGTGTTGTAAGGACGTTTTGGAACCATAAATTTCACGAGGTCACACAAATAGTTGTTCCGTGCGGGAATCGGACCCACGACCGCTGACGCCGAAGAATAATACACCTTCTATGTTTGTTTTATACCTAATAAGAAAAATATCTGCATGCAGCACCGTACATATGATAGAAGTGAAGTTTCTAAAACAAAGCACAAATCACGATGATAAATATTAATTACACAACACGTGGTTTCCCAAATGTCCATACATAGTTATACAGCGTCCGACGGAAACGACAAGTCAATGTAAGTGAGTGTAATTCGTGTATAGTTAGTGTAATTTCTATAGGATTTATACTTTGAAAAATACAGTTTCATATTGTCTTGTATATATCACGATTTTATTGGGTCGACGTCCTAATTTACTTCGAAACTTTTATCTGTCCGTGCAAACGTTGCATTTACTTTGCATGCTTCTGGTCCAAGCCGAGTAAACTTCTGCACACATTCCGCGCTCGTGCTCACGCCAATGAGGGCGTATGCGCTGCCAATGATTGCGCAACAAAGGGCACCGCAAATTGGTAAATTTGTCCACGGTTCGTTGACCTCATTGTAGGTATCTATTACGAACTATTACGAAGGACATATTTTATCCAATGCCCACGACAAGCGACGGTTATTTTTCTTCATTATAGTGTTTGTGCATATATATATATACCAGTGTTTCTCGAACTTTTTAGGTGTACCGCCCACTTTAGGGAAAATTGAATACCCAACGCAAATTTTACAAAAAAAAGTAGATTGAGAATTTGCAAAACACCTTTATATTTATTTTTCAAAGCTAATCGATTTTTTTATGTGTCAGTCGCCCCCTGACATAGACTCAGCGCCCACTGGGGATGCAGTATCGCCTATTTAGAGAACCAATGATATATAGTATTACCTGACAGTAAATGTGGTCATATTGAGTCTACACTAGCTCAGTAAAATTCGATTCACTTTCGCTTTGAAGCATATAAAAGAATGAATAGGATGGTATTTGGGTGCAGGCAGGGGACAGTCGTCAGGAACCAAGTTCCCCAGATTCAAATGTAAAAGTTTCTGTTTGTTTTAATATTAAAGCCAGACCGTCAGACCATTTACCGTCAGACGAATGGTGGTCCAAAGCAGAACTGTCTACAGGCAGTTTCAATCGACAACTAAGGTAAAACGAACTTTAAAAGATTCGTCATAAGGTCAAAATTACATTAAACAGGGCACGTGACGTTTAATACCACGTCTCACCAAACGCAAGTGTACAATTATGGACAAACATGAGCCCCCGTTTCGTTCATGTCCCTCCGAAATAAAGGTATACAAAATTGTCCTGTCACCTGTTTACATCGCCTGTAGCACGGCACGTTCCGCGTGATGAGGAACTGTTTGTCGGGGGGCAGGTAGGGCCGCAGCTTGGCCTCCTCGCCGCGCGCCCACTGCCACGTGGGGCAGTGGTGCACCAAATGGTCGCCGGCGGCCACGAACTCCTCGGGGGTGAGGACGCCGGTCTCTTGAAATTTCGACTCCTGCATACAAGAGGATGAATGGGGATGTAACGGTGCGAGTGAATAGATACAAGTCAGTGCGGCAACAAAAGAAGTAAAGGAAATTATTATTTATTAAATTTTTTCGTACACCTTTTTTTTTTTTGCATCTTCGATTTTTGTATCAATAAACATCATAAATACTTCTTTGAATAAAAATAATTTACATATTTTTTCATGTTTAAGTTTAAAATTAATTGATGCTTTTAATTATTACTTTTTAATTAATTAGTATTACCAATTAAGTAGCAATACTTCTTTCATTCAATGCAGTAATTGGTCGTAAAAATGGTGGTTTTGCTTCTTCCAGCGAAATCAAAGGCTACATCATGCACAGTCTATTATTTAAAAGAAAATGGGATGTAATTATAAAGTTGTACACAACAATTCGTGAAATATTAATAATAACTAGCTGACCCAGCAAACGTTATAAATTATTTGTAGGGTAGAAAAAAATATTAGGGTAGAAATTAATATTTAGGGCGATGAAAAATAGATGTTGTCTGATTCTCCACCCTGGCCGATATGCACACAAAATTTCACGAAAATCGGTTAAGCCGTTTCGGAGGAATTCAATTCATATATCAGGTTTACCTTTTTCTTTACTAAAATGTGTTTTTTGTAGTGTAGAAACGCACTGTCCTATATCACTAGAACTAGAACTATGGACATAGGTTAAAATGATTACAATAGTATTACAATATTTACAAGCATATAGTATTACAATATTTCTAATTTTGCAGGACTATGATAACTATTGTTATCAATGGGCACCGTTATATTGTTAGTATTATTATACTTGTTGTATTTCCACAGCAGAAATTGAAATTCTGGTTGTAAATTTCAGTTAAACCAACCAGTGTAAAGTTGGTTAAAAAATTCTGTTGTTATGAACAAAATTCAACTCGTTTTGATAACTTTTTTTAACTCGATGAATGGCATGTTAAAGCAAAGTAACGTATTTTAGCTGCCTTTGTTCAGCCTGCAGCACACAATAAATTACTTTTGTGTGCCACTATGACCATTTAAATTGATACTTAAACAAAATATAAAATTTTTCTATCTTTCATTGATCTACAATGAATTTTCATGAAGTACAGAGACAATATTGCCACCAATTTATTCATAATATAGTATTAAATCTGTGTCTATATTAAATGTAATGTAACAAAAATTTATGAAATGAGCACAGGAAGATCGCAATAATGAATTGATGATTTATTTTACCTTTTTTCAATTGTAATTTTTGTATGCACTAACTACATAAAATTTTTTGCGTAATTCAAATTTAGTGTGACTTAAAGCGATTAATTTATTGTAAACAAAACTGACCTTCGTTTACCGGTCCCGATACTACATTTAATATGAATACTGTGATGTAGTGTTTATGGAGTGTGTTTACGGTTATAAATGGTAGCTTTGTAAACATTGATAGCACTAAGATACATTATGATAAAACTAATGGTATAATATATTATACCTACCTTCAACACGGGAGTTAAATATCCAGCGACGCCCAAAGCGGTCCCTTTTACCGTATTAATTACGCTTTGCATTGTAAAATAATGGATGTTATTATACTAAGATTAAAAAGAAAAATGAGGCCCCTAATTCCGTAATTTGCTACACTAGACTAGTAAATTATGAACAAAGAGCTACTCAAGCCACTGCAATTGTATGTACCCCAGCAAAACAATGTTAAACTTGCAAATGTCAAATGTTATCGACAATCAACGTTACGTGTGAAGTCTGTCATGTCAGTGGAAGAATAAAATTAAGCATCATTCACTCATTCAGTGTTACAATCTCTCGCAATTATTTCTCACTAAAGCTTAAGTCAAAACCCCCTAAAACTCACCTAATAAAATAATGTTTAAAAAAGAATAGTAAAATAATAGTGCCAAGATTTTTGCCTTAATTTCCAATATGAATGGTATAAATACAGTGAAAGATATTGCAGCAGAAATTTTGGTCTTATAAAAAGTATAAAACTAAAAGCTGTAAGGAATTTAATTTTGTAAAAAATTATCTCTTATGATTTCTCTTTAGGATCAATATTTTTACCATAATTCCAAAAATAAGTTTTGATGAATGATAAACAAAATTAATTACTTTGGTGCTTTCCTTAAAATTTATTCTACGCTACTGCTATTGAATACGTTTTGACGGATACTTTTTAATGCACGGAGAAGTTCTCCTTATCTTGACTCTCCATAATTCAATTTCGCATCTTAGTACTGAAAAATTGTACCGCGGGGTACCGGTTGTCCGAAGATTTTGAAGTTATACTTCATGAGGCGCGTTATGGAAAAATGATGAAAGTGAAATTTTCCCTGTAACACAAAAGTCACGCCTCTGAAGCTGCCCGCTAAACCGCTTTTTATAGATGGCAGCATATTCTCAATCATTCGCTCGTTACAGTTCTCAATAAAGGATGTAGATGGCGCTTTCATAATTTTACTATGCATATCTTTTTCAGTTCTTTTTATTATTTTATTGTAATTAATTAATTATCATCATCATTTCAGCCTGTTTGAGTCCACTGTTGAACATAGGCCTCCCCCATAGACTGCCACGAAGTACGATCCTGAGCCACCTGCATCCGTCGGCTTCCCGCACATTTGCACAGGTCGTCACTAATTAATTAGTGACGACGAGTAGGTTACGACTAAGTTGTAATTAATTATTTGCATGCAATTAAATACTATTTTTAATGATGCCAAAGAAGTATAACTTGTCACGCGCGTACTTAAGTACACGCACCCATTTTTTATTTCGGAGTTAGTCCGAGTGACAATCATACATCGCCTTACTTTTCTCCGCTGCTTTCGGATCTTCGGACTACAGACTATAAGCGGATAATAACCTAGGTTTTGTCGCAATCAGTCGCGAATAGGGCTCTAAAGTCGAACAGCTTATCGGAAATGAGATTTAGTGATTGAACAAATTTTTAATCCTTGCTATGAAAATATGCTCATTTTTTCTCATGATGGAAAACTAGTAATTCAAAGCTAAACCTCTGGGTATATTGGACTTAGGGATGTCGATGACGCGTTGTTATATAATATTAGTATATACATTAGGCCTGATGCATTCCTCCATACCTTCCACTCTATAAAAGAGCTGTGTGCGGTTTGAGCATATTTCTAATAACTAAACCCTAAGACAGCTAAGACAGTCTCAATTCAATCTCCATCCCGTGCAATTTCTAATTCTGTTTAAAAATAATTGTAAAATCAGTGTAACAACTTAGTCATTTAACATTTTTGTAAAACATAAAATTGCAATATTTATTAACGGGAAAGGTGTAGCTGTCACAAATACATTCTTATCTATCTATTATCATCCGGGCACTCGCCTTTAATTCAATATACTCGAGCAACCTGAGTTCGATCCCCGGTGCCGGCACCAATGAAGTTTTTAACTTTAAGTGCTGACTTATCACGTTCTACGCGGTGAAGGAAAACATCGTGAGGAAACCTGCATATTTTCGAAATAATAACAAAAAAAATATTTGGAAGTTATGTGAAGTCCGCCAATCTGCATTGGGGCCGCGTGGTGGACTATGCTCCGATACCCTCTATATAGAGGAGGCCTGGAGGTGGGACATGTAGAGGCTGTTACTTTACTTTTTTATAAGGATGATTGGCAAGAAGTGTTTTATACACTCAATTACAGATTGAAGATGTAACCAGTGCTATATTTTAATATTTTAATAGAAAAACTGTTGAATATAATCACAAATATTTCTGTATTTTTTACGAAGAGCAACGTATAAGTTAAGATAGCAAAGACCTTACACTTAATAACGTTTAACGTAACGTTTGTAAGTATAAGATCTTTGGAAGATAGTATGTACCGCTATTTAACAGATAAGCACAAAGAATTGTCAACTTGGGTCTAATCTTAATATGGCAGCTTCACCAGGGTAGTATTTTGTATTATAATTATAGTATTTGTACTATAATTTCACGCTTCATACTATATACTATCCAACATATCTAAGGATAGTATGGAAATGTACTATAATTTCGTTAATTTACATAAATGGCCAATGTAAATACCAATCCAACATTAAGAAAAGGTTTATTGGGTTGTAATATCGTTGTAATGTTTTAAACAATACAAAGTGGATATTATCACGTGTTTTTGTCAATTATTATCACGAATTATAAATTATCTTTATCAATGAACTATTTACAGGAACTTTCTGTTAAATTTTTTTTTTCTATAATAAATTTTTTGCAAAGTAAGTTTGCCTATTGCATTATGAGGTGCAATATGCAAGGTAGTTGATAGAGTTCAGTATTTCCTAAACTAAGATAAGTAATAAACATAATCCATAGATCCCATTTTATTGTGTTGGACGCTAGCAAAGATGGTAAAAAAAGTGGAATTTGTACTGATTTTATTCCTACTGAGGATATGTTAAAAAAACTAATTCTAAGGATGAAACTAATATTGAAGAATTGATAAACTTGGAAGAGGACTAAATTAAATTGCCTGTTAAATGCCTGTTAAAATCAAAATTATAAAGTGTACTATAATTTTTTTACAAATACTATACTTTATTTTTAAATACTATTTTTTTGTACTATCTTTTTCATCATACCTAAATCCAACCCTATTTGTCACTGTCAGAGTCTTACACCTCATTGATTCATGATTGACATTGACATTAAAGTAATATGTAAAGCAGCGTATCATTTACGTCATTATCTCTTTTGAAACTCGTTGCAGATTGTTATTTCGTTTCGATCAGTGCAAAATAATGAAATATTTTTGTTATACATTGATTCGCCATTGTTAATATATTTCTTAATTAAATAAATATAAAGGTTATCACATTATGGAGGACGTTTTAGATGAAGTGGTCTCATCCGAAGATTTGCAAGTAAGAAAATTTAATGCAGTTCAATGTTCGTTGTTTAGCACAAAGAATTCTTGATAAATTCGATGTATATTTTTGTAGAAGTTCGAGAAAGTTTTTCATGAGCAGTTGCATCAGGGTAAGGTGACTCATAAAGCGCAATTCGAATATGCGTGGTGTTTGGTACGGAGTAAATACCCTACAGATATCAGAAAGGTACGTGCAACAATGTATTTTCTTAATCTCTTTCTTTATTTAATTTTTAAGATCTCTGTCTGTGTACATGACAAAACCGATATAAAAGAGCAGAATAACTAGTTTTATTTTTATGTGAAAAGTTTTCAAGCGAGCAGGCGGGACGCCTAATTTTAAGTGGGTTGGGACAAATGTTCTGCTCAAATCATATCAATAAAAAAACTGGGGTGTTTTATGAAATTGTGGTGCAAGTGTAACTTTTTCAGATCATAGGCATTTAACTGAAAATTCTCAGTTTTCACAACTACAACAGTGTTTTCCCAATTTTTCCCAAGTTATACTCTCATAATTATCATCAATACAAGTTTGGTTGGCATGAACCCCATTCAAGCCATGCCACTGTGCTTGATCATCCGTTACATGCATCCCATTTCTATTTAGCTAATGCTTTTACATTGATGTGATCTCCTAGCCTACATGTAGATAGGACTTATTAATAATTCATTCTCTAATGCTTTATATACAGGGTATCCTGCTCCTCAAGGAGTTGTTCAATTCTCACCCAGATGGCAAACGAGACTACCTGTTCTATCTTGCCATAGGCAACGCTAGAATCAAGGAGTATAACAAAGCACTTCACTATGTAAAGGCGTTCCTTGAAATTGAGCCTGCTAATCAGCAAGTATTGGCATTGGAGGTAATTCTAAATTATTGCAACAGTTTAATTTTGTTATTAAGTGTGTATGTAGATCGACATATTTATATCAGAATTTATGTATCAATGTATCAAAAGGTAGACTATACATATACTGTAACATTTTTCTATCATTCCTACTAATTATACAAATTTTGTGATATATCAAGAGACTTTAATGGTAATTAAAGCCACTAATGTATTTTGGAGTGTAATAATATTGACTTCTTTTAAGTTATTCTCATAATATTAGTGATGGAAAAAGTTTCTTACAGACGTGAGTGAAGTTACAGACTTTACAGACTTTATTTAAAGCTTACAGGAATAATTCTTATTAATTAAGAGTCTTTATTAGACATCTAGTCTATAATATCATCAGTGACATGGTCTGTAACAGTAACAGTAACATGTGTTATATGATAATTTTAGAGACAAATCAATAAACGCATGGAGAAGGAAGGGTTGATTGGCATGGCTGTGGCAGGTGGAGCTGTTTTAGCACTCGGGGGCCTGGTTGGTCTTGGAATCGCTCTTGCGTCTAGTAAGAAATAGCATTTGGCTTTATTGTAAGTACTGTCTTAAGTAACAGAAAATACACATCTCACTATTACACTATGTCCTCAGTGCCCTTTGTATTATCCCATTATTTGTGACCTGTGCTCTTCGAAAGTTTGTCATAAACGGAAATAGTGGTGTTGGTCTCATGAAATCTCATCTTTTTCAGGCAAATTACAACTTAACAATTACTGGCAGTATATTTTTATAACAAGGAAACAATTATATATAACAACAATTTAAAAATTTTGTTTGGTCATTTCAAGAGATTAATGTATTTTAAATTTTTTATAGTGCTAATCTTTGCACTTAAGATTGTGACTTTATATTTGTAGAAAAAGTATGAAAAGATTGTCGCCGCTGTGGGAATCGAACCCACGTCTTCGGCATTCGCGGCCTGACGCTCTAACCACTGAGCTAAACGGCAGATTGCCACACCGACGAATATCTTAACGCCTTCTTTCTACATTGTAATTTAGCATTTGAAGCAATTCCCACAGCGGCGACAATCTTTTCATACTTTTTCTTCAAATTTAATTAATGTATTTTGTTAAGTTTTTTATTATTTGATACTATTTTTAGATTTATACAATTAACATTCATCAGACATTTGCGAATAATAAATCACTCTTTTCTGACAATGAAATGCCATCATATTTTATTAGCTGTTGACACAGGAGTGTTCCTTATATTCACATATATAAAGACAGACAAGTTTTATGCGAGTGATGATCTTGTTTTAGAGTGAGTATGACCAATTTTTTATTAAGACTATTCTCATTTCAGAATGAATGTCTTTGTGGGCGTTCATTGCTTCGTTACAAAGAAATGGAGGCGAAAGAGGAGTGAAGGTGCACCGAAATAGTTTCTAGAAATAACATAAACAATTCTATCTTTATAAATTCATCATGTGATTTAGATTCTTTGTATTTGCAAAATGCGAAATAAGCTTATTAACACAAAATAAACAAGCTTTTTGTACCAGGGAAAAAAGTTTATTATTATGTCAAATCGCTTTAGATTTTATGAACCTTATTATATTATTTGGTAGGAATACGTGAAATTGGTTATCTTTACTATACTTTGGTAACATTAATTTCTATTTTATTTAGACATTTGTGTAAAATTTTATTATTACTCTATGAAACTTGCCACTAAGCAGTGCACAACATTGATGCATTTGTATTGATTAATTTTTTATGTGGACCCATATAACTTAATGAATAAATGAGACGAATATCTAAACAGTACAAATAAGTTTCTACTTTTTATACAGAACTAGTGCTTAAAAACACTGACATTTGGCAATATACTGCATTAATGCGCACTGGCTTGGCATGTGTAGACAATGTTCCAAAAATTTCCAAATTGTAGTGTTTAGTTCTAATAATATAGAATTTGTTATATATATGTGATACAATTTATTTCTTTAGAATAAGGGCATGTGTTGATCATCAATAAATGTAATTAAAACATTTTGTCAATGTAATACAAATTTGGTGTGGTTTTGATTTCGTGCATACAATTTTGCAACTGAGATTATAATTTAGCACAGAACAAAAATCACATTTACTAGTATTAATTAAAAACAATGCAGTGACAGTTTAAGAACTTACCATTACCATAGCATCGGATATTCCACATATTGTATTGTAAAAATATGCTGCGATTGTTTCGTTTGTGATCATGAATTGTATCTTAGCTTAAATTTGTTTTTGGGATGAAATATCTATCATTATTTTTTTGGCGTTTCTTTGAATTCAGCAACTATAGGTTGACTTCTTTTTTTGTGGGGGTTTCTTTCATGCGCAGAGGGTCCTATATAAAAAAGTGAAGTTAACCAAGATTGCGTTTATTTTATTTACAGTTATCCTTTGCAGAGCAAAATATTTTATATTATCACTCTTATCCCAATTTAGAAAAGTAGATTAACTTTTTCAATATGGCGTAGTGCAAGACGCCGTGCGAATTCTCCGCGGCAGTAAACACTGCAATTTATATCACATATGGCAATGTAAACAGAGAGCCTACTAACAACATAGTAGAATATTCAACATGATTGCTATGCCGTGTCAACGAAGCGTTTCCGCAGATGTTACCCGTTACGTGAGGTTTCTGCAGACGTTTAGTGTGTATAATTTCATCCGAAATTAAGCACAAACCTGCGTTGCCGAAATGAGCATTGTATAAAAGAATTTCGAGTACATAGCAGTCACAACCCCGTTACAAAATTATTCTAAATTAAAACTACACTGTTAAAACAAGTATTTTTATTATTTTTGCTTATTAAAACTTATTGAAGCAGCATACAGCTAGTACACTAATGTACAATCGCGAAGGCGTGGCTTTTAACAGATGTATACCATTACAGCTTACCAACAAGTGTGTTTGTCGTAAATTGTTGCATTGAAATTATGATACTCTGTATTGTTCGTGGCATCACTATTAAAGATCAAGACTCGTATACATCGTCGCCACCGCAATTTAGTTTCATTAAACGGAAACTCATGTCGACTATTTATATTAAATATTTTAAAATAAAACCAAATAATCTGTGTTCTTATTTTTATAATATTTTGTGATACGCATTAATTAACGTACGAAAAAGTTTTTAGAGTAAAGATCAACAAATCAAACGTGTTTCAACTCATCTATAACTACCTTTCAAGCTGGCCTTATTTTGTGCCCTCTATCGCTCCGAACGCTAAACATTTCTGCTATATTAAAAAAAGCTTCAGATATATTAAAAAAACACATTGAACAATGATTTTACTCGTAAACAAGAGTAATTTTATAAATACATTAAACTTCTAACATTACAATTTCTCCAAAAAAGAAAAAAAAAACATTAATTATATCATACGATACACGATTACATTTTAGCAACAGATTGAATAACATTAAAATTGAACCACAGAAAATACTTCAATTATTTCAAAATTGCTGTAGTAGTGAGAAGACAAAGTTCAAAGTCAAACCTTTTTGACTCAAAAGCAATTAGTTCCTCGAAAGAAGTTTAAATAAAATATGTATGTATAATATATTTTGCAGTTTATTGCTATGGCTTATATGTATTGTTTATTGAAGGATTTTGAATATACAATAAATATTTGTGCACAATTTTATTTAATTATTTATTCTACAAAAAAATAATCTGGAAACCTACACGTTAAACGGTAGGATCCTCGCACAATATAATTAAGTTAAATGGATAGGAATCTTTCGGGGAACGTAAACACTGACAAATATATAATTACACGAACAGCTAGTGAGGTAAAAGTAGTACAACTAAAAATAAAGAAAAAAAAAAACTAATATCGAACTTCCAAAGTTCATAAGGTAACTAAATGTAGTTTTTACATATTACGAAGAGCATAATTATTAATGATCGACTTAAAGTCCTAATTATTATATCTTCACTGGTTATATATTTTATGTATTCTCAACAAAGTTCCTATGCGCAAAGGGCTGCATCGACGTTAACGCTGGCGATTTTAATATCACTTGCAATAAGTTTTGAGCAGTAACACGTGAATCATATCTTTCGCAACAAATACTCATTGACATAAATTGAATGCACAAATCTGCGTCTTTCACTCAATAGCCTCATAGCTTCTGCGGAAATTATTATCAACGAAACTCGTCAAAGCAGCCCTGGTACATATGTACAATATACAACTTGTAGCATGCGAAAAAGTGTATTTGAAAAAATATATGATTATTTTGCTTAAACATATTCTTCTGGTAACTGTCTATTGTAAAGTGTAGTGTGCATCAACACCTAATTAAGTAAACATTTTTTTTAATAATATCGCTGAATATTTCGAATCTAAACATAAACATTTCATAACATAATCGCGGATTCAGCACACCGTCCTCCAAACAATCAAAACTTATTATTTTATGTACAGTCAAAAATAATTACTCACTATGGCAACACTGTTAACTGACAACAAGGTTATGTACTTGCAAACAAATCTGACGCAATTCGTCAAATCTCACTAACAAAACACTGAACAAAATAAAATACAATCAACCCGTAGCACTTATAATCGAAGTTAAAGTATCTCTTATATAACGCACACTTAAGGATGCCGACATCTGTCACTTTGACAGTCCTTCGGGTGTCGTGTGGCAACACAGTAAATTCACAGAAGTATCATTACTCTCATATAAAAGATTAAATGCTTCATCTATTGCCCTAAATTCTTAAATAACGTGATTTCTAATTGGGAAGTAAATATTTTTTTTGTGACTCGCTTAGAATTTACTCTTACGACATACTAAATAACTATAACATTGTACTCTAAAAAATATGTATAAGTATCGAAGGCTAATATGAGATTGTGATCACAGTAATTGTTTTTCAAGTAACGAGCCCACATCATTACTACAAAATAAACTTTCTTGCGACTATTACAAGTTTCATCTTTCCACAGACACGACACAATCGGACTACCCACATTATATATACACGAATTCGAAGGCAACATCAAGGTATACATTATTTATTGCTTTTGATTATCATTATGTACTCTACATATCACCACAGCTTATATACAATTTAATATTATGTCGTAGATATTGGAAATAACAAACTTTGAACTTTCGACGTGTTGTTCCAAAATCATTGTCGAGATGAAAACAACTTTCAGTCTCAAGGCGGTTGTAACAACATTAGTGCGCGGGGGGCGCTTTAAGTCTTTATTTTTTTTTTTACTTATTGTTTTCATAACAGCGACCGTGCAAACTGACACGTGTGTAAATAGTATTGGTACGTTTTAAGCTCTGTTATATTTGTTCGTATACAAGGTTGGTTTCACTAATATTAAAGTGCTGATTCGACTTTACGAGGTTATGTCATTACTCGCTACGGTTGTGTGATACAGATTATATATTCCTCTAGTGAGTGCGCATTCTATATAAATAATAATAAACACGTATCTACGGGCAGCACTAACAATCGCCTAATGACTTGCGTAATATTTTACCTACAATATACTCTATATAGTATATATAAATGCAATCTGTAAAATGCATAAAACAACAGTTATTATATCTATAAATTGTATAAAATATTAAATAAAATCTATTGAAGTGAGGTAGATGGATGGAATTTCACAATTTGTGTGGATTTTTTTTATTAATAACATCGCCGCATTGGCCCAAATGCTGAGGTAGTTGGATGGAATTACTATGTAAGAGGTCCTATTTTGTGATCGGGACCTTTACATATGTACAAAATCACTACTCACTAGTACTATCTACTAAATCAATCTCACAAGTGGCGAGTCGACCGTCTCGAACTAAGTGTTAATGCGGGTTGCGCTAGTGAATTATGGTTCCATGGTATCACAAGGGACGAACGTAATCTCGCTAGGCTGCGATGTCTCTAAGAGGCGGGCTCTCCCCGACGCCGTTCGCCGTGGAATCGTCTCACCTTCGAATTTGCTGTATCGGCGACAGCCGTCGTGGCACAGAGTAGGCCCTGCCGCAGAGTAGGCGCCGGTGCGGGGGGGCTAACGCGCGCCGTCTCACGAGGCGCCGTTGCGCTCGTCGTCGGAGTAGTCGGGGCGGTCGGGGCTGGCGTCGGGCTCGCCCGCGCCGTTGGGGCGCGCGCGCCCCTCGTAGCGGTCGCGGAAGTAGTCGTGGGCGCGGGCGGGGTCCTCGGCTTGGGCGGGGTCCTGGGCGTGGGCGGGGTCCTCGGCTTGGGCGGGGTCCTTGGCGTCGTGGCGGTCCTTGCCCAGGTCGAGCGGCTGCTCGGGCTCGCGCGCGATGTCGGCCCGGCCCGCGCCCTCCGCGTACTGGCGCTGCATCTGCTTGAGGAAGCGCTGGTGCGCCAGCGTGGTGGGCGGCGGCGGCAGCGAGCCCATCTGCGGCGACGGCTCCTCGTACGCCTTGCGCTCCGCGTGCAGCGCGTTCATCTGCGCCAGCTTCGCCGCGTTCATGCCTGCGTTTGGGCGAGGCGAGCGTTAATCGGGGTTCGAACGAATTGCACGAACGGGCAGCTCCGTCCGGGGACCCCTCCGACCGGGTTCCCGCCTTGACGTGGCGGAGGGGCTTAGTAGCCGTGGCTCGGTCACCCACGGTGAAGCTAAGATGAACCCACACTGGGCCGGCCTGTGGTGTAAGACCAGCCCTAGAAGGCCGCTCCGAGTGGGCTCCGTTGACCCCACTATGGATGCGTGCTGGAGTGTTCAGGAGACAGGTTGAGGGTGGTGGAGGAGGACCCACTCTCCGTCTTCTGTTACCGAGGAAGAGTCGCGGGGAAGAGTAGTGCCGGTATTGCGTTTGGTCGCTCTCCCTATCCCCGCGACTCGGCGGGACTGCACCGCTGATGCAGTGGTAGTGGGGCCGCGGGGGGAGAGGAGTGTCGGTATTGCGGTGCGCCGTTCTCTCTACCCTCCGCAGCCGAAACGTGGTGAGCGGCGGAGCCACAGACCAGGACCGCCGTTGGGGGCTGGGAGGCATGCTGCTTTTTAGCACTGGCTGTCCTGGCTCCCATGGCCCCGGTCAGCGAACTCGGGGGAGTTCGTTGACCTTGAAAATGGGACCGAGTAGGAAGGCACGCTGAATGTTCCAGCGCGCCTTACCTGGTCGAGAGGGGATTTGATCCCCGAGAGGGGGCTAGCGCTAACAGGGTCGCGGAAGAGTGCGATAGCGTTCCCGTTACCCTGCCGATATGCGCCTAGTTGGAACATCGTGGGGTTTTAGTCGGTGCGAGTCCGACCATAACCCGCTCTTGCGTAGGCATTTTCCCACGTAAACAAAAAAAAACAGGTCTGTCCGGGGAGGTACCGCGGTATACTTCTGCGTTTCTTCTGGTGACTGAGGTGACCGGAGCCCACTTTGTTAAAAGGTATAAACGGCAACGCATCCTACGGGTATTGCAAATGTCCATGGGCGACGATTATCATTTAACATCTGGTGTAACTCCAGCTCGCTTGTCACCTTCTCACACAAAATAATGTGATTTAGTTTTCAGCTTAAATTAAAGCACAGTAACAACGTATATGTCCCTCTGTTGGGCAAAAGCTCTCTGCACAGATGGCATAGTCCATTCAGTTTGGCAACATTTTAGCCTTTTCCCTATCGTAATAATAATAGCGTTTCTCTAAGAAAGAGCAACTGACCGAATACGTTCTCGCCAATGTACTGCAGGTAGGTGTCGAGTATGGCGGAGCCGCCGCCGAATCCCGGCGGGTAGTCGTCGTGCTTGACGCCGCCCAGGCCGTGGGGGAGGCTCTCCACCGCTTTGGCGCTCACCGCGCGCACGGCCGGCACCTTCGTGATGGTCGTGTTCGTCAGGTTGTTGATGTCTGCGGAACGCGAAGAGACAACTTTTGAGAACGGCTAAGGTGGGTACGAACTGCCTCTCAGAAAACCGATGCGAAGTAGATTTACGTTTCGCCCCGTCTTTGGTAACCCCAGTATTGTAGAATTAAATCTTGGTTACTTCACATAGCAGGAAAAAGGAAAAAGTATAACACTTCTACTTCATGGGTCATGGTACTTCCCCTTCGCCTACTCTTTCGTGAATAGTAGAAGCTGCCGTCCACGAATGACTTAGTTCATGGCATCATGCATTAAGCATTGCTTGGCCATAACATAAAATTAAGACGCTTCACGCCATAGAGAAACATAAAAGAGCGAGGGTGGACGCTTACGCGGCGGCGAGAGCGCCAGGGCGTCCTGGTAGCGCGGCTGGCTGAGGTCGTCGTGGTCGTTGTCGCCGCAGACGGAGCTGCCCTCGGAGGCGGCCGACTTGGCGTCCAGCTTCACGTCGGAGCGGCGCGGGCCCGTGGGCGACGCGCGCGCCCGCAGCTGCTCCGGCGACACCTTCACGCCCGCCTTGGCCAGCAGCCTGCCGAACAACGGTGCAGCGCTCGACATTTGCCACTCGTCCGGCACGAAGGACCAAAAGTTTTATTTTCTAAAACGTTGATGCAGGATTTCAAATCTCTTTGCAAGTTAATTTGAACGGTGGTAATATAGAAATGAGAATGAACGGAGTGACAGAAACCGTTAATCCGGTTAGAAGGACCAACAATTTATATTTATAGCCTGTTGAAAGGGTCGAAATATTTGAGTGAGAGTTGGAGCAGTGATTGTGTGCTGCGAGTACTTACTGGCTGGCGAGCTCCGGGTCGAAGCGCGTGGGCATCTGCAGAACGGGCAGGTCCTTGGTGGAGATGCCGCGGTGTTGGCGCGACATGTGCGAGTGCAGGGAGTTGCGCGACTTCGCCACCGTGCCGCACAGCACACATCTGGGGAATACACCGTATTTTAGTGCTGGACAACGATTGTTGACAACTTAATTCTTCACAAGTTCTTATGATGATGTGTCCTTTGTTGTACATTTGTTTAAAGTCAATACCATTTCATTCAGGTCAATTTTTTTTTACGACTCAAACGGCGTAGTTGGCAGTGTACCTGTCTCCTGCGCCAGAGGGCGATCCCCACTATTGGAAAAATATTGTGTAATGAACATAGTTTTCTAGCGGTGTTTAACTGTTTATATATGTGTAATATGTATTTATTTACAAAAGTAAAGTATGTTCAAGTATGTTTATCAGTTATATAGTACCCATAGTACAAGCGTTGCTTAGTTTGGGACTAGAGAACGTCGTGTAAAAATATTATTTTTGATAGATATTTCGATCGAAATGGCACTAGCCTTGGTGGTCGCAAAGGTTCAAAGTACCCGCGTATGCAGACAGTGCGTGAACTGTGTCGGAAGCGCCAGCCGTGCTCACCGATATCCCGGGCAGACGGTGTGCTTGTCCTCGAGGTGTGTGCGCAGCGTGTGCGCGGAGCGGTAGATCTTGCCGCACTTGGGGCACGGCCGGGGGTCCGTGGCGCGCACGCGCAGCAGGTCCTGCGTCCGCCGGCAGCCGCCTGCCACACACCACTACGTCACTACCACGCCCCACCACGCTCCCACACGATCCCGCCACCCGGCCCTCCCGCACTCACCTGCTCTCGCCGATCCCGACCAACGTTCGGGGTTAGTGGGGTTAGTTTTGCGGGACTCGTTCGTCCAAATGAAAACGCATTCGGTTTCTACTTCGTAGTTTTATTGTATGTTTATATAAGCAGACATTTCCTCTCTGGTTGGAGGATGGGTAAAAATTAAGTTATTACGTATATATCGTATCACTAATACATAATCGCAACTAGAATCGTTTACTCACATCGAACATTTGGTTATTGAGATGCCTAGATTTACAATGTTTTACACTTAAAAATATCAATACTTCATAATAATTAAGATATACGACTTTGCCTCACAGGCGTCAGGAACAATTTCAATCTACTCGCTAAAATTTACCAATATTTTATTCGTCATGGAGATCTATGGCAACACTTTCTATCGCATATATTTTTAAAGGCCACCTTATATTAGCCAACGCAGGCATTCCCGCCTTTTCAGTCTTATCGACGTCCACCATGTCACAGTTACTCGATCACAATTCTCAATCCATACGGATTGCAGGAGCAGGGGAGCATTTATTATTTATTATCTGTTACTATCACTAGCAGCGGACTTAAATCAATCAGAATGATATATCGTAGTGATTATCAGTGTTCATTTCGGGTCCGCAAAAATATATTTAAATCTCTAAATTGGTGGAGTTTCGGGGTAAAAGTCATTAAACATTTCAATCTTACTTACAATCTAATTAATTGGAAGCGCATTAAACAGTGGTAAACCTTAAAACAACGCGAGGTTAACACGATGTCAACCTTTCGCAAAAATCGAAAAATATATGCGACGGAAACTTGCTCACATATGTACAACACTAATTGTTAGTAAAATCCATCGTATATCTCTTTCGCTCCTCTACAATGACTAGATATGTGTTATATTGTGCACTTTTGCTCGCAGGCCGTCACGAACGAACACTTACAAAAAATAAACACTCTATATATGGAAGTAAACGTACGCTAACTATTGCATGTAATAAAGGCATTCCGAGTTTCTCTTTAATCTATTTCGTATTGTCTTATCTATGGTCGAAAATATAGGGGCGTGTACGGAAGAAATGGCGCCGGTAAGATTGTCACTTTAGGAACTGTCAATTGTTGTTTGTCGAGTCTAATTCTATTATTTTAATGTGTGAAACGAATGTACGATGTATGCAGGTATAATGCATAAAATACTGTTTAATCCTGTAAGCAGGAATCACTCGATATTGCTGTAATATTTCTATTTGGAAAATATCACTTTGCTCGCATGCGAAATATAAATGCAGGATAATATAAGAGTAATGTTAGAGTAATGGGAAATTTCGTATCCTATTCTACTTTATTTAACATACCGCTTCCCCTTTGAGTATGGTTAAGAAATTTCTTGGGATTAGGAAACAATAGCCACGTATAAATAACTAAAATTTCACTCGACATAATATTATGGTGAACCTATAAGATATTTACGAAACCGGCAAAAACAGATCCGTAAAAGGAATTGCGAGACGCGCGTACGAAGGTATACGGTACACGAGGGTCGGAGCAACAATGGAAGTGAAAGACGCGTTCGGAGAGCGGGGGAGCGGGCGCACTTCGTAACCTACCAATGGCACCGGTCATCGCGAGTTACCACGCGCGTAATCGACTACAGCTAAGACGGTTACAAAAATATAGGGCCCGGGGGCGGGGGCTCAGTCGGTCCAGCCGCAGCCCCACTTGAGCGTCTTCATGCGCTCCCACTGGCGGCGGTGCTTGAGGCGCATGTGGTTGCGCACCGAGTTGGGGTGCGCGAAGAGGCGCGCGCACGCCGCCACGGGGCAGCGCGGGGAGTCGCGCGGGTAGTGCGCGGCGAGGTGCGCGCGCGCGGCCGGCGCCGAGCGCAGGCGCCGCGCGCACAGCGGGCACTGCGCACCCGGCGCACCTGCAAGGCACGGCGGCTCAGGGCGGCTCAGGGCGGCTCAGGGCGGCGCGGGGCGTGCGGGCGGCGGGGCGGCCTACGAGCTCTGCCGCTGGCGGATGCCGTGCGCCTGCAGCTGGTGGTTAATCAGGTAGTGCTTCGTCTTGCACCTCTTGCCGCAGTGGCCGCACGGGAACCACTGGTCGCGGTCCGTCTGCGAGTGCACGTTCAGCATGTGCTGGCGCAGGTTCGAGGTGGAGGAGTAGACGCGGCCGCAGAGCGGGCACTGCGGCCGGTAGCCGATCGCCGCCCCGCCCGCCAGCGCCGCCCCTGCAACACGGAGGCGGCGGTTAGAGCGTGGGAGGGGCCGCGGGGCGGTGCGCGGGCGGCGGGGCGGCGTCCGGGTCCGCAGGCGCCGGCGCCTCTGGGGCCGCTTCGGGTTGCCGCCGCTGCTGTAGCGCTTGCCGCAGGCGGACGCGTTCGGTGCGCCTCCCCTCTCCCTCCCGCTCGCCCCCTCGCGCCTACCGCCCTAGCCGCCGCTCTCTCGCTCGCACCTCCGCGATACGCGACCGATACGTAACTTCCATCGTTGCTACGGCCCTACTCGCCCTACCGCCCTACCGCTCTACCGCCCTACCGCCCTACCGCCGTAACCCTACGACGTACGCTCCGCGAGGTGCACGCCCGCCTAGCCTCGTGCTCGTTTCGATACGTGTGAGATACGTGGCCGATAGATAGAAGATTAATTGCTAGCGTCATGTTATAGTGTTAGTAATCAAACAAAGTTAGTGCGATTGAGAGTTCACTCACCGAAATTATCTGGTATCCCGGAAGGTCCCGGGAGTCCGGGGAAACCTGAAAATAAATAGGTCAAATTCAGTTCACTCCCATACAGATCGAGTAAAGCTATTAAAACGATGACCGTTCATAGTATACGTAATGAATGTTTAAACAAACAAGGATATAATCCAACAAGTAACGGATGCATGTGCCAATTGAAAATCTCTAAAAGACCGGGAAACAGGTTGGTGGAAAGGTCCGAATCGAAGGTCGGAGGTCCAGCTCCGGTCCGGCTGTGCGCCCAAGCCTGGCGCGGCTTACCGGGCAGGTTGAGCAGGCCGGGGAAGTTGTGGGGCAGCGCGCCGTTGGTGTGCGCCAGCGCGGCGGGGTCGTCGTAGTCCAGGGGCTCCTGCTTGGCGCGCGGCTCCCCTTCCGCGTCGCTCGCGCCCGCGTCCGATGATGACTCCTCGCCCTCGCCCTCACCAGAGCCCGACTGGAAACAACGCTTCTTAAGTCTCTCTTCTCACAGTCCCCCTTAACTGTGGTATAACTCGCCTTCACCAGAACCCGACTGGAAACGACGCCTCTTGAGACACAGTCCTTTTAACTGTGGCGGGGCCACGCAACTGTTGCACGGATGGGCAGGTCCGTCCGTGCAACAGTTCCGAGTGAAAGTGTCATACTATCTGCGTTTCGTCTGGTGACTGAGGTAGCTGGGACCCACTTTATTTAAAGGTGGCAACGCATCTGCTTCGGGTGTAGCAAATGTCGATGGTTTGTCATCTTCTCACATAAAAAAACTTATTCATCACACTTATTAATCATTTGAATCACACTTATCGTCGATAACCCAAGCCGCTCTACGTCAAATGGAAGAAGCTGGTAATGGGGGACCACCGACCCAGAGATGAGAGCAGTACTCCATAGAGGCTTAGGCGATGAGCAGACGTAAAGTATCGTCTCGAGCTGAGCACACCAAGCTTCTTTGAGGGCAATTTGGCCTACCCTCCAATTGACTGCGTAACTCGGACGTTGCTCGCGATTTTGGCGCCAAGTATTCCGATACTAGCTGTGGTAGTCTGGGGAGTGGTCCCCAGAGAAATGAGGAGTTACGGCAAATGGGGACTTTTGAGCGGTTAACACGCAAACTTGCGTCTATTTGGGGTTAAATTGGACTAAGTTTAGTCGACCCCAGTCTGAGACTTTGGTTAAAAAAGTCTCGACTTTAGACACAAGCTAGTTCCGGATAAAAAAATCGTCCAGTTTTTAAGATACTGCACAAAAAGCTAAATCCGATGCCTTTAGAGATAACTTATCGGGTATTCTCAGAAGACTCATCTTAGAACATAAAAAAACTAAGGCAGTAATATAATTATGTAAATATGCAAAACGACATAACAAATAGGCAAAATTAAATAGAAATTTCAAACATCCGTAGGTTTAAAGCACACTTAAGAGACAAAATTTACGATGTTATGAGATTAATATGCTAATTTCCTGTCTAATCTCAACATGAATCTTAAATAGCTTATTTCTAGTTCAAAATCTACGAAGTAATGGACAATACATAGGCGTTGAACTAAGGATGTGGGATGACACTTGCTCGACACTTGCAAGTTTCATCGCTAATGTTGACTTTATGCTAATTTTTATTATTCTGAAAGCTACCGAACGTCTTTATATTGGCGAAATGTGAACAAGCCTAAAATTTGTCAACTTTTGTCGACTTATTCCTCGCTTAAAAGGTAGCCGTAAAATCTATTATAAAGATATCAGTAAAGGTTAATGAACTTAAGTGAGTTCATTTGTGTTTGTGAGTTGACTTTGAGGACTCGAGGTTGTAGTCGTGAAAGCGGAGAAGAAGAGATATCCAGTTGCAGATAAAAACGAACCGTTTCCAAATTTCATAACATCATTGAAGGATATTCGAAAGATCACAGAGTTAGCAAGTGTGTTGCAGTTCCTCGAAAGAGGTAAAACCTTGGATAATGAAATGGTGAGAGGCTTATACGATTATTATAAGATATTATATTACGGTGCGAGTCTGTTGTGAGGTGTCTAAACCAGCCAGCATTGACAACTTTTGGAAGCTAGTCAGGATTTGCGAAACGAACTCAATTCTCGTTGTCGCAGCACTGGCAGCAAGCAACATATAAGTGGACGAGCTACTAAGCAGAACAGCACTATTCCAGCTTGGCGGACGAAGAGTTGAGGGTTGTATTGCGAACCCAAAGATCGTATCTACCAGCAGGCTGATAGCTTCAGGTCAGGCAATAATAAGTCCAGAATTGAGCGCAGCGTTAATACATCGTTTGTTGGGACAGACAATTGTTCCCTGTAAGATGTTCCGCAAAATCGACGACCTGAAAAGCGGACTCACCAGGTTGTTGGAGACGGCGGAGAGGTGGGGGTTCTGGGCGGCGTCGAGCGCGTGCCCGAAGAGGGCCAGCTCGTGGCCGTTGGTGGGCAGCCCGTCGGGGCTGGCGCCCTGCGCCGCCAGCAGCTGCTCCGTCCTACACCCGTAAATCGTACGTCTTGTGAGCACGGCGGCCGGAGCGATTAAGCTTGTCTTTTTTTATGTTAAAAGTTGCCAAGCGAGCAGACGGTTCACCTGATGTTGAGTGAATACCGCCGCCCATGGACATCTGCTACACCCGAGGGCTCCAGATGCGTCGACAGCCTTTTGAAAATTGGGCTCCGGCCACCTCACTCACCAGACGAAACGCGAAAGTAATATACTTCCACTTTACAGCGGTCTTTTGTGAGGTTGTACTTACCCGGACGTGCCTGCCCATTCTTGCAACAGCCGAGGCTGCTGCGTGGCACTGCCACCGTGAAATATTTCATTTGTCTGGTCGACAAATGTCATTTCTATCGGAGGGGGTATTCATATTTCTCTCAAACGCCACATATCGGGAGAAATTGGCCTGTGTAGTATTGTTTTATTAATTTTAACCGTGGCAGGGCCACGAAGCGGCCGCTACTGTTGCACGGATGGGCAGGCTCGTCCGGTGAAGTACCACAGAAGACCGGCGTGAAGTGAAAGTATTACAGTATCGCGTTTCGTCTCGTGAGTGAGGTAGCCGGTGCCCACGTTTAAAAAGGTTGTCATTATATCTACAAACCCTCGGGGGCTATAGATGTTCATGGGCGGCGGTAATCACTTAACATCGGGTGAAACGTCTGCTCGCTTGACAAACTTTTACATAAAAAACCCGTTATTTCTAGCTTGTTCTTCTTTAAATGTGGATTCCGAAATTCACTGTTTCACGGGAAGCATGCGTTTTTCTACGACAAAAGTAGTCTTTATTACTACGCCTATAATATTTGTTATCATAATTGTCTCTGTTTATGAACTCTTTACTCCAGTGTTCCATAGAATTAGTAAAACACATTCGCATATATAATATTGGTGGAGATAGCACCTTCGGCAGTTTAAGATAAATAAAACAAATGGGTCAATTTCGTTTGATTTAATTACCTAATGTTTTTCTAAGAGTCGATTTAACTTCGAAATTGGCGTAAAATCCCAATTGCCAAGTTCACCTACAAACATATGTTGTTAATGTTTCGTAACACGCCTATCTGAATAAATCAAAATATCTATATGCAAATATGTGTCTTTTATGCGCATATAACAATTTTATCCAACACAATTGACAAGTAGTCGTATATTTTTTGAATATTTGCTTTAAATACCAACGTTCGTTGTTAAAGTTTTGCCAAGACTTATGTTATGCCTTACATAAGACTTGAAAGTTCTACACCATCATATACTCAAATCTGAACAAATGGCAATATAATGTTAAAAACAAGTAAAATATCATTTAAAACACAACTAAATAACCCGACTGCGTTTCTGTTATTTTGATATACCCAGTGTCACTATCACAGTAAATACGAATCTATCGACACCTCTCAAGCTAAAATTCATCAAGCCGTTCAGGCTGCAGAGCGTGCCAAACAATTATACATACAAACATACATATATACTCTCGAAAAACATAACCCTCCTTCTGGCGCAGTCGGGTAAAAATGGCGAAAATTGAGAACAAATTGGTTGAAGTTAATCATATTTGTTAAATAAGTAAAAAATTGTTAATTGATTCATCTTAAGTAACATCTATACAGAACATCTGCGTAGAACAGAACGATTCAATGTCAAAAAGATAAAAAAAGTTAAAACGGCCATTACCAAGAGATATAAAAAACCGCAATTATATTTTGCAGCGTTAAAGGCTGCCATTACTTCGCCAGGGCAAGAATATCCTGAACGGGTACGTGCTACATAAAACCAATCGATTATGTCTGCACGAGGAAAATGCAATGAAGCTTTGCGAGCGCCCGGACATCGATGGGTTTTGCATATTCGAAGCGTTTCGGATCTCGAATCGACTGGGAGCGTCTGAACGCTTTAAATAGTAATGAACACATCGCTTTGTGGACGGACGCGGAGTGGTCTTTAAATTCCTTTTGCAGCACTTTAGCCAGGGACATTGCCTGTCTATATTTTGGTATTAAATAGATTAGTAGTAAATTTCTATCGCCGATTTGAACCAATGACATTTACGGCCGGTTTCAATATTCTATCTGTAGATTTGTTAACTAGCCATAGGTATTAGACATTAGGTCCATAATACTTACATAAAGAAAAAAAAATTTATTAATTCAAATTTTATCTAACGTAACCAAATGTACTGATAGATAGAATATTGAAACAGGCGGTTAGGGATATCAAAAGTTCTGATACGTAGTTTACTTTCTGAAGAAATGCCCAAAATAAAAACTACATATTTGCATACATACATAATGTGGCACATAATTATTAAACCGAATAAAGCTATTTGAGTTGAAGTCTCTCCACTCCTTCGGTTTAGTATTAACAATATTGGACCGCAACGAAGGAAGCGCGAAATTCGAAGAGTGAATAGTGACTGTGAATGATGAGTGAATGATAACTGAGGTTGGTGAATACTAACTGAGGATGATGAGTGAACGATGATTGAGGTTTATTTATTTATTTTTATTTATTTACTTATTTGCCATTACACAAGGTACAATTTAAGATGGTACAATTATAATTATTTTTAGTTTCACTTGTATAGCCATTTATAAATAGCATGCAAATATAAATTAGTCAATATTACAAAAAATATATGCGGTAAAGTCATTTCATTGAAGATTCTAAGTTTAAATTTATATAATAATAATCAAATAATAACAATAATTAGCCTATACCATAAATTGAAATAATTGGTGAATACTGACTGAGAATGATGAGTAGATGATGATTGAGGTTGGTGAATGCTGATTGAGGATGATGAATGAACGATGATTGAGATTGTGTGGAGTCAGGGGTGGTTGTTGGTACGCACCTGGTCTTCATCTGCGCTTGGTAGAGGTCCGAGGAGCGAGCCCTTTTGGGGGGCGGCGTGCTGGCCGCTCCGTCCTCCGCGCGCCGCGACCGCCGCCCCTCCCGCCCCTCCCTCCCTGGCGCCCTCCCGCGATACGCTGCCCTCCGTCCACGACGACGCGGACTGCGGGGATACCGGGTTCAATTCCGCTGCACCCCACTTTTGGGCTGCGGTGCAGCTTTGGTGAAACACTTATGGTGCATGTTACTTCGTCGATACCTCACCACTATCGATTTTGTGATGAAAGTATACAGAATTGACAATTAACTGGGGTCATAATGGAAGTTTTGTCCTTACTGGTCTCTGAGATATGCCACGCGAGGAAGCTTTATTTAACCACACCGTCATTTAATACCCAATCGGTAAGCATGTGAATAAGTAAATGCAGCTTTATGCTATTTCAAAAAAACGCTTAATGCTGATGCGATACTCTTCTCTAAATTTTACTAGAATCATGGAATGTTTAATTTATGTACACATTTTTATATTCAGTTAAATAGTTTATAATTTAGTAAGTGACTTTGCATATATACGTTATCAAGTTGTTCAAGTAAGTATACACAAGCCTTTACTTAATTTAGCTGACGTAATACAGAACAGTCAGTGAAACTGTTCACTACTTAGACATTGCAAAGTTGGGATTCAGATTTACGAAGTTCTTACATTGAAACGACTTCATATACGCGGATGTAGTCTCACTCCACTCGATGTAGAGACATGAGGCTTGTTGGTACGTGGTATTACTGGTAAGGTAAACCACATTCAAGTGAGATTAGTCACGATGGTGTTGGGAAAGCGAGCATCGCGGATGGTGCGTCATCGATAGGCGAATTTCTCTTATTATGTGGATCGTTTGCGCGGATGACGCGAGTCGAGCGTCGTATGAAATCACGCGGTCCTTATATGCTATTTAATTGGGCTGTCTAATTTTTCTACATATAGCTGGTCCGCCATTTCAATTGACCGTTGCGGTTGGCATCTAGTATTGATTAGCTGGTTCCGAGTACTCTCCGTCTGTACTCACGTACCAGTTGAGCATTTTGCATGTCATGAATTTTGCATTTTATCGTACCAATCTAATGGAGATTAGGATAGTAAATTTGTATCGCTATTCACTGGATATCACAACAGTGATTCGAAAAGATGCCACCTCCCTTTGTAATTTTTGATGAGTGAAGTGTTGGACAGAAAGGAACATAGACTCATGAGTATTTTCGATATGGTAAATTACTTCGTCGAAAAGCAAAACTTGTTTCGCTTGGCGTGGACACAGCTCATACATTAGACACTAATTACCGCGTCATGATAGAGCTGGTTGAGTTTTTTTTGTAAATCTAGTGATTCACGAAATGGCTAATGTCAATGACATCGGATTAGGCATTTGCGGGGGTGTCTACATCCGTATCTTCCCATAAACAGCGTATGCCCATTCATATGAGAGTTTGCTGCAACGGGACTTGCGCAGTTAGCATAATGAGGATAATTATCCTGAGAGAAAGATTTTTTCTCAAGTATATTAGGGTTCATGAGACACAGTCTAGTGACAGACAGAGAGCGGAATCTTAGAATATTATTTTTTTTGGTTTTCCAGAAACTGCCGAAAGTTTAACCACTTTCGGCGGCTTAGCTTTTTGATACAGGCAACGAGTCTTAGTAATAGTCCCGTTTAAAACTTCCCGGGTACGGAACCCTTAAAAGAGTGCTCACCGGCGAGGGTTTCTGCTCCAGGTTGGGCAGGGGCGCGGGCGCCGGCGGCGGCACGTCCGTCAGCCCGCGCACCTGCAACAGCTGCGCGGCGCGGAGGAACTCCTTCAGCTGCTCCTGGCCGATGTGCACCTCGCCCTGGTACATGAACCTGTGGACGCGAGCGCTTACACACCGATCTTCGACACGGACTTACAACGGGCAATTTGAAAATGGAACGGTAGGTTTAAAAGGCGCTTCCAGAGTTTTAATTCGTTTTGTATTTTTTTTTATGTGAAAAGTTGCCAAGCGTGCGGGCGGTTCACTTGATGTTAAGTGAATGCTGCCCATGGGCATCTGTTACGCCTGGGTTAATATATGCCTTGACAACCTTTTAAAAAGTGGGCTCACTCATCAGACGAAACGCGAAAGTATTATAGTTCCACTTTATGCCGGTCTTCTGTGAGGTCGTGGTACTTCCCCGGACGGAACTGCCCATTCGTGCAACAGTGAAGTCTGTTGCACTAATGGGCATGTTGTTCTAAATTTCATTTCCACTGATTTCCTTTTCATTGATATCTTCAGATTATTGTAACAGTTCGATGATCGATAGAAGAAATATGGAAACATTAGAAAATAGACATTGGATGATATTCAAACCCATGTTACAGTATTTGCTGGAAATACATGCGTTCTAATATTGGAACTGATAAAAAAATTTATGTTGCTCACGAGTACTGTTAGAAATGAACATAACACATAACTCTGTGGATGTACTGACCTGAGTAAGCTCTCCATATCCTTATCGTGTACATCCCGCAAGATGACGATGGGATGCTGGCACGGGTTGGCCTTCAGTAGCCTCCGGAAGTATGGACTGCAGGCCGACAACACCACCTGCCAACATATACTTAATAGAGTGATCGTGAAGAGTAACCGAGTCTGGAGATTGTGGTTTCAAACAAATTCGAGTCAGCCCCAGAATTTAATGATTTGTCTTTTCAAGCCGAGACCGGTTCCGACCTCAGAAGACAAGTGGCCGATTAAAGGATTAATTTTTGAAAAGTCATAAATACACAAGTCAATAAATGTTCGACAAATATTCGGTTTAAGATAAACTTAACTAAGCGATAAAGATTTTCTTTGGATTTATTGAATGTTAGGGAAATTAGGTCTCCTATTTTTGCTTACCCCGACAACTAATAAGTCCTGAGATCCTGTTATCCAAATGTAAAATTGAGCGTAGTTAAAAGAGTGGTGTTGAGTTCCGACGTTACAAAGTCTTTCACCTCGACATAACTAAATTCTGCTTAAGCCAACCAAGATTTTCAGTATCTGTCAGACATTCTTGAAGTACTTTAATGTCGTGGGAGATATAAGTTATTTTTATATACTCAAATTACGCGAGGATGAACATTCAGATACGGAACAGGGATATTGTGTTTCATAAATACTTATTCCTTAAAAATATCAAACTATATACATAAAATATGTCTTAACACTGCTGAGTTCTTATTTGTACAATGAGTATTAGACAACCTGTATATATCTTTGAACAATTCGTAATTATTTCCGAATCGGTTACCTCGCGATGTTTTCCATCACAGATAAGAGCACATGGTAGAACAGCACTCAAAATTGTAGTCCCATTTTAATTGGTGCCGGCAGCGGAATTCAACTCTGGTTGCTTGAGTGTACTGAATTAATAGCAGGCCCTACTACTGAGGTATCACGGCCTTGCACATTATTCCGTATGGGAATCGAACCTAGTACCTGTGGCGAAGCCAACAGCTGAGCAACTGGGCCAAGCTGTGTCCATTACAAATTCTGCACGTCATCATCATGCTAACAGAGGCGTGGCTTTGAAGTTCGACGCAGTTTATCCAAATTGAATGCAATATAATCTTTTGCATGTATAATGTCAGGGAAAGAACATCTAATTTCCAGTATCTGTCTCTGAAATTGTTTTTCCTTTATACTGTGGTAGGGCCACTCGGCAGCTTCTGCTGTTGCACGAATGGGCAGGCTCGTCCGGAGTACAGCTTAAAACAGAAAGCCGGCGTGAAGTGAAGGTATTATTTCACTTTCGCGTTTCGTTACGTGAGTGAGGTAACCGGGGCTCACTTTTTTAATAGTAAGCAACTTATCTGCGATTCGTCAGGTGATGTAGATGTCATGTGCGGCAGCACTTAACATGATGTTAACCACCAATTGCCAATTATTCAGATAAAAATGTACTAAATATTTTATACTAAGTGGGGAGACTCCACCCCTTGGGGAATAAGTGGTGAAAATATTAAATCTCAGTTGTGTTTTCGAATTGTAGCTTCATTCAAAAGTAGTTTGTGTTTCTTTCAGTCAAAACAGTGAATCTATAGTCATTCGTTTCATCGATATCGGTATATTCTCTTTCTTCTCTTCATACGCTTTCTTACATGCGAATAACATAAGAGAATGGGGAATAGAGATAGATTGAGTGCAGAGAAAGAAACTGAAGGTTACGTCATTTGTGTATGTCGAATGTTGTAATGTAGACGAAAACTAATTGAGAGTGTAACGTTAGCTGAGAACTATTAACTACGTTATATGTGTGTACGTTTTACCAGCATTCGCTCGGGAAATTGAAATGTCGCTGTGCCGTTACCATTGAACTAGCAGTGAGCGACGTAAACAGGCGAAGTTAATTCAGTTTTGCAGACAAACCATAGTCGAAATAAATTAAGTCCGACGGTATGTCAGACTCGTATAGGAGTTTAAAGTTACGTAAAACAATTCAATTCGTCAGGGGATAATATTTTTTATGTTACAGTTAGCTAGCGGGCGGTTCAACTGATGTTAATTGAAAACCGCCGCCTGTGGACATCCACAACACCCGAAGAATTGCAGATACGTCGCCAATCTTTGGAGAAGATGCTTCAGTTACCTAACTCACCAGACGAAACTCGAAATTATATTACCTCCACTTCACGCCGTCTTCTGTGAGCCTGTGGTACTTTTAAACAGCAGAAGTTACCGTGTAGCCTTACCTTATAAAAAATTACGGATGTCTGTTTTCTACACTTCTCTTTGAATCTTTTACAAGTTTTACATCCATATGCGCATATTAAGGTTATTTCTTAGGCCACCATCAGTATATCGTCAGCCGATATAATTTTGTCGAGGGTGTTAGTTTTTCAAACAAATTGGCCCATTGAACTGTTTTTAGATACTTCTGTCCTTTATGATTTATAACAAAATATAAGTGACTGGCGGAGCTTTAATAGTCCTAGGGACAAAGCGACACGAACACGACAATGGAAATGTCGATTATGAAGCCATCGGTTGTCCTTTCACTACTCTGTGGCTTTGGAAAGGTTATAAGAACAATAAATGGAGCAGATCTATCATTGACCGGAAGCTAAAGGTGAGTCTATTTTCTGGCGCAATAGAAAATAACTCCAACTCACACACTCCTACGCAAATAACTCAATTAGGAGTTCCGATTGTGGACTGATGTTAACATATTAAAATTTTCACGTATTTAACTTTAGTTTGCATTTCCTTCTAAGGTTCGATGTACAGTATGCTTGGATAAAAAAGATGGTTGACCGTGGGGTAAGTCTTACACCAGAAGACCAATACATCGTGAGCACTATGTTGAGAAATGGACATCACAAATTGGCTGTTGAAATTCCATACAGGATTCAATTTCAAAATTCACCACGACAATGTGAGCTTTGAAACAATTCAACATTCATATTTTTGTGTTTGAATTGTCATGCTCATATAAAGTCTTATAGGCTAAAAATGGTGGGGAACTTCTCAGATAACATTGATTTGCCAGGTTACGGTTTTCTGCAGGGCACGTCCAATGGACAGACGGTCGAGGTCCGTTTTGTTGATACAAGTTACAAGATTTTTTTAAGTCTTTGCATATTTTAACTAAAATTAATTTGTATTCAAAACGTTTACTATTCGTTCATCATTTAATTTGAATTCCTCTATGTATTAATAAGTTATCTAGAAGATACTACAGTTTCCCGAATTAATTTTAGATATTTAAGGAACTATATATAAAGTTATCGTAAATGAATGACAAAGTGCTGTGTTAACTATATGTAACATTGCCGCACAACATAAAACATTGTTATTATGTATATGTATGTGTAATAAAAAAAGGAAACTAAAAGAACATGAATGGTAAAAACCTTATCAGTGACATTATTGTCGACGGACAGAGCACTGGAGCTAATTCTGTCGCCTGTAATCGATTTTGAAGCAAAATAATTACTGTCAATAAACAGGTAAACAAGAAACTTGTCATGAATTTTAACGCATCCAATAGCTAATACTGAACCCGCAGTATTGGTAGTAATCGCGACATGTAGAATGACTGAAGCTGTAAGCAAGAAATGGCAATTGGTGGTTCGCCTTAGCGGGGGAGTATTCGGCCAGCGTGACGTACCTTGTGGGCGGAGAAGGTGGCGCCCGCGCACGCGAGCGTCACGTCCACGAAGTCCTCCTCGTCGCGCAGCCGCCGGAACGAGGAGACCATGGCCGAGTGGAAGTCGTTCCATCGCAGCGAGTACTGCTGTTCGGCCGCGGCGCCGCCTGCGCACACACGGTCACTCGCACTGTAATACGCGACACTGGCTGTGCGTGCGCGGAGAGTGGGCCGGTTAGACTGTTCCGCTAGCCAGCGTGTCGGCGGGGTCGGGGGTCGAGGCTTCGATTCCCGCGCGGGTCAACTGTTTGTGGGACGGGTGGTTGTTGCGCATCTGGGTGGTGTCCGCGTGAAATTTATGTTCGTAAAGTGTGCTTACAACACGGGATAATGTTATCTTAAAACTAAGGGAATTTAAAAAAAAAAAAAAAAAAAAAAGAAAAGACCCAGGGAGCTGAGGGAAGGCTGAGCGGACGGGGAGTAATAAATAATAATATTTTAGGACACATTTTTACATGTCGTACTCTTGTACCAAACTAAGCACTATGGCTGCTGTGGGTAAACATACTTTTCTTTTGTAAATAAATACACATCGAGACACTGATAAACACTACGTTCATCACACAATATTTTTCCCGTAGTGAAGATTATAGGTACTTCCACTTTACGCCGGTGTTCTGTGAGGTCGTGGTACTTACCCGGACGAGCCTGCCCATTCGTGCAACAGCCGAGGCTGCTGCGTGAGCCTACCACCGTTGATTATCAACCCATTTTATAAATAATAAGTACAAACCAATGAGGACGACGATGATCGTCATCTTATAACCGACGGACAAGTGCACCTAATTCGTCGGTCTTGAATTCGCCATACTAACTTAGTCGTAGGATCGCTTACTTATTGGTTTTTTATTAATTATAAATAAAATTTTAGGCTCGATGTTTGGGATATTAATTTCAAAAAAAAAAAAAAATATACAAATTCTTATTATTAATATATATATATATATATATATATATATATATATATATATATTAATAATAAGAATTTGTATATTAATAATAATAAAAGATCGTATTTAGGAACAAATTAGAAATGTTGTTTATTTAACTTCAATTTTTATTGATTTAGTCATATTCTTTTAAATTAAACCTTTCGAGTATAACGTCATCAATAATGACAAGAAAGTTGTAGTTTTCCCGGTCGAAATCGAATTATTATTTTGATTTCATTTGACGGTGACAATTTTATCTCGTTTAAGTTTCCGCTAACATCCTTATTAATATTCTAGTGAAGTTCCTAAAAGAATTTAGAGTACCGTTATTTGATGGCCTGCCGCTGTAAACTGACATTCTTAAAATGTCCACACTTTTTGATTTACGTTACTAGCGTACTAGCGACCCGCCCCTAATGAATTTCGCGTCTTTTCTTTATTATACATCTACCTATATTCACGTATACTACATATGTATAAATCTCCCGCTTGAATCACTCTATCTGTTGCCGAAAATCGCATTAAAATCCGTTGCGTAGTTTATAGCGTACAACTTTGTTTTATACTCTGTAAAGCCACCGTCAAAAAGCCATGTGCTGTTTACTGTCTACGCTACGTTATATACGCTTAAATAATAACTTACGAGAGTTTTTCTCGTTGTTTTGACAAAAATTAATCTATTTATGGTATTCTTATTTTGATAAATAGAAATGGACCGATACTCTGATACGTAAACAGGGAAAAAAAAAAATGTTTCCTAACATTTTTAAAGAAATTTTTACTCTCAATATGAATACGATAGATACTATTTAAACAGTGTGCTTAATGCAGCTAGATTGACATCATGTACTCCGGAATTAACGCCACTCTATTTTTATTTAGATTATCACTGAACCAAAATTAAGTGCGTTTATTTGCAGCTAGCGACCCGGCCCTGGCTTCACACGGGTGCAATGCTGAATGTTTGTTTTCGACATCGCATTAGAAACCTCTAAAATTATCAGTGTTTCTTTACTATATTATGCATGAGTTATACATATAAACCTTCCTCTTGAATCACTCTATCTATTGAAGAAAACTGCATCAAAATTTCTTGTGTAGTTTTAAAGGTCTAAGCATATATAGGGACAGACAGACAGCGGGACGACTTTGTTTTATACTATGTAGTGAATTTCAGTCTTATATCTTTTTATTTTTTCAAAACTATCACACTTACTGCTTATTATTATATGTTATTTCTCAAATAAATCCCGTATCGTGGGAATTGCCCAAACATGCGAAATAGACAGAAAGTAACACTTAGAAAGTAAGTCCGGAATTAGGACTGAACCCATCATAAAAAGCGCGCATTAGTATTTTTTTCCTAACTAAACCATTTCACCAACCGTATAGCCAACTAAAATAGGAAGACTTCAATAGTATTAATAAGATTTAACTTAACTAACACACAGAACATGAATGTTAGTTGAAGGCTAAATATTAAAGACGGAGTGCGGCCGCAAAATGTTATTATGTCGAGTCGAGTAGAAATGTAAAATTGCTTTAAAATAAGTAATCGCGAAATGTAAGAAAATAAATACAATCCAAACATATTTAAGTTCCAAACATATTTGTTTTGTAGATTATATTTTTTTTATTATCAGTACCATCCTGCCATAATTTTTCCCCCAAAAAGGTGAAAATAAAGTGGCGCGTCGCGTTCAATCAAAACAAATCCCGAACACCGTATCGACCGCGCGTTTCTGAACGCACGCCGGACATCCGCCCGCGCCTTCGAACGAAATCGAAAGCGCTCCCGCCGCCCGCGTTGACACGACGCGTAATGGCGGGATCATTCAGCGTAATATGACGTCGGCGTCATTCATCATGGCCGTCAAGGCTGTCGACGGAACGCACTTCGTCATCCGCTTAATAAACAAAACTAAACAAATGAGTTTAAAACATTTAATCAATTAAATCTCACGTTAGGTGAGTAAATTATTTATTTTGGTAATATGTTGAGCGATATACGTTTGTATTTAAATCACACAAATTGGCAAATGTATAATGATGTTGTCAAGATTATAAACTTCGCACTTTTTGCTGTTATTGACCGTAAAGCTATATTGTCTTACTTTTTCCGCGAAGAAAGGGGACGAAAACATCTGAAGGATCGCTTCTTAGTGAATAGCAAGTTAAGATCGAAAGAAACATTCAAAGCTGTATTTTAGTAAAATTTTATTGAATATGATCATTTTTCAATGTTATTTTAGGCTTTATAAGCTTATTTTTTATTTTTAGCGCTTGTCTCTGCACTTAAGATGACACTTTAAATTAACAATTTAAAGTATCATTTTTAGTTAAATGAACAAAAACTTTCACCGTTGCGGAATTCGAACCTGCGTCTTTTAGTTTCGCGCCCAGACGCTTTATCAACTATCGGCCGTTTAGTTTAGTCTAAAAAATTTACATTTTATCGTTTGGATTTCCTTTGGTTGAGCTCCTTTATTTCAATATGAAACGATCAAAAATACCGTATCGAATTGGATAAAAGCCGCAATTACATTCGCATTTAGTGAAATATTGGACGAAGCAGAGAAATAGTTGGCCAGGTAAGCCACAATACCAACAAAAAGATCAAGAACTAGACAATATTTGTCTAAATATCCCAACTGGTCAGCATATAATCGTATTAATCTACTATTGTATTACTTGCGCGTTTAATTTTAATTTGAACTTATTACGTTTTTTAGCTCTTTACATATATTGATTAAGTTAGATTTTAGTCAAAATCTAGTTAAACCGTCAAGTCATGACGTTCATTAACTACCCGAGACCGAAATATTTGTCAAGAAATCGCCGCATCTACTTTCAGTCGCATCACTCGCGACGTCGGTTAAAAATATTTATTTATATTTTTAAATGTACATCTTATGGTCCTAAGCTGTGAACAGTTCCTGCCAAATAGCTTTTCGAAACTTATTTGTATCTGTGCGTTAAGGAAAGTGTCTTTCAAAACCAATGATGTAAAGTTACCCAAGACCGTTCTTTTAAGAGCGCTGTTTATTTCCTTTCGAAATATTTTGACGCAATGAAAACCATCACCTACGGGTCTGATTTAGCGAACAGAGCATGGGTGTACGTTTCCATCCATATGACTTTAAGGCAAGCTTAAACCGATTAAACAAATTATCACCGTAATTCCGGTACGATTTAAATAACAGCGTAGACTGGAAATAGAGTAATTTCGTTGCGGTGATTGGATTCCGAACGCGCGCTCGGTCGATGGAAGCCGCGATTGGTATTGCGGATTCGCGGCTAGCGGCCGTTATGAACCGAAAGCCAAGGCAATTAGGGCCCAATATCGGTTCACCCTGCACTGAAACATAAATTTCCAGACGGTATGTACGTACAGCGACATGCAGACAAAGGGCATTAAAGTGTTTAGTGTGCACGCGGTTTCGCGTCTGTCTGTCTCGACCCCGCGCCTCCTCCCCCCACTCCGCCGCCCTCGCCCTCCGATGGGGTGACGCGTTCGGATTGACAAAAAGATACGCTATCATCTCTTAAATTATTGTCCGCATGAGGCCGAGTTCGCTTACGCGAATAACCAAACGAAGTTTTGTTTCGCTACATTCGGTATTTGCGTGGTCCATTTTGATATTGCGAATGCTCCCAATAAATCTTTATTAGTTTATTATATCTCTTTCTACCAGCTTACACGAAACGACTCGCTTAGTCTAGCTTCACAAAATTTATTTTAAAATAAAGAAATACACGGATCGTATTTTACTATCAGTACTAAAGGCGTATATGTTATTGACATCGCTTTATTTGAGGATTTAGAAGGTATCAATCTATATCGTTTTATTTATGGACTTCAAAAAGTTTTAAGAAAATTTCCACGGACACATTTACGATGTATTACGAAAAAAGCATTTCATTTATAGCGCAGTTGATATAATATAACATTAATTAATAAAATACAATTATAGTTGAAACAAGCAGGAGAAATAAAACGAACTTGTAATTAAGAACGGAGTCCGTCAAAATATTGTTCCAAGATTGGTTTCTGGCGTCGACGAAAATGGGCGTGCCTTGAGCTCCGCGTTTAATATGCAAAGTTTTATTAATCATTGTTGATCGTCGCTCAGATTTTTTTACAGCGTTTATTTTAGAGATTCCAACTTAAATTTTTTTTTATAATAACTTTCATTCAGAGACATCTAGAACGGCATTGCTTCCTAATTTGAATAGGCAAAGGAATTTGTTTTTTCACACGTTATGCGTAAAAGCTTTCTGGTACGGACAAAAATATAACCAAGAATCCAGATTCGTCGTAAGAATTACGAATACTCCAAGCCGTTAATTTTACATAGATATAAATGGAATCGATAGACGAGCACAACTTTCATTAATTATCCGTTCAGACTGAAGAAAAATAAGATCGCACCCTCCGATCTCGGGTAAACGAAAGCAACGTCATTAAACAAGTACCGCCGCTCACCCCCCGATCCTGCGGGATGAACCCCCGAGGGTGGAGGGGCAGGACAACGGGGGTGTGGGGCGAATATCAACGAACTCATGTACCGTACGAGTGACGGGTCGACGCTCACGCTCGTCATATACATTTTGTTGGTAAACAATTGCGTTTGTAAAGCGTAAAAGTTGGAATGGCAGCACGGAAACGTTCGTCACCTTATTTTTAATTACACAAATCCGAGGTGCAAGATACATTTACAAATTTAGACCACTACGCAGTGGAATTAGATATCATACAAACATAATAAGTTTTTTATTCAAACACAAATTAAGTCGTAATAGACAAATAACGCTGCTTAAATTATTCGTCCAAAATTACATTATAAATTTCTATAATACTGGTCATATAAATAATTACACATTTTTTTAAACATTTGGCAGAACGTCTTCGTTGTTTATGCCTAACTAATGTTTGTTGAGAAAAGTGGGCGACGCCACCCAAAACGAGCTACTCACCGGTTTCGGTCGCCATGGCCGGGAGTTCTGAGGGCGGCACGGCGGAGTCTGGGCGTGCTCGCGAGCTATACGAATCCACTCCCGCGCATTCCACGCGCGCGCCCGCCGCCGCCACTTTCGTCGATTCCAACTCGCGTTGCGATGATGCGGATTAGCGCGGACTTTTTCGCGCGGCGTATATGACGCTCGGCGTGGACGCGTATTCCTCTTTTGAATTTCCTCTGCTTTGTTTTTTTTTTTAATGGCACGTACTAGGTACTTGTGTAGATCCTGCGAAAGATTTCCGATTTTACGATTTGCGTAGGGCGTTCGAAATTTGAATTTGATCGGTATTTTTTTTAATTCGAGCGCAGGGTGAAAATGCAGGTCGTTGCATACTCAGTTGTTTACAGATTTTTGTTTCACTTGTCGACAATCACAAATTTTGAAGGTAACGACAGTAGTTCAATAAAAAATTGATGTTATTCACTTTTAGATAAATGGAAAGTATATAAAATTAAACAATAGACAAATACGAACCCCACAAAATGAATCTTTGATTTAACATTGTACAAATCCGTGCAATTCTTAAAAATTTACCATTAAAACGATCAAATAAAATGTATTTTCTTCCGGTTCAATGTAAAAAAAAAAAACAACATTCAGTTGCATAACGCACGAAACATGAATACAAAAGAAGATACAACACTATGATGCGTCGAATTTAATTGTAATTAAGGTAATCGTTCAATTACGAAGTGATTAATAAATAATTATGTCGAATCAACTGACTGAGTAATAAAACTAATAGTCGTTACCCAAAAAATCCATATCGGATACTTGCATCCACGTGACGCAATCGAAAACAACTGACCACTTAGCACGCACTAGAGCGAAAATCTGGCTTCGCCGAGCGGAGCCGATCGCGGGGTGTTAATTCAGGGCCGGTGCAACGATCGATGGCGCGCCCTGCATCGCCACAATAAGGGAGGCGCGGGCAGATAGAAATCAATACGATGTCCATCATAGCCTGCACCCTCCCCTCGGTCCGTGCCGCCTGCGCTATGCACCCGGGAAATGCATTTTCCGCGACGCCGCTTCTCACCCTGCGCGCGGGCCTCGCCTCAGAAACTGACCCTGCGGCCGCGGTTTTGCGCGTGTGCGGTGTTGATTTTTTTCCCCTCAACGCCGTCCGACAACGGATGCACCTCTCGCGGTCTGTGTGCTGCTCGGATTGACGACGCGTGTACGTTCGGTTGCGCGTCACGCGGGCGACTGTCGCCCCGCCACTCGGCCGAGAATAAACAGCGGGGGCGAGGGGGGGTCGGGCTCCGGTGCGGGGGGAGCGGCGGGGCGGTGCAGCCTGCACGCCCACCACACCAGCCGCCCTGCCGCTGCCGGACACTTGCATGGAAGCGCGCGGGCTGCCGTCGAGAGACTTCGCACGTCGCGCGCCTTCCGACATAAGGGTCGAGCCACACACGGCGTGTCGCGTGCATCAACGAGCTGTCAATTATAGCATTTCCGCAGGTCACACATCCGACGGATAATGCTCGGTTCTAGTGCCTAAAAGCACCAACACAAAACAATTTCCGTTTCTGTTTCCAACCTTGGAGCTTCCCTGACCTATTCGCATATCGCCCATATTTCACGAAATAGTATAAACTCTAAATACCTGTTTTGGGCTTATTATTACTTTTCGGAGTATAATCATGGCCGAATCAAATTAAGAAATTTCAACAAAAAATTCGAAATAAGTAAAGTCAATAATGATACTCGTTTTAATATTTATTAAATAGTTCATTGGGCATCGAACAGTATTGACACCCAGGTTGTAAATCGATCAAATCATTTACATTAACAGTTGTACAATATCTTAAAAGTAATACTTAAAACTCAACTACGGGTACGTAAATTAATAGAGAGAGAGAAAAAAATAGTACGAAACTGCGGGTAAGAAATATTTTCTAACCAGTGATACTCGCGCTATTAAGACGCATCTAACGACGTATGATTCGCCTAAAATAGTTCAACCGTTTAATTTTTACGAGAGAACATGGACGGGCATCCATACTCGTACATAAAACTCAAATGCGTAACCCTCCTGTAAGGCTTCACCGTAGTCGGGTAAAAACTGCTTCTAAATGTTAGACCTTGAATAAACCAAAAATTAAAAATAATGTCGATAAATAAAAATAATATTAATACATCTAGTATTATTATTGAAATTTATTTACTGGAAGATTTTAAAAATAATAAGTTTTTTTTATTACAAAGACTAACCGACGTAAATTGTTTTTAGGGTAAACATCAAAGTAAATAATTTTAACGTTGGCTACTCAAAGTATTTTAGGCATCTTTTTTAATTTAAATTCGAAAAAAACACTGCTCGTCTAATTTAAGACCTATCTCTTAAACTGACAGACAAGAGTTCTCGTCTCACTTTTTTCGTTTTATCTAACTACGGTTAATATTACAAAGGCTTAATTAACAAACAGAAGAGAAAAAAAACGGTTACTTCATATTTGAATTTAAATGAAGCGAGCTATGATTCGTTTTTAGTCTGTGCTGGTTCATTTATATGCATTATTCTGTTTGACGTGTTTCTACGATTTTAATAATGACTTACATATTACATATTGGTTTCGCAATGACTCAATACTACTTATTTATTATATTTAACATAGATTGTAAATATTTCAATGTTCAAATTTTGGATGTTGTAGGTGTTTAGATAAGATTTAGTATTTAGTTTAATGTTCTGGATACTATATTAATTTTCTAAACCGCGTTGGTATTTATTCATTAAAGGATTCATTTAAAATATTGTAGACATAGTCTTCATTATAATTTATTTTTATTAATTAAAATAGCGTAGTGGGACTTAGTTTAAATCAAACATTACAATTCTTTTTAAATGTATACATAAAATTGTTGCAAAATTTTTCGCCGAGATACGACACTTCACCTTCCGGATTCCAAGTTCCGGTTATGCGTCCAGACGCCACTAAATTAAAAGGTCACCATCGTCACTTATTAGGGCACGAGGGCTAGGCGCGACTCGCAAGGTACAGGCTAGAGGCCATCAGCGCCCGGCCACATCAAAGCTTGTGGATCTGTAAAGGCCTCAAAACCAACAAAGGACAGTGCAACCAAAAAAAAAAATGTCGCATTTTTAGTAATGCTTGGCGTTATCTTATGCGCGTTTGGTGATTCGGAAGGTGCAGTTTCGAATCCCTGGCAGCGGCGAAAAATTTTAACATAAATGCAGAGTAGTATCTTATCCTTTAAACGAGCAATTCTTGTATATATATATCGGAATCTCGGAAACAGCTCCAGCGATTTTCATTAAATTTAGTATGTGCGTAGATTCGGGGGCGAAAAATTGATCTAGCTAGGTTTCATTTTTAGAAAATGTCCTTTTATCCCTGTTTTCAGGGAATGAAAAATATCATTCGAATACGACGGTAAATTTCGCCGCAAAAAAAAAATGTTATAATAGCTCGGTCGGTAATCGGACGGCCCCGAAACAGAAGGCTGTGGTTCGTGTCACGATCATTTACACATTTATTTTTTTACTTTTTTTTCGATTCCAGATCATTGTTTTCTTTATTTTTAATTTTTTGTCGATTTGTTATTTTGTTATTTTTTCCCTTCTTTTTTAACGTTTTTATTTTGTGAAAAACATCAGTTCATATTATTACGTCGGTAAGATCGAAAAATATTATGCGTATTTCATTTTTCAGTAATTTGTATCTAAATGTAATTTCCAAAAGACAAAACAAAAAAAAAAAACAAACCGAGCAAAGCTCGGTCCTCCGGGTACTAATTATAATATGTTCAACAAATAAAATCTCAAAGTAACCTGACATATAAAAGTGAGTATTTCAAATACTATTTATTCATATAGATATAAGTAGGTAATAAATAGATATGAAATATATTAATATTAACCTACTTAATATGTCTCATGTTTTATGAAACATATTAAGATACAGGGATGTTGATAACAACACTTGGACAAGTTGGACTAACAGCGACAATGAAGCGGGATCGAGCCCCAGAAAATCAAGATTGGCGAAAAAGTTTGCCGCGTTTTAAGCTTGGTAAAGTGTTTATCTCTGACTGTCAGAGGTAAAAGACGTGAGAGCTTAAACATAAAACTCGGAGATATAAATGATACATAAATAATATAAAGTAATTACGTATATCAATTAATTTCCAGCACTTTGTTGACCTCACACGACCTAATAAAATTTGTAAGGACTGTTAATGCCTCCAAAATGTTTTCTCCGAATCGCGGACATTACAACAAACACGCGAGTATTATCATTGAAATTAATTAAATCTTCACTAGTACGAACGTTTCCCACAGTTAACTAATCAATGCTTAATATTCCACAATAAATATGGCGTCGTGACGTTTTGGTTACGCGCGAAACATTCTCTATCTGTGGGGCCGTTTTCAAATAGCGCCATTTACATACATGAGCTTTCACGCCCGAGAAAGCAATGCGCCGCGCGCCCTTGACGCTCGCGTCACTATTTTATCGATACGCCATTAGTTTCGCTTTATTCTAATCGGCGTACATTAGCCTTTACGTTTAAATTCGAACTATGATTTAACGTTTTTTGTATTTTTCGCTTTTTTTTTTCATTTCGCACTACAATTATTCATAAGCTTTATCTGCTGCGGCTTCGATACGTTTTTAATTTGTTGTTATTATAGTTTGTACTGTTGTTTATTTTTTATTACTATACTAGATATACTAGATAAACTCAGGTACCATAACATGTACTCATGTTTCATGACAATAAAACCAGTAGTTTTTAATATACAGCGTGTCGTTACCATCGCGACAATAAATGAACACACATATAGGGGATAACTTTTTAAAGTTGTATTAAACATTTAAATTCTTTAAACATAAATATTTACAGAGTTATTAAATTTTCCAAAATAAAGAATTTTAGAACACCCTTACCTATAAAAGCGTAACGTAAAGTTCATTTGTAAAGGTCACAAAGCATATGAATGGGTTGAACGAATTTAAAAGAGACAAAACATAGTGTTAGAAGGAGAGGCTTGTAATGCGACGCTATGGCGCGAGTTGTATAGGATGTTACAAATTTTGTTTCTTTTTTACTTAATTAGTTTGTTTGAAAAATATTTTTTTTTAATTATGGATTTTGTTTAACGTTAATATTTTTTTATGATTATTGGCAAGTAGCGTTAGACGTGTGTTCATTTATTGTCGCGATGGTAACGACACGCTGTATAAAATAAATACTAAAAAATATTTAAAAAAAACTGACACATAAAATGATGTTTATTTTTTATTTAATGACTGGGGCAAGTCATCTGATCTGCAATCATTTGATTGTGACGAGTGCCCCTTGTTGCTCACAAAACTAGAGTTGTTGCCTCTACCTGCCTTGTCAGACGAAGGGTAAAAGTACAATTAATTTTTAAGTCAAGAGGTTTTCACTGATCTTCAATAAGTCCGTGATGGAAGAGATTCTGTAAGCTATCATTGCTCCAAAACAGATTAGAAAACTATTCCATCAAGAAGAGATTTAATTCTTAGTTTGTATTATATGCAGAATACATTGTTAATATTTTAAGCTTCAATCGAATTTGAAAAATTTATAGGTACTTGTACTATTAGAAACATCAAATAAATTTAATAATTATGATACTCTATATCTTTAGTAAATCAGTTAATTATTATAATGTTATAAGTAGGATCTTCGTGGCAAACAAATAAAACCTGCTTTCCGTCGTTTCTGTCTAATAACTTTTATGATTAGACACTCAGATAAAAAAATACGTCTTGTATTCTAAGTAACATTTTAAGGTTGTCACACATAATACTAAGATTTATTAAGTGTATTCATAATTTTATCGTCAATAACTTTGTGTTCTCATTGCACACAGTTTTTTTGCATGCATTGATTTCACAACAGTTTGTTTATAACCAAAGATTTTTGCAGAGAAAAGAAAATATAAAGTTTAATTTGAATGTATAATGAGGTACAGTATGCAATTATGACACAATGATTTTATCGATTTAATGTTATTAAATCATTTACTACACTTACACACCTCCTATGCATCATACATTAAATGTTTAGAAATTGAAACTATTTTGAAGTAAAAAGCTTTATTTTTTGAGCACAATTGTGTCATCAGGCGTTGCGACCCATTTCAAAGTACATGTTTGGCTAAACTTTTTAATGGTTTTGGAGTTTCGATTAAAATTATTTATAACAGGGTATATTATTTAATCTAAATAAAGGACGAGAGAAGAATGGGAATGGTGATATTACAACTAAACCATGTTTTCCTAATTATTTCTTTTTATGGTTTATAACGAGTCATAACAGAGTCGAATATGATAGAAATATTAAAGTCGATAGAAACAACAATACCTCGTATCTAAAATCACTTGTACGAAATTTAAT